CACCAAGCGCCGCTGCTCTGGAAGGTCAGGGTGTCGCCAGTAATAGAGTTCTCGTACTCGAAGCGACCGGTTCTCTGGTCAAATGCACTAGGGCAGAACACACCCTCGGGCGCCTGAAGAATGTCAAGTGGCTGCAGGCACATGGCAAGGTAGTTGAAACTCGCAACTCAAGGCATGGCTCGGAAACCATCTCTTTCATGTGTCTTCTGCCGAGAGGCTTGCGTCAATTGCTCGATCTTGGTGGACGGCTCCATGACAACTGGAGCCCCGCCCGCCTTGGAGCAGGTGTACCTGGAGCGTGCCCAGCGGCCGCCTTCGGAGAACTCGAAGTGGAAACCGCTCAGAAGACCGTTGGCGCCACAGTCCACGGTGATCATCTTCCTCACGACTTGAACATGATCTGATCATAGCTACAATGAACCTGGATCTGTAGACTGACCCTCAAAACTCGAAATCCAGCAACACGCGTATCACGCATCTTGCCTGAGTTGCATGTCAAGAGCCGAGTCTCAAAGACTCGAGAAAGTTTGAACGCTTTGCGTCCCAAACCTTGACCTCCACCTGAGCACTGAAATACTCGTACTTCGCGCCCAGCCCGCCAATGCGGCTGCATTCATACCTGAACTTGTTGCTGGCCGGCTGGTGCTTGAAGCCTGCATTGCGTGCATTGATCAACGCGATTAATATTCTTTGACTCCGTTTCTTCGGCTATTTGTCCCAACAGCTGAACGCTATGGGTCTCTTCCCAAATACGTTCCGGAGTGAACTGGAGCAGTTCCGAAGTCGGAAAACCTTGTCTAGGGGCAGGAACGCAACGGAGCCTCATTGACTCATACACTACTGGCCAGCCTTTCTCAACACCACCATCGTTTGGATGATTGGAGGGGCAACGAAATGGGAAGCAACACTGTCTTGCACGTGCCCATCAAATTCTGCCTGTCAAAGCCTCTCCGTCTGCACAAAGAATGGGCGAGTCTGCCAAGAGCGTGTTCCAATCTGGCCAATCGCTGCTAGTCTTGTCGTACGTGATGGTGCTGTCAACGAAGACCCCGAACCTAGGATATTTGGCGCACGAAGAAACCACAAGCATGAGCAACCTGCTGAATCCACTGGCAAAGAGACGCACGAAGAACGCATATATGAACGAACAAACCCGTAAGCAAGCAAGCAAGCAAGCAAGCAAGCAAGCAAGCAAGCAAGCAAGCAAGCAAGCAAGCAAGCAAGCAAGCAAGCAAGCAAGCAAGCAAGCAACAAACAAGCGAGCAAGCCCAATGTTGCCAAGCTTTCAAAAACACATCGCACACAGACACAGACACAGACACAGACACAGACACAGACGCAGACGCAGACGCAGACGCAGACGCAGACGCAGACGCAGACACAGACACACAGACACACAGACACACAGACACACAGACACACAGACACACAGACACACAGACACACAGACACACAGACACACAGACACACAGACACACAGACACACAGACACACAGACACACAGACACACAGACACACAGACACACAGACACACAGACACACAGACACACAGACACACAGACACACAGACACACAGACACACAGAGACACAGAGACACAGAGACACAGAGACACAGAGACACAGAGACACAGAGACACAGAGACACAGAGACACAGAGACACAGAGACACACACACACACACAGAGACACAGACACAGACACAGACACAGACACAGACACAGACACAGACACAGACACAGACACAGACACAGACACAGACACAGACACAGACACAGACACAGACACAGACACAGACACAGACACAGACACACGAAAGACCGCGATTGAATGGCGACAGCCGAGAAACTTGATCACCGGCGCGAAATGACACTTCGACTTGATGCCACTGATGTCGCCACCAAAAATTTGCCCATAAGACAAGCTGACCAGCGCACCGTGAGCGCCGCAGTAGGATGAGAAGGCCTTGTGCAAATCTTCCCCGGTATTGCGATCGGCACTTTCATGCCTAGGCTCATCAAGCGCTTGTTTTCGCACATGTTTGGTTGCCTGCGCCAAGGCAAGAGCAAACAAAGGAGCAAATTGGTGGCCCAACGACGCACGATCGCAGCACTCTTGGGCTGATACGACTATACCACGTTTTGGCAACCGTAGACGCTTGTGTCACAGGTCCCAGCTGTTTCAATCACCAGCCGAGGCGCATGCTCCACATGATGCCGGGTATGGCCATAGGGGAGATGACCTGGCGCTCCTCATCCACATTGCAAGTGGCATGCTTCATGGAGGGCGACGTGCCATCATCGGAAGGCACAGCTTGCAAGCATTGCCTTGTCTGCAGCAACACGGCTGAAGCAGCCATTTGCGGTCGTCAGAAGCTAGAAACAGTCAGGCGGGAAAAACGAGTGACTCAACCAAATTGTTCCCTGCAAACAATTCTTGAACCGGAAAACATCCTGCCTGTGTGCGGCAAGGTCTTCAACCAGCTTTACTTGCCAAGATTGATCCCACCCGGCTTCGGGTGATTCAGTTCAGGGTCGAAGCAGGCAGCCAAGCGGCGCGAATGCCGCGGTGTGACTGGCATCACTTCTTGCACATAATCAAACGCTCGTCATGGTCAGGGGAATGCCACCGCAATAATAGTAAGCAAATCAGGGGAACACCGCTAAAATATGCCCGCCCGCCGGTATTGCTCGGGTCCCTTTGGGCAACGCGCCCGCCAAACTGACGAGCACACCTGCCACCAGCAAAATGACGCGTGCCTTTCCCTGAGAGATCTCGCTTTCGAAAGGCAAAAGCTGCCAATGCAAGGCAGGGTCTTCCACTGTCTCAAGCTTGATCTCACCCGGCTTCGGGTGATTCGGATTCACACACACTCGGTTCATGGGTCCTTTAGGCAGCAAGGGACAGAAAACTGGATCAATGTCCACCTCCTGACCTGGCGCCCTGAACAGGCCGACCACCCGACTGAACATACATGCACGACGAAGGTGCCCGTTGTCTGGCGCACCGTCGTCCAAAAGCATCATCATACGCTCCTGGATCTCCGAAGATCCAGCGGTTTGGATGGCCAAAATCTCGGGGCACTCCTCAGGGCAGCTTCAATTGGCTTTAATTAAGGAATCGAGGGCTGCTATCATGAATGCACGGTAGACACACAGCAACTCGCCTGGCTGTTCTCCAGCATCATCTCATGCGAAGAACCAGGCTTCTTCTTCAGGCAGAACTTGTGGGCTGCCGCAGCCGTCTCTACAATGGACCCCAGCTCAGTGTAGACACGCATGGCCATTCGGCTGAAGAAGTAAAGCTCCTCTGCTTGCGCCGGGTTGCCTCCCTTGCCGAGAGTGTGTCACTCTCGAAGAAAGAAGCCGAACAATTACCCAGCATACCTTCAAATGCCTTTGCACGCTAGTTCCTGGGATGGGGATATGCAACGCCGGCTGGTTGCTGCTTCTTGTGATAATAATTATGAGAACTTGACAGCCATAGACTGACCTCAGTGAAAACATTATCTTTTCGTGTTTTCACATTTGGGGGGGGGGGGATAATTTTGCTTATCATTGTTTTTTCATCATTTGTTCATCATGTTTCATCATTCGCGAGGGTTCTCGTGATTTGTGGGTTGCGTGTTATTGTATGTTGCTCAGAATGCAGCCTTGTTTCCAACCCTATTATACATTGTTGCAAGTGCGAACTCATGGCAAAATGATGGGCAAATGAAGAAACGCCGATGAAACAAATGACTTTCCGGACTAAGTTGCACAAATTATGAAAACTGCGTAAAATGCTAGCATATCATCATGGTTCATCATGTTTTCATAATTTCGCAAGGGTTCTCGTCATGTGTTCATCGTTTTGCTGCAAAAAATGTTGTTTTCGTGATGGTTGTGTTTTCTTGTCGTCCTTCAAAATGTAGACTTTTTTACAGCGCTACTATATATTTTTGCAGGAATGATGAGCCAAACGATGGCAAAACGATGAATAAATCATTAAATCGTTATTTGCCTGTTTTCTCAGTGTTTGGCTGCCCGAAGATCTCTTAAACATCTGATGATATGTGAAATGGACCCCGGGCGGCAAGAAATGATTTCAAAACACAAAGTGGCAATAGAACCCAAAGTCACCATCATTTCTCCACACAACGCAGCTTACTCTCTCTCTTTTTGTTTCCGGCCGCGATCCATCGCTAAAGTTTGTACTTGCTATGGCTTTAATGGGTTCTGGAGCAGACATGCGCGTAGCTCTTCTCTGTAATAAATCTAAAAAGTCGCGGGGGGTTGCCCATGACGGTGAACAAAGTGATGCTTCAAATAGAAATGCAATCTGGGGGAGCGGGGGGAGGGAGGGGGCGGGGGGGGGGGCAGCCCCCATGATAGTCGAAAAAAGTGCTGCTTCAAATAGGGGTGCATTTCCATGTTGTTCAAACAAGTGATGATTCGACTAGGTATAGTTATTTGATCTCAGTGAAAAATCTAAAAAGAAACGGGGGGTGGGGTGGGCACTGCGGCCATCCCCATGATGTTCGAAGAAGTGCATACGGACAAACATACATACATACACACACATACATAGATTACATACCTACGTACATACCTACATACCTACCTACATACCTACACACGTACATACCTATACCTACATACCTAGCTGCCTACATACATGAACATAAACATGAAAGCTACCAGAAGCCGCATAAACCAATGAAAAGCCGCAAAAGCCAAAAAGCCGCCTGCTGGAGAGGAACTTGGAATTGAAAGGATGCGAAAAGCCAAACCGGAAATAGCCGCATGAACCCAACAAAAAGAGAGGAACTGAAAATGCAGAGGATGCAAAAAACACCAAAGCCGAAAAAGCCGCCAAAAGCCGCATAATCCCAGGAAAAGGCACAAATGCTCAGAGCCGAAAAGCCACCCACCCTGAAAATCCACATCTGCCATGATTGGCGCACCTGCTCAAGTGCATTTGCTCAGCAACGGACACCTGGTGCCCGTCCAGCAAAACCAAGGGAAAACCGTGTTTTGTAGCATCCCAATCAGAGGTGCTTGCGCAGTACTGTTCCAGAAAACTTCATTGAACAAATTGACGGACAAGAATGTGCATTTGGCCGGCGTTGTCTTCTGCCATACTTCTAGTAGATCATATGGAAGCTCGAAAACACATGGTCTGCATGGAGTTTTGAACACATTCTAGAAACGCCGTGCTTAAGAAGCATCATGTCGTTTTGCAAAAAACACCCGAAACCAGAAAACCAGAAAACCCGAGAGCCAGAAACCCAGAAAACCGCGAAAGCCAGAAACCCCAAAAAACCAGAAAAACAGGAAAGCCAGAAAGCCAGGAATGCCAGAAAACCACAAATCCCAAAAAACCAGAAAACGAGGAAAGCAAACATCCCGGAAAACTAGAAACCAGAGAACCATGGAACCAGAGATCACGCATACCAGAAAACCGCAAAACCAGAAAGCCACGACACCAGGGCTTCCGCGTTTAAAATCGATTATATACGACTTTGCGTTCTGAAAAGATTGCCACTTCGCGTTCCGAACAATGCGGTTCCCCCCGCTGCACAGGTGCACCTAGACCAATGTCAACGCAAGGAGCATAGTTTTGGGGTTGTCCTCCAGTTTGTTGGGGGCAGGGGGGAGCATTCATTTGTGGCAACAATGCAAGGCAAGAGTGAAGTTGATGAAACAATTTCTGTCATGCTCTTGACAATCATTCGGATGCCAGCTCATGACTTGCCCTCATGACTGTATCCCCTAACTTTACAACAAGGCAGGTTGTTTGAGCGGCCTTGTGCCTATATGACCAATGCTACAGTGTGAAAAGCAGGCGGCTGTCCTGTTCGTTGCGCTTGGCATACTGGGAGTAGCCAGTCCCCGCAACATTCACGCAAGGTGCACATGCGAAGCTTGTCAGCTCGGGCCCCTGCAAGGTGTTGTACCAATCACCGTTCACGCAGTGCAGAGTCTCATGAGACTCTTTCAGGGCAGCGCGGAAAGACTGGAACCGCTCCGTCCAACAGCTTGCAGTCAACTGGCTGCCATGAACGAAACTCACAGGAAGTGGGCGCTTGCCTAAGCTGCACTCACACCGACACAGCACGCCAATGGAAAACTTGCGCTCAAGACGAGCCGCCCTCCCAGGCGTGGGACGCTGGGATCCGGTAGCTTGGTCGCGCGCAATGTTGCACTCCAAGGCCGCCCATAAGCCTGGGAGACACCAGCAGCTCAGCAGTCACTCGGCAGTCAACTGCAGTGACTGGGTTTTGCGGATAAACCACAATCTCATGCCAACTTGTTGAAGAGTGGAACACTGCTGGACAACATCGACTACAAGGTTGACTAAGCAAGTGCTGCCAGGAAGCAAAAGCGAATCACATTGCTGGTGCAAGTGCGCGTAGTGGAAGGACAAAGGCGCAAGGCGGCCCACTTGACGAGCTTCTAGTACGGGTGTATCAGTCTGCAGCAACCCGGTCTGCTGCAATTCAATCTTCAATGAACCTTGGTGCCGGCAGGCAGTGAAGCATTGCGACATCTGAACAATATTGATTGGTAAGATAAGCAACTAGTGTGAATATCTGCATATATAGAAATACACAGAATCAACCACAATTAGTCAGTTCAGCGCAATTGTAGATATGCATGTAATTGCTCTGCGTGAAGCAGGGGTATTCAAATCCAGCTGGTCCAAGCAAAGGTATTTCCAGCAAACATACATGCACGCGGCTCAAGAGGTAAGGTGAGACGGCGGTTTCACAACGTGACCCCTGAATACCCTTTGTGCGCAGCATTTTGCAAAAGATGCCTCATGCCAAAACAGATGCTTGCGTTTAATTGCGAGGAAGCTCTTTGTGAAGAACTTACTCGGCTTAGCCAGGAGCCGCTTTATTGAAACCAATCCGCAAGAACACTATTCGCACGCAAGAGTGGTCACAGTGCATCAAGGCAGCACGCTCATCATTCTAGTCTAGCGGTCAAGGAATTTTGGACTTGCCCGTATTTCTTCAACTCCCCCTTCTTATAGTCCTTCGCTGGGTTGCGAGCCATAGGCGTCAAGTCGATGGCGTGTTGCCACTTATTCGGCGGAAACATCTTTTGTAGAAAAGCCTGCTATTTGCAGACTGGGGAGGCATCGTCACCTTGCAACTCCTCATACAGAGAGGCAAGATGAATCCGGCCGGTGTGGCTCACATGCCATAGCTTTGGACTAGTTTACCTCGGAATAATATTGACGACATACTAAGCGGGTCTACCGAACAGGTTTTGAAACACGCGTTAGTTCTTTGCACATGGCCCACGCAGGCAAAGCACGCTCCCTTGAAGAGGCACGTCTTTTCGGACTGCGGCGTCTTCAACTCAGAGCGCCGGTGTCACGCAACGTTGACAAATTGGGGTTGGGCCACCTTTGTTCCACTGAAACAAACGCTGGGCTTCTCCACAACCAGGTTTTCAAGAAAGACAGTAAGTTGCCATAGAGACTGCCATGTCTCTCGAACCGGGCACACTTCTTACAGTTTTGGAGAAGAACTACGGCGCTTAAGGTTTCTCAGATATGAAGGTCTTGCAAGGTGATGCGTGGCCTTTACTCTTATTGGCCAAGCACAATCTGCATTTTGGTTCGTCGCTGTTCCGGTGGCTTGCCAGAACGTGTGAGGCGTTCACAATTGCAAGCAAGAGTTTGTTTGGGAGGCCGCGACGTGCCCTTGACAGGGCTCGCATTTTTGGACTGCGACGCCCAAACCTGAAAACTGCAACATGATCAGTGCTTGGGATCTTCATTGCTGAAGTTTTCTGGCAAATCAGATTTCAGTTTGCAGCGCCCCAGGCGACACTCCTGCGACTACTGTCCATGGACACGAAGTTGGTCAGTGTGCTTTTTGGACAAGGCCTGTGCGCTCTTTCTTACGGGTTGGCCTTGGTGCGTGATGTGTTTGGCTTAAAGTTGGCTTACTTATTGACTATTGGCAGGGCTGTAGAAAGGTTGTTGCGCGTAATAAGTAATAAGTGTTGTTGTTCTGTTTGACGTAAACCAATCTGGCTGCGGACGGGGGCACCAATTTCTTGAGATTCACGCAAGGCCAAACGCAAGATAGTCTCCACGGAAGCGGAAAATGAAAAAACACACATCAAACTGACTGGGCGCGACTGAGTCACGCCGAAGTTCCCCAACAAGCAAACATGGATTCTGCTATCCCGACTCCTGCGAATGCAATGATGTCGCCTGCGATTTGGAGATATCACACCGACTTTTGCGATCTTGCATGAACCGTCAGTTTTCAGACATGCCTCTCTTCAACAGCATGATGGCACGCGCGTCCAGCTTGTTGGCTCCTGCAACAAAATCCGCTCCGAAGAGACGCGCGTCCCCTCTGCAAGATTCTCCGGGTCCTCAAGAAGAAGCGAACAGCGATTTTCCCATGGAGCAGACAGATAACGATCGCCCAACAATTCCGCATCCCGAGGAGAACCCCGACATGAATATCGAACAAGCTGACTGGGGAGACAAGACTGAACCCGAATCAGAAAAGGGAAGCAGGAGGAAGGATCCACTGTTCGAGAGCCAAGAAGCCGCTGAAGCTCACGCCGAAGAGCATGATCGTGAAGTAGGCGATTGCGTGAGGAAGAGACAGCGATGGACCGACCGAGTGAAGAACAACAACATTGTTGCGAAGCATCGATGGATTGACAACGTCAACAGCAAGCAGCACACATAGCACTCCGAACGGACGAAGCCAATTTCGTCAATGACAAGGAGATGGAACTGTACGTCAGACGCTGTGGCGGGCACACGCGACACGTCGAAACTAAAGGCCACGGGGCGCCCTTTGCGGAAGGATCAACCAGAACATCAGCAGCGGGAAGAACGGACCTTCCGCAACCACAAGCATTCACACACGCCCGATCCTGTAAGGATCAGGAAGATCCAGGTGCTCCACACAGCCAAAGTCCAGACTTCGTCGCCCAGCACCGCCAGCCGTTGAAATATCTAAAGATCAATCCAGGAGGAGATGACATTCGTCTTACATGCGATCAAGGTTCTGGAGCACGGACTAAACACAGACTTGCCCGGAACAGGCCTTGCCAGGATCCACGTCCATATGGCTCGCATAGACGATGTCATCCTTGGTGATGAGAGCCATCTGGCGCAGCATTGCACGCACCTGGCGGGCGACATGCCATGGTTACTCTTGCACTTGCAAAGGAAAGGCACTATGGCATCAAGATCGCAGGGGGGCGGTCGCAGAACGGCATTGCAAGAAGGACAAACCATTCAGAATAACTCTTGGGTCACGGGCAAGCATCTCAATATGCAGAGCAATACGAGACCAAGGCTCGCTCAGCGTTTCCACGCCCGCGTGCCAACCCGAAAAGGACAAGCCCGCAAAGACTAAGAAGGAACTCAATCGGGAGAGACTTTGTCAAGCTCCGAACTCAAAGACCCTGAGCACCGGCTATTGATTGTAATCAATAACTTTTCATTGCCATTGAAGAGCGTTTTTCAATATATTAGAATTGATTATTCAGCATGCCGAATCAATAGCAAATTCAATAGTGAAATCAATTATAAAAACACTCATTTAGTCAAGGTATACTCAATAATAAAATCAGTAGAAAGGCCGGTCTGAATTTTATGCTTTTTTGCTTTGAACATGCTGGCCTTTTGGCAATGGATAGGTGCAACAGGGAGCTAAACTCAAATCCCTTTCAACAAGGGCTTTCCCTTTTATCAAGGGTGGCCTGCTTCTTCCTCTTCCTCCAAGCAGCGAAAACCTGGCCTGGTCAGCTGCAAGTGTAAAAGGATACGACACTTAATTGCAACTTTTGCACATAGCCTGACTGGCTTGACACCAAAACTGACTGAGTGGGTCAAGATGCTCACCTGGCCCACAAAATCCTCTGCCCTAAAGTTGTGGTGGATTCTGAAGTTGAGGAATTGGGCATTCCTAATTAAGTGCATCATGCTGTGGAATTTGTGGGTGACATTGAAGAGCTTCAAGCCTTTTGACAAGGCCCATGTGTTCAAATCTTGGTAAGAACTGAAAAACCTTTTAGCAAGGTCTTTTGCAAGGCCATTCTCTGCTTCGGTAGGGAACAGATCAATTCCATCAAAATGTTGGATGGTTTCGTTGAAGCTGGCCAAGCATTCAGTCATTTGTTGATGGATAAGCTCTTCCTCAGGGAGGGCTTCAATCAGCACTTCCAGGAGGCAAGGCAGGTGTTTGGTTTCTGCAGCCTTAGCTTCCAGGCAGGGAAACTGCTTGTGAGGTTTTTTGGGGTCAGTGAACATACTGAGCCTCAAGTTGGTCATTCTTGATTGGGCATGAGTCTTTGGGTTGGGGCAACTCTTTGCTTCCTTGCGCCATCATAGTAGCACAAATAAAGAGCAGGCTTCCTGCAAGGTGAGACCCCACCCCCCTCGAGTCGAGTACAATATATGCAGGCTGTCTCCTCTCACCAGGGCAGTGGACACCCCTTCGATTGAAAACAATGGCTGGTTGCTCCTTTTGACAAGGAGTGCTTGGGTAGGACTGACTTCCACAAAATCTTGCTCTGCTTCTTTTAGGATCTTGACTGATTTGCCATCAGGGCATTTCTTTCTTTGGAAAACAGGCCTTTTGGCATCACACTCATGGAAAGGGTTTTTGTTCTGCCAATGTGGAAGTTTCAGCACGTTTGCATAGAACTCGTGTGCTCCATATTATTCCTCTGTCGTGCCCTTTTGACAAGGGAAGCCCAGCTAGCTCTGACATCCCTTTTGGCAAGGGGTTTCCCCATGGGTCTTTACTTGGGTGGACCCCTTTTGACAAGGCTGCAAAAGACCAGCTGATCCATTCATGTAAAGGCTCCCAAGTTCCTGGCAAGGTGCAAGATTTGGGGGTTGCCACAAGAAGTAAGTGGGAGGACAGGCTGCCATGTTTTGATAACATGGGCCCCCATGACCATGTCATCAAAGAATCTCTTGTTTGGTATTCAACTCCATTCCCATGGATGAACTGTGGCCTTTGGGTTCACCACCCTTTTGTCAAGGGCTAATGGCCAAGTCAACCTTTCATCCTTTGTTTTTTCTACCCCGTTCCAAAACGTTTCACAATTAGAAAGGGCAAAGAACTCCTGGAACTGTTCTCCATAATGCTGCCCCAGGCATGCAAAGAGAAGGTGTGGCAACATGAGAGGCACCTCCTCTTTGCATTCCTTTTGGGTCTTGCTGTCAAACAAGGGCACTTGGATGGGGGTTGGTTCACAGATCTTCATAGAAGAGCAATGTAATGTAACCATATCCCGATGTGTGCTGCCTTTGTTCTGCCCCCAGTTTCCACATTTGGCTAGCTGGGCCAACTCCAATGACTTGCAGCCATCTAGCACAGCCAAATGGCTGAGCTCTTGTACTTGGCATGCTGAAAGTTTGCCCTGGGACCATAATTCCAGTAACCTGGTGCAGAGGGCAGAATGTTGATTTTCATCCTTTTGGCAAGGACCTTTTCTTTTCTTTCTCCAATTGCCAACCTCTCAGCCTTTTGGCAGGTCTTTCGGTTTCTTTTTCCATGGCCCTTTTGTCAAGGGTGTTAGGGGCATTGCCCTTCTTTACTCACAGCTTGTGGTTTGAACCCAAATGCAACAATCACAATTTGGTAAACCCTGAAAATATCTCAAGAGGGTGTGCAAACTGGTGGGAACTTATTGGTGCATCACCTACGTTATAGAAAGCGCTTGACCTCCTAACCATCCCAACCCCTAGCCAATCCCTTCCCCTTGTTTTCCCCCAACTGACCCTGACCAATCATGCAAACCCACGCAAGCCCAGCTGCCTTTCCTTTTTTGCACCGATTTTCAAGTCCAAGGCCAAGCTTTTGTGGCCTTGCGCAGCAAAACCCCTTGCTAAAAGGGAGCTCATCCTTTTGTCAAGGACAGTTTGCTTTAATCAAGGAAGTGGCAAACACTTGATCCCTTTTGGCAAGGGTTTTGGGCAATGCCTCTTCCTTCACTTCTTTGTTTTTTTGGGCTGAGTCCTGGAGCAAGCTTTTCACTTTGGCCAAGGCCATTCCTTGTTGCTTTTTTAGCAAAACCTTTTTGAGGAGGGACACCTGTTGGGCTAGCTCCTTGCGCAGTGTGTCAGCCTCCCCCTAGCTGCTTTTGTAAGCCTTTTGGCTTGGTTGCACTTGAGCGTAGCTTGCTCCAAGTCGCTCCAAACACTGTTGCCAGCATCCCTTGCTTTCTTTACCTTGTTCAAGCAGGTGTGCCACTCTTGCTCTTCTGTTGCCTCTAGATCTTCAGGGTCACCGTCTTCAATTGCAAGGTTTTTTTTGACCTTTGCCTTTTCCCAAGGCTTTGCCTTTCCCAAACCCTTTTGGCAAGGATTTCCCTTTTCCACCCCACCCCTGAATATCCAACATATGGGCATTGAAGTCCCTGGGTTTCAGGTCATGCCACTGCTGGGCTGTGTCTTCTGTTTGTTCGTACTCTTGCCCTTCTGTCCATGCCTGTGCCATTTTTTACTCTTGTAGTCTTTGTTGTGTCCTGTTGGCCCTGCAGGTGGGTGTCCAGGGGTCATATCTCCGCAAAACCCTCCCAGAGCTATTGTGGAGCTCTAGCTCCTGGGCTGTGAACTTTTTAAGCATCTCAAGCTCGGATTCCCATTTCTCCCTTTTATCAAGGGTTGCTGACTGTTCCAGGGTTTCGGACACATGCATGAACCTGGGGATGCTCTTCTGCACAGAGCGGAAGCTACACACAGCGGAAGCGACCAGGGACATCCCGATCAACTCCAGCCAATATTGGCATGTTGGACTCCTCGGAATGGATCCAGGACCACCAAACACTCTCAACTACCACGGTTTTGGCGAAACGACTGGGACCATCAACAACTCATAGCCCAGGACGCATTTGCCAGCATGGCCCATACATAGTTACACATACATGTGCATGCAAACATATGACACATAACACGACACAAAATTCCTTCTTCAAAAGGGGAGGCGCACGGGAAGGCTGGCAACAAGTCAGTGATGAGTAAATGATGTTGGGGGTGCGGAATCATCCTCGTAACGCAGGCAATGCTGGGGACGTATAACCATTGTCATCATCGCTACGGTTTTTCCAGACAGGAGAAAAGCCATCCAGCTATATAATGGTGCTTGGCTGTACAGGGACCAGCGGCTGACACTCCCAGCATCACCTGAGTTTGGGAAAGGAAATGCGTTTCCGCTGTTTGTTGTCTACGTGCAGGCAATAAATGCCACGAAGGGAATGGAGAGAAGGGCAGGTTTCCCGGTGGCCGGCTGTCAGCATCAAATGGCTGTGATTGTTTTTAGGGTACGCAACGCGCGACGCTGCGCGAATCTTGTTACGCAGGTGTGTGACGGGGGCGCTTGTTACAAAGGTGTGTAACGGGAAAGCAGCTCTTAACAATGATCAGTAGCGCAATGTGGAGCTCCAGCTCGATAGTCGCAACTATTCTGCGCAAGTGCAGTACGCAAAGCTGGAAAGTTTGCAAGTGTTCAACGCAAGCCAAGCTACGGCAAAAAGGGGGTCGCTGGCTTGGGCTGGGGTTGGGTGACGAGGTCTGTGATGGCTATGAACGTAATGAGGTGTGTAATGAGGCATAGCACAGACAGGGTTTTTGTTTTCTTGCGGCACCTCCCTACTAGTTGACTTCATGTTGACTCTTCAGCGAAAGCATGCTCTGCAAAGGTCTGCTCTGCAGGCACACATGGGAAATTACCCAGAGTCTGGAAAATCACCGAGGTCTGTAACACCTGTCCGCCGTGGCTCTGTTCCAGACCCCTCGAACAAATCACTGCACACAGTGCGTTCTCACGCACGAACTGCACTGTACGTATGTAAACTAATATGTTGATCTACGCAAAGTGTCATACTGTCATACATACTGCCAACTGCCGAATTAATGCCTGCTTCAGCATTGTTGCCCCTGACTCCTTTGATGCAACGTTTGCAGCATTTCCGCCACATGTTCAGGCATTGAATGCACACCCCAGCTCACTTATTAACATGCTTCAGAACCAAGGCACTAATTATCATCATTGCTGTGCGCAAATCCACGCAGCGGGCAGTGATGGCGATGCTGTAGCTCGTTGAGTGTGATCGTGACAGGGAGCCTACAAAAGAAAATGCGCCAAGCGCATCGAGCCAACTGAGCAAATCAGGACAGGAGGTCTGCCGTTCGCAACTAGACATGCGACTTATCTGACCGTTGGTATCCGCTGGCTGATCCTTCACTTCTGGATAGCGGATATCGGCTATCTATTTCCAAAGCCCTTGCAGACAATTCCTTGCGCACGCCAATGAATTCATTCAAATGCAATAATTACCTTCTCAAGATTCCCCTTGCAGCTACTACAGTCAAGCAAACTTCCAGAACATCCGCCTGCCTCTAGGCAACATGTCTCAAGCCACATTCAACGATTTCATGAACCGAACGCCGAAGCAACCAAAGCGCCTGGACCAGTCCTTCCATAGCATTTGTTGCTGCCGCTGTCGACCCAAACTCGGGCACAGCCATCGCCGCGACCGCTGGTGCTCTTGCACCAGCAGCCTGTCATGACCTTGCCACCGGAGCACTGCGCGGTAGGCCCCGAGTCTTGATTGGACGCATAGCTGCCGCTCTTCGTGACTGTGCCCCAACTTCGCGCTGCTGGCTCCGGGATGTCAGCACAAATTGCCTGGGCGTAACCGCCCTTGGCGTGGCACGTCTCGCCACTGAGCCAGACCTCCTTGCAGTGGTGCGAGATTGTCCAAGTGTGCGCCTTCTCCGAGAAAGTGTCGGGAAAGCACATGCAGGACCTTACAGATTTCTGGGCAGGCCTGTGCTTATTGGTCAGCATGGTCAATCCAAACCCGGATGTCCATTCCGCAACATGCAACCGCAAAAGCGGCCGCAGTAGCCAATCACAAACATCATAAAGTGACCTACGCAAGCTTTCACTATTTGCTAAGATTTCTTCAAGAAGCAGCACGCGCTGACCCGAGGGGCAGGAGGCGGACACCGAGGAGGGCAGAGTGCGTCTGCGCCTGGAGCGTCTGCGGCGGGATCGTCTGCGGCGGGAGCGGCGGCGACGGGTGCGTCTTCTGCGGCGGCGGCGGCGCCTCCGTCGCCAGCCCTCTGTGCCGGCACTCTCCGAGGAACTTTCTTCCTGAGCATTTGACCGAGGAACCGGCCTAACCTAAGATAAAGATAGAACGCCAGCCTCTGCAATTAAATGCAGCCGAGAGTCCAAAAGAGAAAGCTCGCCATCTGAATGTTTTTGCAACTCCTGATCTGACTCCTTGTCCTCTTCGGCCATGTCTGCATCAGAGCTCTCGGCTTCGCTGTGCTCGTCAAGCTCGCCCAGGTGCTCGTCATCCAGGCCCTCGTGGTCTTCGTCCGCCACGTCCACTTCGTCTTCGATGTCTTCTTCGTCCTCGTCCCGAGCCGTGCCCACAGCATCCAAACTCACCTCCCGGTCGTCCTCATCTGCCTCATCTGCCTCATCTGCCACTGCCTCTGCCACTGTTCCGTTCACTCCACTCTCCAGGAAACTGAAGCTGGGACCACCGCTGGTGATGACCTGGTGAGACTTCAGGAAGGTCATGGACATGCACTGTGACTGGGACCGCACCGAGGCTGACTTGCCAGTGGTGCCGTGGACATCCGTGGTGCCGTACGCATAGCAAGTGGAGCCAGACACCTTGGAGCCCGTGCAGACCCCACTGTCGGCGATGCAGGAGCAATGCGTGATCCTGTACCTCCTTCGGCAGCTTGACGAGGCGATGCCATCTCTTCTTCTTGATGCGCCGCTTTTCTCTACGAAAGAGTTCAGCGGGTAGTCGATGGCCTCAAAGTCCATAAGAATCTCACCACGCGGCGTCGATGCCACAGTGCCCTCCTTGTTCCAGTACCGGCGCCGGGAAAACTGAGACAAAGTCATCTGACTGCCATGGTTCACGGTGAGCTTGTTGCTCACAGTGTTGGTGTTGGGGAGCTGCCTGATGTACCACTTGTACTGCTTATTGGGGTTCAAGCCCTGCACCACGGCGGAGGAGATGCCTGCAACATCCCGCATGATGCCCATGTTGTTCTGCATCCGGGACCATCCCAGCAGCTTGATGGTGGACAAGTCTCCAAATGGCTCGATGTAGGTCGTTTCCCGTGTCAAGCCCTTGGTAGAGTTCCCTGTCCAGGACCTGACAGGCTTGTTTTCGTCGCAAATGCCTTGATCTTGGAACACTCACTGTTCATTTAGGCAAAGTAGGCCTGCCGCAAGCAGCCCTGCCTGGTACCGCCAGGATTCACCACAGCAGCCGCACGCGTGAAGGAGGGCGAGGTGCCCTGTGTCTGCGTCAGAAATTGCCTTCGAAGACTGGTCTTCCAGCATGCCTCGGGGTTGGCCACCTCACAGGGCGAACGAGTTGAGGTTCCAAGATTGCACGTGTGCCAGGGGCAAACCCAGTTGGCACAAAGGGTGCTTGGAGCTATGCGAGGCTCGGAACATCACGCCTGGCAGCTGGCGTTATGTGGCAAGGCCAGCAAATCACCTTCCATGCCGAACTCCCGCACTAAGCTGTCACAGCCAGTGTAGAGGCGGCACGTCTGGGCCCCGTGGGATGTACCGCTCCAATAAAACTGGCATCCAGCGTAGTCCTTGCATCGCTCCTGGACACGCCATTCCCGAGAATCCCCCGGCAAATGCTCTGGGCAAAACTGGCAGGTTTGATCACCGCCCATGGCGTGCCCCTTCCAAGGAGATTACAAAGTGCACGCCCAAGCGGGTGGCCTGGAGGCGCTACGGGGTAGCACGAGGCACGGGCCTTGCGACCTCTCGCTTGAAGCCGTCCTGGCAGTCTGAGGGCTCCATGCTCTCGGCCTCCGACTCGAAGTGGATGCCGGCCGCGCCCTTCATCAGCTGCCGGGAGGGGCATGCAAACTGCCCAGAGACGATCAAGAAGGGTGGAGGAATAAAGCTGCCGTTGCCTGCACAGGCCGGCATGCCCCCGAACGGTCGGATCAACTTTAGGATCAGCTTTGGGCCTCAATCTGCTACGACTTACTGCAGGAATGAACCACCATAGTTGACGGATTGATGATGAGAGAGGAAGCTGGGCTACGAGGCCGGCAGTGCAACCCGTGCAAAATCCACAGGTTCAAATCAAAGAACTCAACGGGTCTCCCTGTTTTATCCCAACCTGGCAGAGCAGCTTTCTGATGCTGTGACTGTGTGTGCCGAGTCGCTTGTGGGCGGGATATTCTCCAAGGCCATCGCATCCGCAGGCCAACCGCTGCCCCATTCCAAAGGAAGACAGTCACAAGGGTGAAGCCAGAAATCCTTCGCACGCTCGACAACGCGCCAACAGTTGGAGTAAACTACAACATGTTGGATCCTTGGGTCAACGTTATATTCATGCGTCATGGATTGTCGTACCATGCATCCTGCTTTTGAATGTTTGGGACAGTGGGTCGCACACACTGATTTCTGCATCGATGAGCAAAAGGTTGGGGGAGAGACAGCCCAGCCGATATCAAAGAGCACATCAGCAGGTAGTGCGATCAGTCTGTCTGAGACAACACGAAGGGGGGGACAGAACCAGAAAACGTGTGGTTCAACAACAGGTTGGGCAATCAGCAGTCGGTGCAATGGTGAGCACCTTCTCGATCATACATAGCGAAAACGCGCTGGAGTGTGTTTCACAGCACAACTGAACAAACGTGATAATGCTCCCAGTCTCGCAAAACATACTTTGTGTGGGTACAAAAATGGCAGACTTCACAGGGGGGTGCGCAGCCCGAGACAAAAAAAAAACAGTGACAAGTTCCTTTCACGTTGAGACTCACTCTGAATGAGCTGGTTGAGACGCTAGCAGGCAAATGCTAAACGTCAGAAGAATGCCAAGTTCCTTTGCCACAAGCGCTTATGACTACAACGCGAAAAGCAAGCGGAAGCCGTTGACGACCTGAATGCAGTCTCCTCAGTCTGTGTGGTGCTGGGGTCGTCGAAAACAAGCGGCTGCAGCATCTCCTGTTCGAGCCACAAACGGTGCAGCCGTGCGTGCATATCTTGCTGCGCATCATCTCATCACCACTGACAGCTGCAAACAAGAACATTGGAATAGCCTACTAGCGCTTGCTCGCCACAAACGATGACTACGCAACCAAACTGATACAAACAAGTACCCAAATAGTCCCTGGAAACATCCGGCATCTCTTCACGCCGCTGTCTTTTGTCAAACCTTCCGATCGAGCATTGCAGCCAATTCACGGGTCGCAGCAAACAAATGCTTGCCATCCATCTTGCTATGGTTCTTGCGGTTTTGCGGCAAACATCGTTCAAGTGCATCCGCAAGCAAGTACGCAGCTGCGTTCTTCGAGTTCCAGATCTATCGAATGCACTGGCTTGTTGTCGCAATGAACATTGTTCAGTTGTTCCTTCAAGGAAACATGGTCGGATTGGGAGAACTAGCAAACATCGTACTTTGAGGGCCCAGGGATTCCCTTGATCCCTCACCGTCCTCCTCTGCTTCGGGAAAGAGAGGCTTGCCACAGGCCATCGTGGCCAAGTTCAAGCTCATACCCGTGCCGCTGCTCGGCAAGCCAGCATCCAGGCAAGCACGCTCGTTGCCTGGCTGTGACAATGCTGTGTCTGTAGCTAATTCTGCTTGCATGTGTTTCTGTTTGTTGTGTGTGCGTTTTTGTGTTCTGCGTGTGGTGTCGCATGTTCGCGCGTTCTTTGTTTTTGGTCGTCAATAGCCATTGTTTGGGCATATTCTGCGTCAGATGCTCTGTGTCTCCCTGGCTCTGTGTGGCCGTGCGTCTGTGTGTCCATGCGTCTTTCTGAATGTGCTACTGTATTGCTGTATTGCTGTGTTGCTCTGTTGCCCTTCTCTGACTTTCTGTCCATGTGCATGTGTGTGGGTGGGTGGGTGCACTGGTGTGTTTGTGTGTGTGTGTACCTGAGCACCTCTTTGTGTTTTGTGTGCATCAATCATGTCGTATTGCGTGTGTGCGTGTGCGTGTGCGTGCGCGTGTGTGTGTATATCCTGCATCTGTGTCTGTATCTCTTGGGCGAGTACCAGTGTGTGTCTGAGAGTCTTCGTTTCTGAGCGTCTCTGCCTGTGGGTCTGTGTGTCCGTGCGTCTGGGTCTGTGTGGCTACATTCTGTGTGTGTGTGCATCTGCGCGCGGTCACCCATTTAGTCTCTATCCGGCAATTATCCAGCAACGATAAACACCCTTCATGGCAAAAGCAGCACAATGCATGACATCATACAGCATGTCCAGAGACTCCGTTAGACACAACAACCACTTTGCAACAAAGACACCCTTGAGCTCGAAGTAGCCCATATCTGAGTCGACGAAGTCATCCCCACTGGCAGTCTGCACGAGCCACTTGCCCACTGCGCAAGATGAAGTTGAGCCCGGAAGCACGGTGCTCAGAAACCTGGGCTTCAGCTTACCTGATGACCTGGTGCGTATGCTGTCTCCCAAACATCTGCCTGATGCTCAAGTATCGTTGCGGCCTTAAAAACATCATCTGCTCAACTGCTCAACTAGACATTCCATCAGCGTTGAAGCAAACACTTCAAACCCAACGCATTCCCTCAACAGTCTGTCGCTCATGCCATCTACGTCTTAAAGCAAACATGACGCTCAGCTGTGTAAGAATCCCCAAGCCACACAAGGGCATTTGACGCAGGCTGACAAATATAGGCCAGGAAGCATGACTTCTTGCTTGACGGTGCTGTCCTTGCGGTACACAGGGCCTCCCCGTTGGAAGTCATAGGCGACAGGGCAATAGTCGCCCGCCACAACCCACTCAGGATGTTTCAGCCGCAAGCATGTGTTCAAATCGCTGCAGTCAGTGACTTTTGCGAAAGCAGTCACTGGCGATCCTCCCTCATTCTGAATGCGCCAGTGCTTGCATTTGTCATGAGCAAAGGTGTAATGGGAGCAGCGCTTGGACATACGGCAGTTGTTGCGGCAGGTGGCTTCGTCAAGGATGGTGACCTCATGAACCACTTGGCCCTGGATTGTCTCTGAGATCCAGCACATGCTATCCTTGATGCGGATCACCACAGGTGTTTTGACTGGCTGGAAATCTGTGCCGGGGAAGGAACCCCACACACCGCAGCTCAGCTGAACAGACTTCCTCTGTTGGCTGCCTGCCAGAATCCCATCATCTTCCCCGTCAAACAGCTTAGCCATTGTGGCGGCTGGCGCGAGTGAGATAGTGCCGTCCGCCAGGATCTCCAAGATGGAGTGCTCCCCCAATAAGCCGACACCCCACACAGTGTCGAAGGACCAGGTGGGCGAAGGGCGTGGGCTGTTCCAATTGCCATCCACAACGCAAGACATGTGGAAAGAGCTCGGCTTCAGGCCGCCCATGCCCTCCTGAGGCTGCCGAACTGCAATGCGGCGCAATGCGGCTCTGTGCGACTGGACACGACTTGATGTGACTCGATGCTCGAAGCAACGCCTGCCTCGAAGCCGCTTGGCACCTGGAGCTTCATCGGGGGAAGCTCCTCACCCACCACCACCTCCACGTAGCTGGCCTCGTACGTGATGGCCGGCCAAGGCCGCGGCCTGATGGCCGCGAAGGTGGTGCTGCGCTTCACAAACCTAAGTTTGGCCGCGCGGCAACACGGCTTTCAGCCAAACTCAACAAAGTTCGTCCTGCGTGGAAGCAATATACAAACAAGCAACTCCTCATCCGTACTCTTATCGTTCGACTTCTGCAAGGCCGACACAACGCAAACAGCTCCATCCATACCCTTATACTCATTCTCACCCGCTTCTGTGTCTGTGATGGCACCAGCGATGCTCGTCGCAGACAAGGACACTTCACCAGCAGCGGAAATGGAGAGCCACGGGGCATCCGGAGCACAAATCATACTGAAGTCCTTGCGAGGGCAATCACGGGCGCAAGTGCTTGGATCTGGATATTCTTGGCGCCCGCTACTGAACGCAAGCCTAATTGCAGTCGACGAGTCGCGCCTTTACATGTCCTTCTAGCCTGCAGCCCGGTCCTTCCACTCAGAGGTTTCAGTGGCCACTGAGTACTTGGTGACCGTGTCGAAGATTAAGGCCCCCGAGCCATAGGTCATACTGTCCACGATGACCGAGACCTTGACGGTTTCCTCCAAGCCCACGTCCTGGTGCGCAGTAACCTCGCACTGCACTGAGAAGGCTTTTGCAGGCTTCAACTTGTTGGCAGCGTAGGAAATGGCCCCAGTCTCGCCATCCAAGGTGAGGTTGTGCGCTGCCAAGGCGCAGTCCGAGTTCACGGAATACCTCGCGGCAGTGCGGGGCAGTGGTTTCAGCACTACATCCGCACCCACGACGAAGCGTGCGTCCGGGTACTGAAAGGGTGTGGGGCTCTTCACTCCACCGCCGCAAAGGCAGCAGGCTTGCTTGTTGCTCTGCCCGTTCACCGGCCGGTCGTTACAGTCGGCTACCGTGAGGGCGTCGCAGGTTTGGTTCAGCTCGTTGGTCCAGCCGACCGTGCTGAGGCAGGAGACGCAGCGATTGGCCACAGTTACGAAGCCCCCGCGGCACTTCTCACACTTGCCAGAGTACTTGGCACAGCCAGCGCACTCCCAGGACTCCGTGGGGCAGCATGTGGTCTCCGAGGTGTTCACATGGTACGCCACCAAAGGAATGCCATTGCACGAGCTTGCGAGATTCCTCGCGGCACTGTACGGGACGGTGGCCCCAGAAATCAAATTGCCATGGTTGAGTATACATTGCTGCTCAAAAAACTATAGGGTCTCCGAGCGGCGGACACTGGCTATCAAATGGACGGCCAGAAACAAAGGAAACGGCATGAAAAGACGTGAGCAAGCGTTGAGCGAAGGTGAAACATCGTTGCCCAACTTGTGAGGCCCTAAGGTCTCGCAGCCCCGCTCGCAACTCAGAGTCCTGGCCACCAGCATCTCGTTCCGGATGTGTTGGATCTTCTCCGTGGCGGCCAGCGGCGTGGGAGGCTGCTTTCGGCGCTGGCATTGAGGCGCCAGAGTCTTGGACTGGTTCTGCAGCCATGCGAAGCTTGGCGCAGAATCGTATGACCCAGTCAACCTTGCAGCTTCAGAGCATTGAAAGTGCACACGTCGCCCTGCGCACCCCTGCGCTAAGATCAGCCAAGCAGCCCATCGGAGAACTGGATCCGCCCTGACCCTGCAAAGCGCCTGGACTGGAGCAATGCTGGGCTGCTGGCTTCGGCTGGCTCATCACACTTTGGCTCAGCGTGGCTGCCTGACGACAACCAAAAAAGAGCCGCGGTTGAAAGGAGATGCCCCCAGAGGGGCATGAGCGGTAATGGCGCAATAGGTCGATGCCCTCTGTCAGGCAGAGATCATGAACCGTAACTTGAGCCAATGGCTTTTCAGCCATGAATGAGAGTAGTCCAAGGCTGCGAATGATCAGAACACCGACATGCCACCATGGATCGTGAATTTATAGTGGCTCCCGAAACCCCAATGAGCAGCCTGCACAACTTAAGCAGGCACCGCCCAAGAACAGCAAGTCTACGACGGCGGCTCCTCCGAAGCACTGGCTCTCCTGGCGAAGATCAGCGCTCAACAGCGAATACCATAAGGCTGCTGCGAGTGACGTCTGAAACCCAGCGGGCCCACAGTGCTTGATCTTTGCTCAGTCTTCACTAGCTTGCTGCGAACGCGGCTGCGAACGCGGCTGCGAATGATCAGAACACATGAAAGAGCAGCATCTCTGCCGTCAATGAAAACAACTGCGGCGCTCTGCCCATCACACCTGCGCCGTGCACTGTTGGGAAGCCAAGTCCCATGGCCAATCGTTGGGACTTTGCACATGCGGCTGCTTCAGAGCCCAAGGGCTGGCATATTAACCACTTGGGCCACAACCTCGTGCAAAACCCTGCGCTGACTTTGTCGAACTAGCTTCCTCTGTTTTGGTCCGCAAGGATTGGTGAGCTCTATACATCCACAACCATCTGTCTTGTATTCAAGATGCGTGCAACAATGCATCTTGGCGCCATCTCTGTGAGCCACGACCTGTGTGTCGGTCTTGTGTTTAGTTCTGTTAGGAAGGTCCTCTCTCCGCAAGACTTATTGACAAAATTTGCTTGTTTCCATGATGAAGCTCTCAACGTGTATATTTATTAACTCCAGTTTTGTGCGAAAAGGCTTCCCATGGCTGGCGTCCAGAAAACAACTCGCGCCCATGCACTGCAACGCTCGTACTCTCATGCGCTTTTCGCGCGCTCCCTGAAGAGCACAGCAGCTTTCCATGGTCGTGTCCTGCCAAGCTTGTCTGTTCCAAAGACGTGTTGGGTAGGTCTCAACGCAATCAAAACAGATAGTGTCTGTGATTAAACGTGCAAAGTGCACTTGCCAGGGACCATATTCAACAACTGTTTCGTCAAATGCCTATAGAAAAAGCCAGAAAGAAAGGAGCTCCCCGTGCCTGACTGCTGAAGCTGGAAAACACGAAACAAACCACACAATTCCACAAGTCTGCTTCAGCTGCTTTTGTCAGTGTCGCACATCTGAAACACTGCGCTGCATGGACCGGACTGGGCACACACCAGCGTGCAAACCAGGCTTCTGGACATTTGAAAAAGCTTGGTCGAATTAATACGCAGCGATCGCAGCGATTGAAAAGTGTTGAGCCACGCTGAGCTACGTATGTGAAATGCGCACACACACACACATGCTCACTGAGGACACTGGCCTGTATTGAGTGGTGACTTTTGCTCACTTCTTGCTGAGCTAATATAAATGCTTCCGCTGTCAGGCTGTGTTCAAACTTTCTGCTCAAAATCCGAAACGAGCGAACAAACTGCTCAAAGCCCCGAAAAGTGACCAAACGGGCTTGGCGTTAGCTTCATCGTAGGAGCGCCGGACCTGTGCCGAGAAGTCCTTCAAGACTGAGATGTCAGGAGGCGGCATGCTGGCAGCCTGGCAGAAAGGGACACATGCCAAGGCCGCAGTCCACATCCTTCATTCAACAATGTCTCACGTGTCGACTGTTTGGAAAGCCGGTCCTGGAAGCGGTGCAGCAAGAAAATGGCGCCCTGCACCGCAAAGCGCGCCTGATGTAGCGTCTGCTTGGCCAGCGGGGACTTGCTGCCCTCTGCAGCGGCGAAGGTGTGGAACACGCCACCGTCACGGATCACGGCGGCCAACTCGCCCAGGAGGTTGGCCACCTCGCGCCACGTAGACTTCAGCAGTCGGTGGCTCTTGTGCATCTTGGCCACACTGGCGCCGTAGCTGTGCAGCAGGTCCTCGAAGCCCGCCTTGCAGTCCTGGTAGCTGCCCAGGACCTGGAAGGATGCCTGGAAGTCCTGCACCTCCGACTCCGCCACATCCAGGTAGGCGTCCAGTCGGTTGCGCAGGCGCCACCAAATGTGATCCAAAGCCAGCAACGCTTCGCTGGTGCCGCGCTTCCAACCCTTGGCCGTCTGGTGCACCTCCGTGCTGTGCCTGCGGTACACGCCCAAGGACCGCTCCTGCCGAGTGAAGCGCTGCTGCAGCTGCCGCACCTCGTGGTTGATTTGCCGCCCCACCACCTGCCACGCGAAATGACAAACTGATTGCATCATCTTAAATTGCGTGGCGCAGCATGATGTCATTTTCAGGCGGGCTGGCAGGGGCGGGGGGCGGGGGAAGCCGAGTCCCGATGAGCCTGGGCGTGCGACAAGCCGCCACCCGTCATCTGCAAAGCGCCGTGCAAAGACTGCACTTGATTCTGGAAGTCCTGCACCTGACATGGGCATGGGATGTCAAGCAACTATGTTCAGAACCTGACTGGTCAGGGGGCTCCCAACTTTTGAATTTGACGCATTGTTCGAAACTCGCGCTGTCTCCTTCACACACTTCGTTGCGATCACTTTATGCATGGTTGCAACATCAACCCTGCCCCAAGTGAAATTGCCACACCAGCCCTGAAGATAGTGAAAACAAGGAGGATACTGAGGACCCCAATTTCGGCCGGGAATAGCATTCCTTTATTCAGTGGCGGGCTGCAAGTCTTGTTTCAGCTTCCCTCGAGGCAGCCGGTCCCATACCAACGCCAGTTTTTGCTGGACGAGGTTGGATGACCCCCCCCCGGACACCCCACCTGGCTCAGTGAGGCATTCGCATTCAGCATCTGCGCGGTCTTCAGGAAGTTGCTCAGCGCACTGCGCGCAGCATGTCGACCAGCCGCGTTGAAGGAGGCGGCCTCAGCATAGCCGCGCATCTCCTTCAGCATGGCCTGAGGGGTGGCTGGCTGTGCAGAATACATGGAATTAGGTTGGCATTGAGTCGGACCATACGACATTATATGGCATGACTGGATGTGAGCATGCCGAATGTTGTGGACTTGAAACACAAGATATCCGACATGCAAAGGTCGGGGACTTTAGGGCTTTGGCTCCAAGATCATCCTAAGCTGCGCCTTGCCTGAGTGGCGGTTGCGGCATTCTTCAGCACCAACTGCTCAGCCGGCTGAGTATTCTGGGCAATGTGCTCCAAATAGATCGTGTTCACCTTTCAATATCGGTCAAACGCGGCATTCAAAAAGAGAGTAAAAACAACACAACGCCACACAACCTCTCTGAATGTTTGCCCACCTTCAAGGAGTGATCGATCTTTTTGTCCAGGTACTCGGTCTCAACTCGGTTGGCCTCTGTGGACCACTCCACCATCTTCTTCATGTTGTCGTTTGAGATCTTCGTGGCCTCCTCGAGGTTGCGGATGATGGTGCGGTCGCCCCGGATCACGGCGTCTCGCACGCAGTGGATGTCGCAAAACACTCGCGAGAAGCCGACCTGCAGCGGGTTGCAGGCATTGAAGCCTTCCTCCTCCAGCGCGTAGGCAGTTCCTGCGAAGCCGAAGCCAACAGGCAAGTCCACCATGGTTCGGACAAAATCCGTGACCTGATCGCAAATGCTGTCGGGCTCGACCTCTGCTCCAGCACCCAGTGGGGCGATCTCAACATCAGGAGGCATTGCGCACACCAGCTTGATCCCCTCCTGAATTGCATTCCCCACCAAGTCATATGCTGTTTCCGCAAATCCAAGCTGTGCTGACAGCAGGTCTCTATTGATGTCACCCTGCATGCAGTCGTTCCAATCCGAGTACAGCATGTTCTCTGGAGCCATCTTATTGCTCTGCCCAGCCATCCTGCCAAAAATGCCGCCTGCGCCCGCAGCCACCGCGCAAGGGTGGTAGTCCAAGAGCTCTTCGCCTTCCGTGCCAGGATCAGCCTCCAGCTTAGCCTCCTCCGTCACAGGTTCCTTTGCCTCGTTTATGTGCGTCTCCACAACCTTCTTCCACAAGTCCTGCACACGCACAAGTAACACATTACGCCTAACACAATTTGTAAGTGTAGTGAAGACCGTCAACGACCTACTTCGGTGCAAATGTCTCCCAAGGATGCGCGAAAAAACCCGTGCTAGGGCACAAGAATACAAGACTCCAAATTCACAGCCGGAAGTGGTGAGGCTGCAAATCGCGCAAAGCTGAGTCACCGCGATTCAAACAACTTCTGAGCGATCCCAGGTCTCCTGGTAGTCCAAACATTCCGCAGAGTACTCGGGCTGCTTGGCCTTGAAGTCCTGCAGCTTGGGCTTTGGCGGCTGCGCTGGCCGCTTCGGCGGCTTCAGCTTCTTGAGCTGCTTGGCCAAGTTGCCAGCGCCCTCGCCTTCCATCCTGAGATGCCGCATCGCTGCGACGAACGACGATCATCGACGCCGATCAACGGAACATCAACAGAGACGTACGGAAGCCGTTGACACCCAAGGGCAATGAACAGCACTCAACAGCAAACAACCGGAGTCAGTGGCCAAACAACGGCAAAAACTGCGATCGCTGGTCCCGCGTGCGGCTCAACACAATTGCCAACGCCGAGCGTCTTGGGGATTCCCTTGGCTTCGAATTCCCCGGCAAAGTCTGTGACGTTCAGCACCTGTTGCAAGGAGCTGCAAGCTTGGCCCTTCCAAGACAATCGCTCCACGCTGGCTCTGTGCCATGGCAAAACGGCTCACTGTCCCCACATTTCGGGCTCCTCGATGCCCTGCGACCGCTGGGGGGACGTGGGGAGATGTGCGTTGGAAATCCACAAAAGCTGCCCTGCCTCGAAGCCGGGCATGGAAACGCCGATGGGATCAGCTCCGCCCAGGGGCACGGAGCACGCAGAACCTACGCACCAAGCGCCGCTGCTCTGGAAGGTCAGGGTGTCGCCCGTAATGGAGTTCTCGTACTCGAAGCGACCGGTTCTTTGGTCAAGTAAGACAGGGCAGAAGACACCTTCGGGTGCCTGAAGAAGGCACGGGCTGAACTCAAAGCCCGTGAATGGCAACTTGCTGCAAGCTGACTTGTTCAAAGCAAATGTCTCGAACATGCAGCAAGGTAGTTGAAACTCGCAACTCAAGGCATGGCTCGGAAACCATCTCTTTCATCTGTCTTCCGCCGGGGGGCTTGCGTCAGTTGCTCGATCTTGGTGGACGGCTCCATGACGACTGGAGCCCCGCCCGCCTTGGAGCAGGTGTACCTGGAGCGTGCCCAGCGGCCGCCTTCGGAGAACTCAAAGTGGAAACCGCTCAGAAGACCGTTGGCGCCACAGTCCACGGTGATCATCTTCCTCACGTCACTTGAGCATTGCTTTTGTAGAGGTTCAGACTTATACATGCTGGGGAGGCTAGCTTCGTGAGGCTTCGCGGCACGACTGTCGTGGAGTGGCTTCGCGGACGTTTGTTCCACAAACATCTCTGACGTCTGCGCTCTCATTTGGCTAGCTCAAGTTGGGTCTATGCGGCAAGCGAGACATTGCGCCTCATAGGGGACATGGCCGCGGCTCAAAGGGGCGGATGGAAGTTGGACCGCGGTGGCTTCGCGGAGGGCTTCGCAGAGGCTTCGCGAAAACGGTCTATCGTTTCTACAAAGGGTCTGAAAAGCGCAGTGCTATTCGGCTGTCTTCCTTTCATCCCATAACTTCCACTTGCCTGTCTGCAATCTTCCTGTAATCTGGTCATAGTCTTCCGGCAGCCATCTAAAAGCAACTCGCGACTCCAAACATCAACCTTTGGCATGCTGGGGGGGCTACGCGAATTGGCTCGGGGCTTCGCGGCACACAATGTCAAGTTCCTTCGCGGACCTTTTGGGAGTTCCCCCCGCAGCTACAATCCCATCATCTGAGAAAAACAACACTACTCAGTTGAACATGATCTGATGACAGCTGCAATGAACCTGGCTCTGTAGCCTGCCTTTGCCTTTTGCCTATGTTTCCCAGCGACCCTGAAAACTCGAACTCCAACCACATGCGCATCAAGCATCTTGCATGCATCTTGCCTGAGAGGTCGCCTGTTAAAAGCCAAGTCTCAATGACTCGAGGAAGTTTGAACGCTTTGCGTCCCAAACCTTGACCTCCACCTGCGCACTGAAATACTCGTACGTCGCACCCAGCCCGCCAATGCGGCTACATTCATAACTGAACTTGTTGCCGGCCGGCTGGTGCTTGAAACCTGCATGGGCTTTGTGCAGTGACCAAAGTCATGCCTTGAATCACCGCAATGTTGCAACATCAACTCGACACATGTCTCGTGGCGTTGATATTATTTCGCTGGGTTTCTTTGGCTTTTGTGCCCAACAGCTGAAAGCTATGGGAAAATAATTCTGAACAGCAATCCAGCACAAGGATCCGCTTTGCCTTTTGCCAATTTGCGGCAGCTGTGAAACTACATTATGAGACATGGCTCATGCCACCTTTGGCCTCTCCCGTGAGAAACCTTGCCTTGGGGGAACGCTGCCCAAGTAGCGGCCAGCTTTTCAAACCACCCCCCCCCCCGCCCCCCCGCGATGTTGTTTGGAGTGGCAACGCTTGAAAGAGCTCAACTTGCCCGTGTCCATCAACATCTGCCTGTCAAAGCCTCTCCGTCTGCACAAAGAATGGGCGAGTCTGCCAAGATCGTGTTCCAGTCTGGCCAATCACTGCTGGTCTTGTCATAGGTGATGGTGCTGTCAACGAAAGCCCCGAACCTCAGATTTTTGGCGCACGACGAAACTGCCTCCGTGAGCAAACGTTGGATCTGCTGGCAAAGAGACAACTAAGAGACACACACAAAAACAAACGGACGAACCAACAAGCAAGCAAGAAAGCAAACAAACATCGCACAACAAAACAACACTACAGCCCAACAGCGATTTAATGGGCACAGCCGAGAAACTTGATGACCGGTGCGAAATGACACTTCGACTTGATGCCACTAACGTCGCCACCAAAGATTTGCCCATAAGATAAGCTGACCAGCGCACCGTGAGCACCACAGTAGGATGAGAAGGCCTTGTGCAAATCTTCCCCGGTATTGCGATCAGCACTTTCATGCCTAGGCCCGTCAAATGTTCATGCGCCTGTGTTTGCGCACATACTCGCAAGCGCGAAAAACAAGGCAAACTGCAGTGAAACAGCAAACAACAGCGTGGACCAACACATGCTTGAATCAGGCACCACATTTGAGCAGCAGCAAACAGCCGCGTCACAGGTTACCAATTGCAATCACCAAGAATCCCAATCCCAAAGGTGCCATGTCAGTCATTTCAGTGGTGAGCGGAGCCGAGGCGCATGCTCCACATGATGCCGGGTATGGCCATTGGGGAGATAACCTGGCGCTCCTCATCCACATTGCAAGTGCTGTGCTTGACGGAGGGGGACGTGCCATCATCACTGGGCACAGCTTGCAAGCATTGCCTGGGCTGGAGCGATGCGGCTGAAGCAGCGACCACAGCCTTCCTAAGACGCTCAAAACGGACAACAAAGTCATGCAAAAGGTTCTCTTCCGCTGCTAGTGCGTGGGCGGAAAGCGCAATGCTCGTCAACGTGCAAAGAAGGAGAAACGGCGCTGCCAAAGCAAGGCAAACAAAGTGTTTCGTCAACTCCATGAATGTGTTAGGATTGATCCCATCCAGCTGAGGGCGATTCGGTCTGTCAGGCCCCCTCTCAGCCCTCAGCCTGCTTTGTTTGGCCCATCTCGCCGTCTGTAAGCCAAAAATATACTCTGCCCGCGAAGGCTCTGCTGCAACACTCTTCTCCCAGTGAGCCTTGGCCAAGCACAGTCGCTCACCTGCGTCAACTCCGTGCTCCGGCTGTCTGCGAGCATCGCTTCGCCATGTAGCAACAAGCTGCTCGTCGCTGAGTCATCAGCCTCAACTACATTGGTCCGACAGCTCCTCTGAGCTGCGACATTTTCGCCGGGGTTGCCTTGGGGCCGCTTTTTGATCTCTTCAACAAAACTCATCCGAGCACTCGGCAAACTTTTGAGGTGAACAGTGGCGAAAGTCTTGGCGCTGCAGCAGGAAGATGTATCGAACCACGCTGAGTCGGAGTTGCCTCCTGCGCTTTTGGACCTGCCTTGGCCACTGGCACAAGCTGTTGCAGGACATGCGCCTCGCGTACGAACACAGCAATGGACGCTGTGATAAGACACCGACGTCCTATGCACTTGCGTTGCGACCATTGGGCTTCCATACTTGTAGGTTTGGTAGTCTACGCTCATATTCGGTCGCTCATATTCGGTCGCGCCGCTGCTTCGCGCGGTCTTCTTTCACAGCGGCAGACGTCTCCTGACGCTCTCTGTGTCGGAGAAGGCTGCCTGCTGCAGAGCCTTTCTCACGGGCTCACACTTCTGGGCAGCATTCAAGGCAGGGCCTTCTGTGTGCTCTAGTCAAGCTTGATTTCAAACAGAATCGGATGATTCGGTCTCACGCACACTCGGTTCATGGGTCCTTTAGGTGCATTGAGTCAATTTCCACCCCTTGATCCGGCGCCTTTCCCTGCACAGGTGGACCACCCGACAGAACATAAATGCTTGACAAAGCTGCCCGTTGTCTGGCGCACCGTCGTCCAAAAGCATCATCATGCGCTCCTGGATCTCCGAAGATCCAGCGGCTTGGATGGCCAAAATCTCGGGGCACTCCTGAGGGCAGGTTCAAGGGGCTTTAATTAAGGAATCGAGGGCTGCTATCATGAATGCACGGTAGACACACAGCAACTCGCCTGGCTGTTCTCCAACATCATCTCATGCGAAGAACCAGGTTTCTTCTTCAGGCAGAACTTGTGGGCTGCCGCAGCCGTCTCCACAACGGAACCCAGCTCGGTGTAGACACGCATGGCCAACCGGCTGAAGAAGTAAAGCTCCTCTGCTTGCGCGCGGTGTTGCCTCCCTTGTCCAGAGTGTGTCAGGTTCAGGATGCAGTCGTAGAGACAAAGTCAGTTCAAGCAACAAGTTCTTGCTGTGGGCGGCACTGACAGAAACAGTCAGCGTGCAGTTTGACTACGATGTTTCAAGCGAACGTCTATCATTTGGAAAACAACAAATGGCGGAAAGCCTCGAACATGTGGCCCACACCATGCGGCAACGTAGTTCCGGGGAGGCTATGCACAAATTGGCCGGCTGGTTGCTGTTTCTTTTGGCACAGACTTATATAAGGTGCTTTTCGGGCAAAGCCTGATAGTAAGATTGGGGTACCGCTCTTTTTGTTTGGCAATATCTTCACACACACACACACACGCCTGGTTGACTCGCACCGGCACTCCCCAAAGCCGAAAAAGGGTCCAGCAGTTCAACCGCCCTGGCCTGCACGAACATGGTGGCAGTAGTCAGTATTGTTTTTCTTCATGCTCCCAAACAACATTTTGCCCTTGTTGTCCAAACACTACAAAGAATGCAAGACTGCTGTTCCACCTGCCGTTGGGAAATCAACACGGACGAGAAATCGTTATGCGTTCCAACTGCCATGGGCACATCAACACAGTCACCAAGTCAAATCAAGAGAACTATGATCGTCACAAATACATTTGATATGGCATAAGTTTCCCGCCATTGCTTGCCAAACCTCCGAACAACACACAGCAACGGTAAGTTCCGGCCGGCGCTTGAGAGCGAACGTCACAAGGGGTCAAATGGGGTCAGTAAAGCAGCCGGAAAACATGCCTGGCAAACCCAGAAAAGAGCTGTCCTGTTCGTTGCGCTTGGCATACTGGGAGTAGCCAGTCCCCGCAACATTGACGCAAGGTGCACATGAGAAGCTTGTCAGCTCGGGCCCCTGCAAGGTGTTGTACCAATCACCGTTCACGCAGTGCAGAGTCTCATGAGACTCTTTCAGGGAAGCGCGGAAAGACTGGAACCGCTCCGTCCAGCAGCTTGCAGTCAACTGGCTGCCATGAACGAAACTCACAGGAAGTGGGCGCTTGCCTAAGCTGCACTCACACCGACACAGGACGCCAATGGAAAACTTGCGCTCAAGCCGAGCCGCCCTCCCAGGCGTGGGACGCTGGGATCCGGTAGCTTGGTCGCGCGCAATGTTGCACTCCAAGGCCGCCCATAAGCCTGGGAGACACCAGCAGCTCAGCTGTCACTCGGCAGTCAACTGCAGCGACTGGGTTTTTCGGATAAACCACAATCTCATGCCAACTTGTTGAAGAGTGGAACACTGCTGGACAACATCGACTACAAGGTTGACTAAGCAAGTGCTGCCAGGAAGCAAAAGCGAATCACATTGCTGGTGCAAGTGCGCGTAGTGGAAGGACAAAGGCGCAAGGCGGCCCACTTGACGAGCTTCTAGTACGGGTGTATCAGTCTGCAGCAACCCCGTCTGCTGCAACTCAATCTTAAACTTGCCTTAGTCCCAGAACACCCAGCAAAAGCCGTCTTCTGCAATGCTCATTGCCCCCCACACAAGTCACGCGCAACCTTGAATTGCTGTTTGATAGTTCTACACGTACAAATTTGCATGTGCTATACATGCATGTATGCGTGTATGTGTGCATGCATGTGTATATGTATGACTATAGTATGCATATGTATGTGTATGCACATGCTCGTGTGTGTCTGTGTGTGTTTGTGTGTTTGTGTGTTTGTGTGTGTGCGTGTGTGTGTCTGTGTCTGTGTGTGTGTGTGCATGTACCTGTGCATGCGTATGTGTATGTGTGTGCGCATGTGCGTGTGTATTGCATGTATGTGTTATTATGTACGTTTGTACCAATACCTGCAACTCCCGGAGGGTACGTTTTTTTAGTTGTTTGCAAAGAACATGGTTTTCCTCCCTCCCGGCAGTGTTGTGGCCAAAACGCCTCTCGTTTGTTTTGCCATGGTTTGCAGGCATTTAAGGACATAGGCTTCTTGGGCAGCTTCTGGCTCATCCATCATGTTCGTGGCCGCTCTGGTGCTTGTCAAGTGCCCCCTCGCTGCACTCCCTTTTTCGAACCTGGAAAGTTCGGCACGCAGGTACTACACGGCAATCCGCAACACCAGCCTCACCCACAAGGCAGGGAAGTTCCGGGAAGGATTTTCAAGTGTCACAGCAGACTTGCCTGTGCAAAACGGCTGGTGTTGGGTGGCTGGGCAGTCGGCAGTGAACGGGGTGGCCCAACTTCACGCGTCACACCTCTCGCAGCCTCGAAGCCGGCACTTCCTCGGCCCATGGAGCTGAGCCGGATGCTTGAGGAGTCCCCAGTAATAAGGCAGAGGTTGAGAGATCGTGGGCAGATCACTGTTTGGCCTCACGTCCGCTTGACTGGACACCCGTCCGTGAAAGCATGCATTCTGAACATTACGCCCCTTCAGATTATTGGGCGTTGGTGGGTGCCCTCTCAACAGCGAGCGTGCCCAGTACCAGTGGGCGTTCTTCGCACGGAGGTTGGGCGGTAAGCAAAGGTCCACGTAGTGGGGTTTCGATAGCTTGTCCCTTTTGAGCCCTGTTAGGTGAAAGCCCTGCGCCGTCTCATGTCAGTTGACGATGACATGGCCGTGGTAGCGTTGGACAGCTGGGGATTACGGAAGTTGTTCTCACACCTCGTACGGCGGTGGCTATCGGGCGCCAACAAACCCAAAGACCCTTCCTTCGAAGAGCAACATGTTCTGCCAGCAAGTGGCCTTTTAGGGGAACAACCCTTTACATGCTCAAAAGCACCAAGCTAAGGATCGGCTTGCCCTCTTCTAGGCTTTGTTGGATGACCATTGGGAAAAACCTCCCTCTTGTCCAACGAATGGCCGTCTTTTTTGGGCTTAGTTGGAAACAACATTTTCGAATGCTCAGGGTGGTTCCTTCTAAACGTTGTTTGATGTACTCTTTGCGTTCCAAAAAACACAGCTCTAGAGCAAGGGGGACTTTGCAGATCAGCGTTTCCACAACGGTCCCAATATTTTAAGGAAGCCTTCTTTTCCAAAAAGAGGGATGGACTCATTTCTACAAGCTCCAACCCACAAGACCTAATGCTAAGGATGAGCGGCTTGCCGTTTTCTGGACTTTGTTCGATGAACATTGGGAACAACCAGAGCAAGAAGCCTCCGACAATGCGTCCGACATTGAACTTTTGGCAATCATGGACGGCGATCCTGGGGATCCCGAAGCTGTGGGAAACTGTCATCATGATGATGGGGTGTTGGTCGACCCGTACCTTGTCCCGTCTGATGAAACTGGTGAAGTTGAGGCCCCGCAAACAGATTCATCTCTCAAGGGTGTCCCTTCCTTGCCTGGGCCTGACCACCCCCTACCCATGAGCTCCGTGCCTGGTCCCGGGATGTCACGGGGAGAAATCCTCGCGCGCATGGCCAAAGTGAGGCGGGGCTTCTTTGAGGCTTCGCGAGGGATGTTTTTGTGTCACCCGCTAAAAAAGTTGCCTGTTCCCTGGAAGGAAGCTGTTGGCTGACCGAGCTGCAGCAAGCCACTCTGGACCAGGAAGGGGTCACCAAAGTCAAAGCGTCTAGTGTTGCCCTTCAAGTCAAAGATAAGGTTGTTGTCCTAGTGGCCAAGCAACCGCAAAGTCTTGAATCAGGGAGACAACCCTTGGGCCAATTTAAGTTGCCACGTCATGACAACAGATAGCAATCAACTCAGTGTGATGTGGATTCAGGATCTGATACGATGGAGACCTTGCCCTACCAAGTGGACATGGCTGCATCAGCGACACCGGGTGAGCCAACACGCAGCTCCTGGGATGACGAGACCTTGCCAGAAACGCAGGACCCATTTCACGGCGAAGTGACAGCGGAAGAGCGGGCGCAGATTCGGAGGGAGAATGAGGAGGAGGACCGGAAGATGGGCAGGCGGGCTGCGATCACAAAGCGTGCCCACTTTCAGGAAGAGCCAGCGCGAGCTATGTCCCCTGTCAGGCAGGAGCGGATTGGCAACATGAAGCCCAAGCCAGTCGAGGACGAGAGTGACATGGAGCCCCTCGACGTTGCGAACCTGAAGGGAGAGGATAGGCCAAGGCAGAGGTTGAGATGCCGGGCGTGGAGGCCGAGAACAAGCTTACTTCGGAACCTACGGAGAAGGTGGAGGAGATGCCGCGCGTGGAGACCAAGAATAAGCTTACCTCGGATACGGAGAAGGTGGAGGAGATGCCGCGCGTGGAGACCAAGAATAAGCTTACCTCGGATACGGAGAAGGTGGAGGAGATGCCGAGTGTGGAGGCCGAGAATAAGCTTACTTCGGACATGGAGAAGGTGGAGGCGAAGCTGAGCGTGGAGGCCGAGAATAAGCTTACTTCGGATACGGAGAAGGCTGAGGAGATGCCGATCATGCCGAGCATGGAGGCCGAGAAAAAGCTTACGGAGCCTACGGAGAAGGCGTTGAGGAGATGCCGAGCGTGGAGGCTGCGAATCAGCTTACTACGAAGAGAAGCAAGCTGACCTGCCCGTCAAGCAGCCCGCTTCAGAAGGTCATGGAGAGGATGCAGTCGGAGGCAAGTTGGGCCTAAACTGTTGCACTCTTGCCATTTTGCGCTTTAGATGGTTGAAAAAGGCAAGTGCCCAACTTGAGTTGCGCGAAAGGCGCCGCTCATCCTTCGAAGCCAGCAGCAGGCTGCCAAAGAGAAGGAGAAGGGCAAGAAGAGCCCGGCCGGCGGCGGACGAGGGCAAGGACGTGGACGGGCCAAGGAAGTCGTGAGCCTTGGACGTGGACCTCTGCCGCGGGCGTGCCAAACCACCAGACCCCCAAGGCTGAAGAGGTATCCGCAGCCGGCGCGCCGGCTGCGAAGAAGTTGAGAACTTCTGACCCAAAGAGCGCCGCAACTTTCGCTCGTCGCTATGCTCCCACGCGGGAGCCTGGCGCTATGCGCTGGAAGGCCATGAAGTCCGTCTTCCAGGAACAAATCAAGCCTAGGGTGACAGCCCCTTCGGGGCACGAGGACTGGCAGTCAAATACAATCGAAAAAAATAGCTTGCCTGTGTTTGCTGGTTTCGATCCTTTTTTGCTCTCACTTTTGTGAACACAAACAAGCTGGACCTCGCAGGACAAGTGGTGGAACCTGTGCATGCAGGAGCCGAAGTTCCTCCAAATGCAGACTGGACTTTGGAGGAGTGTGTCAGCGTGGCATCGGAGTTGCAGAAGTACTACCCATAGCACGCCCTGACTTTAAAGGCATAATTTTGGCAATCATTGTTTCGTAGCATTGTTTTGGGGCACACGTGTGCAATAATGCCTGCAACGTGTACAAGTTTCAGATTGACACCAATCCCTGGGGTGACCTTTGTGCAGAACACAAAGGACTGCACGAGCGCAGTGTGTTGGAGACAAAAATGGTGTGATACGGCGCGCGCTCTGGTTGGTTTGCTCGCCATTCCCAAGTGAAGCAAAGTGACATTGCTCACAAACTAGAGTTGGCAAGCCCGTCGCAACAGGAAGTGGTCTCAAAACCCAGTTGCAAGGGCCGCTGGTGAACAAAGTTATTCCAAGGGCTTGTTAATTGTGAACAATTCTTTTCTTGATGCCCGTAACCAAGGTCTCGAGCCGAAGAATGTGGAAAATGACAGTCACTCATTTCGCGTTGTCTCATTGAGCGCCCTCTGCCCAAAACAAATCAAGAACGAAAACCCGACCCTGACTCCCACCCACTCGAGTCCTGCAGGCTGCGCTTCGCTGAAGCCGACCATGGGGAGGCTGGCCTTGGTGTCGGACTGCGGGAAGGGAACGTGACAAGCTTTGGAAATCTTGCCAGGCGACCTTTGCTTCCCATGGCAGCCGCCATTCGTGGCTACTCTGGGGGAGCTTCTGGCGCGTTTCCAGGTTGCCACAAAATGCCGTCAGGCCATCGTTTGAACATTTGATTCACAGTAAACAATGTGTCCCAAGAGGAGCTCTTCTTTTTATTACAAGCAACCTTTTAGTAGCAAACCTCTTTTTTGGAGGGTCCAGGAGTGGCAAGACAAGCTTTTTGTCGGGGCCCCCTGCCAAAGGTCACCCTTTCATCCAGGCAGCCTCTTGTTTGAGAGGAGAACGGGTAAAGGCAGCTTATTGGGCCCGACGTGGAAAAAGGGCAGCTGGCAACCCAGCCTTTTTCACGAGGTGGCTTTCAAGAAGTTTCCTTTGCGAACGTTCCAAGACAGACTTCCAACGTCAGTTTAACAGGCGCCCTTTGTCTCTTTTGTTTGGGTGGTTTCATCCAAAAAGGGTGCCTTTTTTTGACGTTTGGTCAGTTGACCCGTTTTGGTTCGCTGTGAGGAGAGCCTGAGCATCCCGGCTACTGAGGCTAGAAAAAACTAGCAGGGTGTCAGAGGCTGATCTTTCTTTGAACTAGGCAGCGTCAATGGTTTGAGGCTGCGTTTTGCCAAAACAGACTTCCCTCTCGTGAAAACATTGTGAAAACATGGTCTTGTTGCGTGGCTCATTCCTTGCAAGCTGGCGGTGCTGGCGATGCAGGATTGCTTTTTGTTTTGAGGGACTTGTTCCACAACGCACGACCTTTTTACGGGGTGGCTTGGAGCGGCTTTCCTTCATTGTGAACATGTGCTGCAACCAGGTAGACCTCTGTTCAAGGTGATTGGCAGCCAAAGAAACCTTGTTGAAAGGGGTGCCCTGAAACAGTTTTCCTTCAGGCATGTGAGACTTCGTTAGTGGCCCGAAACAAGTTTTCTCCACTGATGAACTTGTTTTGGGGGGTTGCTTTTTGAGAAGGGGAGTCCTTGGGAACGCCTTTTCCGAGACGATTTGTGAAGGGTGCCTTGAAAAAACATGTTCCGGCCACGTTTGAAAAGGGGGATGGGAGCGGCGGCGCGTGTGCTGGGAGCTCTTCTGGGATCAAGAAAGCGCTCCTGTTCGCAATGACGCCTGAACAGTTTTACTTAGTCATTGGAAGGCTTGTCTGGTTGGGCTACCCGAAAGCGCCTGGCCTAAATAGTTAGTACACAATTCTTGAAGCGGTCATTTGATGCCTTTAGCATGCTGCTGAGGCCTTTTTTTACCTTGGTGATATTCGCCTATTGGGTGTCTCGTTCCGATGAAGGTTTGGGAAAGGTGGCCCCGCTCCATGTGGTGGAGTTCTTCTCAGGAAAGAGCCGCATCGCTCGCTGGGCAAAACTGGTGGGGCTCAACTCGCGGGCTTTTGACATTGATTTTGATTCGCCGCCGGCTAGCCGAAGAAAGAGAAGCAAACACAATGGCCGCACAAAACGGTCTTTCATGGATTTTAATGGAGAGGCTGGCTTCGTGCGCCCCATCCAAATTTGGCTAGTTACTTGTTTGGCCCCCCCACCCCCCCACCTAGAACACCCTCAAGCTGAGCTACCGCTCAGGCTGGCCGTTATGATGGTTCTGGCCGGCAAGTTCGGCGAGGCTCTCTACACTTTCGGCACTGTGTGTTCCTCGTGGACAGCAATAAATCAAGCAACATCGCAACGCGATGCGCTAGTGCCAATGGGAGCTCCATGGCTGACTTCGGTCAGAAGCGGAAATAAGATGACATCTCCCAAAATGGGAAATGTTTCCAAATTGTGGTGGTTCACTCGTCTCTGTTGAAAATTGCTTGTCGCCTGTAGGACTGGGCTATTAATGCTTCTTATCTCCTGCATGCAAGGAGGGTTTCTCCTCGAAAATCCGGGCACCAGCTCGATTGTAAGACATTTCAGGCTTCAATGGGTATTCAAAACCCTTCGATCTGCTGGGACGCGGGCTTCTTGGCTCTGAGGGTTACATGCAAACGCGGCCTGTTCTTGGGGGCGGGGAGGGGGCGCCTCTTCACGCTGAGGTATTTCGCGTGTGCTTTTGGATGAAGTCTTTCCAATCTCCTACGCCAAAGAGGACCATGGTCGTCAGCAATTGGGCCAGCATTGCCTCCTTGGACCTGGGGCCCCTGCGAAAACAACAGCTAAAAACAGCTGGCCCCGACCGCACGACAAAGCGGTATGTTGATTCCCAGCAGCAGCAACGATATAGCGGGCTGCCGGCTTTGAAACAAACACAGCCCCTCATCGCACAGCTTTAGAATCTGAGTCGAGTGGTTGTGATGTGCGTTGTTCTCGAGAAAGCTGCACTCCAAGGGTGTATCCACCGAAGTTCGCGAAGGCAGTCATAAACTTACTTCCTCACTTGGATGATGGGAACTGCGGCTTACCAGATTCAGTGACTTAGCTGTTGTCACAATCCTTCTTGGTCAAATCCAAGCCTGCCCCACGGCTCAGGTGCTGACAGAGCAAGATGCGCGGGACCTGGTCAAGAACCTGGCTTGGTCCACTGGGATGAGGCTGATTTGACGGACTGTGTGATCTACTTCAGAGGGTCCACCAAGCTTTGCGTTCCCCAGCTGTGGGAGCATGTTGAGCTTTTAGTAGAGCTGAGGGATTCGGAGCAAGCTTGAACGCCGGAGGGGTGCGTGTGAAGAAAGCAAAACGGCGACAATTTGCAGCCAAACGGCGAGAATTTGCAGCCAAACGGCGACAATTTGCGAACGGGCTTTCGGTGCTTTGTTGGGCGCCCCTCTGGCGAGTTTTCTCGCGGAATTTTGGTCATACTGGATCCAGCTTAAGCTTGTGCGGGCGTTCAATTGCGCCCGGCGGAGAAAACCTTGCTTGCGGCTTGTGATTGTTGGCCGCACGAATTCGCTCTCAACTTGTCGGGGCATCTTTGAGTACTATGACCCGCGCGCTTGCTATGAGAACTTTCCAATCTGAGGTTGCAGTGAGAGTTGGGTCATCATGGCTTGTCTTGAGCACTTGTGGAATCCCGCAGCAGCGCTCAGGTTTTCTTGGGGCACCAATGGCGAACTCGGGTGCGTCCAGCAGGCAGTGGTCTGCGTCCACGCTTGCTGACGGGCTTCATAATGTGGTGAACCAATCTCCAATGTTGCAGAGTCGATCTGATGAGGATTTGCTGAAAGAGCTTGAAGCAACTCGCTTTGCTAAACTGGAAAGTCTGTTAAACTAATTTCCACCAACAAACACCCCAAACCATCTCAGGGACTGGAGCGGCAGCTCTGCCTCGCCGTGGCATCTCCAGCGAAGGCACCTGCAGCAGCTGTTGAGGAGGGCTTGGAGTCTGTTCCAGACGTTCAGCCATGGGTCTTTCAGAAGACCCGGTTAAACAAAGTGACATAGATAGAAATTGAAAAACCCAATCAATGCTTATAGTAAGAGGTTTTTGCCGTGCCAAAGGGGGTGGTGCAAAGGGGTGGCACGAAGCGTGGCAGAAAATTGCGGTCTTGTTTTGGCCGGCAAAAAGGGGTGGCAGAAATTTCCGCTACCCCCTTTTGGCCGGCAAAAAGGGGTGGCAGAAATTTCCGCTACCCCCTTTTGGCCGGCAAAAAGGGGTGGCAGAAACTTCCGCTACCCCCTTTTGGCCGGCCAAAAGGGGTGGCAGAAATTTCCGCTACCCCCGTTTTGGCCGGCAAAAAGGGGTGGCAGAAAATTGCGCTACCCCTTTTGGCCGGCCAAAAGGGGTGGCAGAAAATTGCGCTACCCCCTTTTGGCCGGCCAAAAGGGGTGGCAGAAAATTCCGCCCCCGTTTTGGCCGGTCAAAAGGGGTGGCAGAAATTTCCGCTATCCCCGTTTTGGCCGGCAAAAAGGGGTGGCAGAAAATTGCGCTACCCCCTTTTGGCCGGCCACAAGGGGTGGCAGAAAATTCCGCTACCCTTTTTTGGCCTGCCCAAAAGGGGTGGCAGAAAATTCCGCTACCCCGTTTTGGCCGGCCAAAAGGGGTGGCAGAAATTTCCGCTACCCCCGTTTTGGCCGGCCAAAAAAGGGGGAAGAAAATTGCGCTACCCTCTTCTGGCCGGCCAAAAGGGGTGGCAGAAAATTGCACTACCCCCGTTTTGGCCGGCAAAAAAGGGTGGCAGAAAATTGCGCTACCCCCTGTTGGCCGGCGTTTTGGCCGGCAAAAAGGGGTGGCAGAAATTTCCGCTACCCCCCTTTTGGCCGGCCAAAAGGGGTGGCAGAAGATTGCGCTACCCCCGTTTTGTCCGGCAAAAAAGATTGGCAGAACATTGCCCCCGTTTTGGCGAAGTGGAGTTGAAGTGGAGCTGGAGTGGAGTTTGGAGTGGAGTTGGAGTGGAGTTGAAGTTGAGTTGGCGTGGAGTGGAGTTGGAGTGGGGTTGGAGTGGCGTGGAGTTGGAGTGGAGTCGGAGTGGAGTTGGAGTGGAGTTGGAGTGGAGTTGAAATGGAGTTGGAGTGGAGTTGGAGTGGAGTTTTTGACTGGAGTCGGGGTGAGGTTGTAATGGCGTTGGAGTGGAGTTGGAGTGGAGTTGGAGTGGAGTTGGGTTGGAGTTGGAGTGGAGTTGGAGGAGGGTTGGAGTGGAGTTGGAGTGTTGGAGTGGAGTTGGGGTGGAGTTGGAGTGGGGTTGGAGTGAAGTTGGAGTGGAGTTTGAGTGGAGTCGGAGTGGAGTTGGAGTGGAGTTGGCGTGGAGTTGGAGTGGAGTTGCAATGAAGTGGAGTGGAGTTGAAGTGGAGTTGGAGTGGAGTTTGGAGTGGAGTTGGAGTGGAGTTGAAGCTGAGTTGGCGTGGAGTGGAGTTGGAGTGGGGTTGGAGTGGGGTGGAGCTGGAGTGGAGTCGGAGTGGAGTTGTAATGGAGTTGGGGTGGAGTTGGAGTTGAGTGGAGTTGGAGTATGGGAGTGGAGTTTGAGTGGATTCGGGGTAAGGTTGTAATGGCGTTGGGGTGGAGTTGAGTGGAGTTGGAGTGGAGTTGGAGTGGAGTTGGGTTGGAGTCGGAGTGGAGTTGGAGGAGGGTTGGAGTGGAGTTGGAGTGTTGGAGTGGAGTTGGGGTGGAGTTGGAGTGGAGTTTGAGTGAAGTCGGAGTGGAGTTGTAATGGAGAGGGAGTGAAGTTGGAGTGGAGTTGGAGTGTTGGAGTGGAGTTGGGGTGGAGTTGGAGTGGGGTCGGAGTGGAGTTCGAGTGAAGTTGGGGTGGAGTCAAGTTGGAGTGGAGTTTGAGTGGAGTCGGAGTGGACTTGTAATGGAGTTGGAGTGGAGTTGGAGGAGGGTTGGAGTGGAGTTGGAGTGTTGGAGTGGAGTTGGGGTGGAGTTGGAGTGTTGGAGTGGAGTTTGAGTGGAGTTGGAGTTGAGTTGCAACGGAGTTGGGGTGGAGTTGAAGTGGGGTTGAGGAATAACAAGAGGTGGGAGGGGGGAGGAAGACGGGGGGGGTGGGGGGAACCCCCGCCCTCGCCCACATCCTCATATCCTCACATCCCTCCCCCAAACCCCCAAACCCCGAAACCCCGAAACCCCCAACACCCCAAACCAACACCCCCCAACCCCCGCAAGCGCCCCCCAAACCCCCCCGACCGATCCGGATCCGAGCTGATCGGTGCTGTTCCGCGCGCGCTGATCCGCGCTGTTCTGCTCTGATCCGCGCCGATGTTCCGCGCTGCTCCGCGCTGATCCGCGCTGATCCGCGCCGATCGATCTGCCTGCGCTGTTCCGCGCTGATCCGCGCTTCCGCGCTGATCGATCCGCGCTGATCCGGGGTGATCCCTGCTGATCTGCGCTGATCCGCGCTGTTCCTGATCCGCGCTGTTCCGCGCTGATCCGCGCTGCTCCGCGCCGATCCACGCTGTTCCGCGCGCTGTTCCGCGCTGTTCCGCGCTGTTCCGCGCTGTTCCGCGCTGCTCCGCGCTGCTCCGCGCTGCTCCGCGCTGCTCCGCACTGTTCCGCGCTGTTCCACGCTGTTCCGCGCTGTTCCGCCCTCTTCCGCGCTCTTCCGCGCTCTTCCGCGCTCTTCCGCGCTCTTCCGCGCTGTTCCGCGCTGTTCCGCGCTGTTCCGCGCTGTTCCGCGCTGTTCCGCGCTGTTCCGCGCTGTTCCGCGCTGTTTCGCGCTGTTCCGCGCTGTTCCGCGCTCTTCCGCGCTCTTCCGCGCTCTTCCGCGCTCTTCCGCGCTCTTCCGCGCTCTCCCGCGCTCTCCCGCGCTCTCCCGCGCTCTTCCGCGCTCTTCCGCGCTCTTTTGCGCTCTTCCGCGCTCTTCCGCGCTCTTCCGCGCTGTTCCGCGCTGTTCCGCGCTGTTCCGCGCTGTTCCGCGCTGTTCCGCGCTGTTCCGCGCTGTTCCGCGCTGTTCCGCGCTGTTCTGCGCTGGACTTACTTAGATCTGAATCTCTGGATCTCTGGATTCCTTCCCCCCCAACCGCCCCCTCCCCTCCTCCCCTTCCCCCCTCCCCGCCCACCCACCCTCCCCGCCTTCCCCCCTCCCTCCCCCCTCCCCCCCCCGCCTCCTCGCCTCCTCCGCCCCGGTCCCCGAACAGCGCGGAACAGCGCGGAACAGCGCGGAACAGCGCGGAGCAGCGCGGAGCAGCGCGGAACAGCGCGGAACAGCGCGGAACAGCGCGGAACAGCGCGGAACAGCGCGGAACAGCGCGGAACAGTGCGGAAAAGCGCGGAAGAGCGCGGAAGAGCGCGGAAGAGCGCGGAAGAGCGCGGAATTCGGAAGAGCGCGGCAGAGCGCGGGAGAGCGCGGGAGAGCGCGGGAGAGCGCGGGAGAGCGCGGGAGAGCGCGGGAGAGCGCGGGAGAGCGCGGAAGAGCACGGAAGAGCGCGGAAGAGCGCGGAACAGCGCGGAACAGCGTGGAAGAGCGCGGAAGAGCGCGGAAGAGCGCGGAAGAGCGCGGAAGAGCGCGGAACAGCGCGGAACAGCGCGGAACAGCGCGGAACAGCGCGGAACAGCGGGGAACAGCGCGGAAGAGCGCAGAACAGCGCGGAAGAGCGCGGAAGAGCGCGGAAGCGTGCGGAAGGGAACAGCGCGGAAGAGCGCGGAACAGCGCGGAAGAGGGCGGAAGAGCGCGGAAGAGCGCGGAAGAGCGCGGAAGAGCGCGGAAGAGCGCGGAAGAGCGCGGAAGAGCGCGGAAGAGCGCGGAAGAGCGCGGAAGAGCGCGGAAGAGCGCGGAACAGCGCGGATCAGCGCGGAACAGCGCGGATCAGCGCGGAACAGCGCGGAACAGCGCGGAACAGCGCGGAACCGCGGACCAGCATGGATCTGATCGGCGTGGATCGGCGCGGAACAGCGCGGATCAGCGCGGAACAGCGCGGATCAGCACAGATCAGACGGATCAGCCCGGATCAGCGCAGATCAGCGCGGATCAGCACGGATCGATCGGCGCGAATCAGCGCGGATCAGCGCGGAACAGCACGGATCAGCGCGGATCAGCACGGATCAGCGCGGATCAGCGCGGAGGTTGTGGGGGGGAGGTTCGGGGGTTTGGGGGCGGGGTTTGGGGGGTTGGGGGGCCAAGCCCAACCTCCCCCCAAAACACTCCCCCCCCCGCCGAGAGGTGTTGGGGCAAGTGTGGGGCGGGAGTGGGGGGCACTCATGCGTTTGGTGGCCCCTTTCTGGCTTTTTGGCCCGATCCACTCAAACTCCACTCCAACTCCACTCCAACACTCCAACTCACTCCAACCCCACTCCAACTCCATTACAACTCCACTCCAACTCCATTGCAACTCCACTCCAACTCCGCTCCAACTCCAACTCCACTTCAACTCCACTCCAACTCCAACTGCACCCCCACAACTCCACTCCAACTCCACTCCAGCTCCAACTCCACTCCACTCCAACTCCACTCCAACCCCACTCCAACTCCACTCCACTCCAACTCCAACTTTGGTTTATTACATTACAACTCCACTCCGGCTCCACTCAAACTCCACGCCAACCCCAACTCCACCCCCGCTCCACTCCAACTCCACTCCAGCTCCACTCAAACTCCACTCCAGCTCCACCTCCACTCCACCCCCACTCCAACTCCAACTCCACTCCAACTCCATTTCAACTCCACTCCAACTCCACTCCAACTCAGCTCCAACCCCACCCCAGCTCCACTCCACTCCAACTCCAACCCAACTCCACCCAACTCCAACTCCACTCCAACTCCTCCACCCCCACTCCAACTCCACTCCAACTCCACTCCAACTCCAACCCAGCTCCAGCCAACTCCACTCCAACCGCACTCCAACTCAAATCCTCTCCAACGCCACTTGAAGTCCGCTCAAACTCAACTCCAACTCCAACTCCACTCCACCCCCACTCCAACTCCATTTCAACTCCACTCCAACTCCACTCCTTTCCAACTCCACTTCAACTCCGCTCAAACTCCACTCCAACTCCATCCACTCCACCCCCACTCCAACTCCACTCCAACCCCACTCCAACTCCACTCTAACCCCACTCCAACTCCTCTCCACTCCAACTCCACTCCAACTCCAATATAACTCCACTCCAACCCCACTCAAATTCCACTCCAACTCCACTCCAACTCCAACCCAACTCCACCCAACTCCAACTCCACTCCAACTCCTCCAACCCCACTCCAACTCCACTCCAACTCCACTCCAACTCCAACCCAGCTCCAGCCAACTCCACTCCAACCGCACTCCAACTCCACTCCAACTCCAACCCAACCCCACTCCAACTCCACTCCAACTGCACTCCAACTCCACTCCAACTCCACTCCAACACTCCAACTCCACTCCAACCCAGCTCCAGCCAACTCCACTCCAACCGCACTCCAACTCCACTCCAACTCCAACCCACTCCACCCCGCTCCATCCACTCCAACTCCACTCCAACTCCCTCCAACTCCACTCCAACACTCCAACTCCACTCCAACCCAGCTCCAGCCAACACTCCAACCGCACTCCAACTCCACTCCAACTCCACTCCAACTCCACTCCAACACTCCAACTCCACTCCAACCCAGCTCCAGCCAACACTCCAACCGCACTCCAACTCCACTCCAACTCCACTCCAACTCCACTCCAACACTCCAACTCCACTCCAACCCAGCTCCAGCCAACTCCACTCCAACCGCACTCCAACTCCACTCCAACTCCACTCCAACTCCACTCCAACACTCCAACTCCACTCCAACCCAGCTCCAGCCAACACTCCAACCGCACTCCAACTCCACTCCAACTCCACTCCAACTCCACTCCAACACTCCAACTCCACTCCAACCCAGCTCCAGCCAACTCCACTCCAACCGCACTCCAACTCCACTCCAACTCCACTCCAACTCCTCCAGCCCCACTCCAACTCCACCCAAATCTGCCACCCCTTTCTGCCACCCCTTTTGACCACCAAAACGAGGGTCGTCCAAACCTGCCACCCCTTTCTGCCACCCCTTTTGACCACGAAATTGGGTCTCAGGATGGCTTGAAACATGCAATATCCAAAATGGCAATTTTCTAACTTTAAGCATTGCTGGAGGCACTCAAGATAGAAATTCCGTTAGGAGCACAGGGTTAGGTTTCAACGGTGTCTTCGAGAGCGCCTTTTGCTTTGGTTTCCAAGGTCAAAGAAGCTGTGAGGACATCGTTACACAATCTGTGATAACAATAGGCTTTCTTGATGTTTGGCCGATGTCGCTTGAAAACAGTCCGTAAAGTATTTTCAGGAAGTGCCCTTTCCTTTGGTTTCAATACTCAAGAAAGGCATAAAAAAGGGCACTTCATACAAACAGTCTCTGGAGACAAAAAACTTCTGATGATTGATCGGTTTTGTTTCTGGAAACGCGACGCTAGCATTACATCGACAGGAAGTTCCGGCACTTGAGCCTGACACCATCCCGGGCACGATCCTGGACAACGGCGATGTAGCAGCAACCCCCAAAACCAAAACGGCAGGGGATGGTGAACTGTTGTCTTCGGGATCTAACCCCAAATCCTTTGATGCCCGCTTGTCCTCAACGCGACGGGCTCTTGATCTTGAATCGGATCAAGATGAGAATGATGAGAGTGAAACCCAGCAAGATGAAGAAGAAGAAACACCAAACCCAAAGATCCCTGCTTTGGATGACGCAAGGTTCCCAAAGCCAACCCAAGGGCTGAGTCTCAGCGATTCCGCCATCCGTGGCAGAATGAGACGCTTCGGACGCTGTGCTGTCCGATTTCAAATCTGGGGGCGAAAGACGCAAATCCTTGGAGAGTATATTCGCTTCTTGTGGATATTGCCAGGCAGGGGCCTGAAACCAACAGCCTCGTTTTAGAAACCTTGCCACTCCGCCCAGCTGTCCCTTGCCTTCGCCAGAAAGAGTTCATGCTTCAAAGAAGACAATGCTTGGTTGGGGTTGGTCCAAGCTACTTGTTGGCACTTCGTGTCAGGAAACGGGCTTACCACAAAAAAGGCTGCTCTCATTATCTCAGGTCGAGGGTGGATGCTATCATCAAGCACTGCCGGACATGCCCCGCCCGCTTGATGAGGCTGAGTCTTTTTTGGGGCTTGACTGGAACACTCGAATCTCAGGCGTGATACTTATGAGCGGATAACGCTCTATTGGGCGGAGAAGGTCGTCAAGGGCTGCATGAAGACCCTCGCAAAAAGAACACGTTTTTGCTTAGATGTGCGATCTGTCAACTGGGCCCCTCGAAAGTTCACGTTTCGATCTACGAGCCTTGCCTGTTCGCCTCGCTGTGCTGCCGTGTCTGTAGTTGAAAGCGTAAAAAGGACCACGCTCAACATCGCAAGCATCACCTGTTCACAGCGCTGTTCTTTTGCGTCTCAAGTTGAAGGCTTAAAAGAACACGCCCAACATCGGCAGCATCACCTGTCTGCATCGCCAGCGTCACCTGTTCACAGCGCTGTTCTTTTGCGTCTTAAGTTGAAGGCTTAAAAGAACACGCCCAACACCGGCAGCATCACCTGTCCTCATCGCCAGCATCAGCTGTTCACAGCGCTGTTCTTTTGCGTCAAGTTGAAAGCTTAAAAGAACACTCTGAACACTCTCAACATCGGCAGCATCACCTGTCGGCGTCGCGAGCATCACCTGTTCACAGGGCAGTTCTTTTGCGTCCCAAGTTGAAGGCTTAAAAGAACACGCTCAACATCGCCAGCATCACCTGTCCGCATCGCCAGCATCACCTGTTCACAGGGCTGTTCTTTGGCGTCTTAAATTGAAGGCTTAAAAGAACACGCTCAACATCGCCAGCATCACCTGTCCGCATCGCCAGCATCACCTGTTCGCAGCGTTGTTCTTTTGCATCTGTAGTTGAAGGCTTAAAATGGCTTAAAATTGAAAGAACACGCAGAAACTCCAGCACATCGCAGCTCCAACGCAAGACTGTCGAACGCGGGCGCGCTGGCTTGGGCTCCACACAGGTGACGCCTCTGAGCCAGCTTGCTCCTCCTGTGAGGGCAGCACAAGCGGCGAGCGGCGACGAAGGCGGGGGCCGGAAATATCCCAACTGACCGGTTCTGGTCTGACTTCCCTAATGACAGGCGCGGATGATGACGATGACGTCGAGGAGATTGATGATGAAAGCGCTGATGAACACCACGACAAAAGCGCGGAGAACATCAGCAACCTTCGGAAAAGCGCCGGCCTTCCAGAGTTGGGCGAGGACGCGCTTCCCAGCGCTGCTGCGCCCAAAATGATGCCCCTAAGCTCATGTATACGAAGTCCTGGTTCAGTTAAGGTGGCCTCTGACCAGTCTCAGGCAGCCATTTGGGGGTGTTATTTCCAAGGTCAGGGGAGTCTTCTGAACTGGCAATTGTTCATGTTTTTAAAGTTTTTTTTTGCATTTTGCATTTTTACAGTTTTTTGCGGGCATTTGTTGCTCGATTTATGTCGCTGAGGTTGACTTTAGAGAAGTTAATTGTTTGGGTTTCAAGTTGTTTTTCGGTGGGAAGGGGGGGCAGGACGGGACAATAATAATGCGCCTGTGTGCCCATTGTTGCGAAAGGCTTGATTCCTGCAGCATCGTTTTTCGCTGGCTGCTCGCCTTCGGAGAGTCGGAACGGAATTGTCTTTTTTCATCTCGTTTGTTGTTTGAGGGCTCGGTGGCTTGCCCCGCCCCACCCCCCCTCCTCCCAAGCCCATCAATGATTGACGTTGTTGCGTTTGCTTGCGCGGGTTCGGTGGCTTGCCCCGCCCGGCCCCCTTAAACAAATCCTTTCGCTGGTTTTGGCGGCATGCCCCATCCAGCAATAGGGTGCCCAGCTCCCCCTTCCTCCAAAGTGAAGCCCGCCAACGATTGAAGTTGTTGCATGTGCTTGTGCTTGCGGGTTCGGTGGCTTGCCCCGCCCGGCCCCTACGCCTTCTGCAAGCAAGAGGGAAGGCGTCTCAGGGCAAAAGAGTCTCACAGGAAAGCTGTGAGCTGACGAACGGACATGCGTGATGCGACGCAAGAGCCGCCCAAGTCGTATGTTTCTTGCGGATCATTTTTTTCAAGCGGATAGATGTGTTTTTGCAGAGCAGATATGCTTGTTGCGGTGTGCGCTTGCGGGTTCGGTGGCTTGCCCCGCCCGGATCATTTTTTTCAAGCGGATAGATGTGTTTTTGCAGAGCAGATATGCTTGTTGCGGTGTGCGCTTGCGGGTTCGGTGGCTTGCCCCGCCCGGCGCCCACAATGACTTACGCTGGTTTCGGTGGCATGCCCCATCCAGCAGTAAGGATTCAGAAGGGGCGCTTCTGAAACCGCCCTTTTCCGGAAGCGTTCTCAGAAAGGCTTTCGTGTGTAAGGGCGGCTCGAAAAACAAGACTTTCGTGGGAAGTCTGCCTGCAAGTCTTGTTTGGTTTTTTGAAGTTTCGGCTCTGACATGTTGAACTGCCCGTAGAAGGGAAATAGCGTGAGAAAGTCTACCAATGGCACGGGGGCCTGCTCGCAAAAAAGGCAGCGCAGTGAAGCAGCTTTGCTCCTACAAGAAGTGCAGAGCCAAGAAGGACGTGAAGAACAAGTGCCACACAGCTCGCCGTGAGGAAGTGAATCTTGAGCAATGTCGGCCCTTAAGAAGCCACTGTCAGACTGTAAAGTTCTGTGGTCAAACGCATTTAGACGCCTGCCTATCAAAAAAGAAAAAAGCTCCACCCGTTGGAAGGGAAGCTCTGGACACGCAGCAACTGGCCAGTCTTTTTCAAACCTTGGTGGAGCTAGGCCGTGCCTGGGCAGCCGTCATGGGGTTATGCCAGCTTTTTTTGGGAGAGCGCGCTGACTGCGTGCGGCAGCTGAGAACATCTTGGCTGCGCAACTTGGGCCCTCAAGACGCACGCACTCCGGCCGTTTGCATCCCTGAAGGGGTGAACAAAAAAACAACCTCCCGTGAAGTTCCTCTTCACAGTGGCCTGGCTACCTTGCTTCATAACTGGATGTTTCGTGAACCACTCCGGCACGCCCAGCAGCACAGCGAGCTCGTGCACCTTTGTGGCTATGTCGGCGCGCTCCTCCCCCGCAGTCATGAAGCGCTGTTGTTCAGCCAAAGGCCGTAGATGGAAGATGCTGAAAGTCTGCAAGGCCTCGACGCACGGGAACTCCGCCGACACAACGTCTTTGGCCAAAGCGGTCCATGCCTTGAAGCGCTGCAAGCAGGACGCAACTGTCTGAGCCATCTGATGCTGCGGCGCACCGCCGAGCCGCCGGGGCTGGCGATCCACATACAGCACCCGCTGCGTTGACAGCAGCTGCAGCACGTGCTGCGTGAAGCCGGTCCTCAGGCAGCCCCCCTGATCAAAAAGCATGGTGATCCGCGTCGTGAACCGGCCCAAGTCCGCACACAGTTGGCGTCTCGCTGTCCAGAAAACGCACCAGCTGAAGATTTTCTTCTCCAGCGTCAGCTAGCATGCCCAAAAGCACCAAGTTCTCCTCCGTGGCAAGCATCAGAAACTCCTTTGCTGCAGCGCCTACCCTTTCTTGTTTTCTTTCATCATGTAGGGACTGCGCTATTGATAGAACAGCTTCCATTGTCAGGCACAACTTGGCAAAGGGGGTCGCCCAGCGGTGTTTGGCGGCGCTGAACTTGGACGAGTTCTGCTTCCACATCGGGTTGTGCTGCATGGCGCGCACCTCCTGCGCATACTTCACCCGCACAACGTCGCTGTGGTGGATCAGCTGGACGATGCTGCCTTTGTTCATCACTACCTTTTTGACCAACGTGTCCAGCACAGGGTCACACTTCCAAGTGCGACTCGCTATCCTGGCAGAAGGGCCAGTACACTCGAAGAACATGCGGTGAAAATCGCATGGCCACAAACAAAAAAAGGGTCCTGCGGGCTGCGTGGGGCTTGTCTTTGTTTACAAACTTCAGGTTCGGAAAGACTTGCAGCGTGCCCGTGCCCATGTCTGCCAAATCGCAGTATAGCTGAGCAAAAGCTTCGTGCTCCGACGACAAGAGCTGTCCCGCCAGCTGCTCGTCGGCTGCTGCGTCGGCGTTGAACACCTCAACGCGCCCAAGCCACTGCTGAAACGCAACTGCGTCCAGCTGGGGACAAGCCACCTGAGCTGGCACAGTTGGCTTCAGGCAGTCCTTGAATTGTTCTGCAACAGCAAAAGGGGTGGCCAAATCATGAAGCAAATGCACAACAGCCGTGGCAACTCCGACCGCAGAGAAGTCATGAAGCTTCCGTGCGCCCAGAAGCATGTGCTGAGGACGCAAATCCTCTGCGCACGTTTGCCCTCGCAAGACAAGGATCGTCTTTGAGCAGTCCGAGTGCACAGTGACGCAGGAGGCAGCGTTGAGCGTTTGTCGCGCGCGAGCCCGCAGCGACTCGGCCAAGCAAAACTTGAGCTTCTGGGCTCGGCGGCGAAGGATCTTGCCGCCGGACCAGGCAATCCCATCATCACCGCCATCTTTTCCCTTGCGTGTAGCTCGCAGAACTGCGATGAACTCTTCGAGAGATGGGGCCATCAGGCGCAGTCGGATGTCTTCATTTGATGCTGCGGCCTGGTGCCTTTTGGTTTTCTCATGGTCTCGGAAGTGGCTGACCTGCAATGAAGCAATGGTTCGAAACTCCGCTGACACATGCCCAGCAGCTTTGCAGGCAGCACAGCTGACGGAGAAGTCGCCTGTGTCCCACTGCACAGCCTCCAGCCACGGGAACTGCTCGGTCCACCGCCTGCCAAAGCGGGCCCATGCGCTCTGCGCGGACATTCCGGGCAGCTTGGGCCAGAGCTCTGTCCAGAGGGCGCTTGCGGAAAAAAACTTAAGTTTACGCACGAAGTTCCTGTCCAGAGGGCCTCTGGAATCCGAAGGTCGACTCAACAAGCCGCAGCGCTGTGGACTGTCCAAAGAACTAGAAACGTTCGAACACCGGGAATTTTGCGTTCCCCGAAATCCAAGAATTGTAGTCCACTCGACGGTCCGCAGCGCTGTGGTTTGTGGAGACAACTTATGGAAACCGGAGACCCTCTGGACAAATGGGGTCTGTGGAAAAAAACTTAAGTTTTTTTCCGCGGACCAAGCTGATCGGGCGAGCGTACGTGTCATGTGGGAAACTGGATGGACGTGACCGGGCTGTCTCTCGGCAACCCTTGATCCTCAGCACTTCATGACGCCGGACGTCCTGCCTTGGCTGGCCGCATATTTTAAGCACCGTTCGATCTGCGTTTGACATCTCTCTGCAGCAGCAGCGCGGGGCACGCCGCCGACACAAATCCAATGTGCTGGGGCAAGCCACCAACGCGGGCCGGGGCACGCCGCCTGAGCCACATCATGGTTTCCAAACTCACAAACTTACGCGGCAGAGCGCGCAAAAGCCCAGCGTTGCGGCTCAGTTGGGCTCCCTGTCCGTGGGGTCGTCCTCCTCTTCCTCGGCTGGGTCTTCAGTGGCCGGCGGCGCGGCAGCCTTAGCCTTGACTCGTCTGCCCTGCTTGGGGGCTGGTCCGGCGCCTGGAGCAGGCGGCGCAGCTTTCAGCATGTTCTCCACCAGGTCGACCAGCGCCGAGCCACTGTTCGGCGGCCCTGCCCCCCCGTTCTTGGCAGGAGGAGGCACTGGGCCAAGCTGCCCAGCCTTGCTTTTGGCTTTGCTCACCGGCGGCGCTTTTCCTCCGGCCTTGCCCCTCGTCAAGTTGCTGTCACCGCTGTCCGCCTGCGTCGTGGTTGGCAGGCACGGCGAGACCACTTGGTTTCAGACTGGTTTGAAATATTAAAGCAGCAGAATAAACACTGCGTCTGTGCATAAAACAAAGCACTGGCCTGCAGAGCGTCGCGCAGCTCTGCAGCGTAATACTGACTGCTTGGGCTCTGCATGTGTGCCCACAAGCGGCCGAAGAGGTACTGCCGCACGACATTCATGTTAAGACTAGTCTGGCAGAATCCTAAGAAAGGCTTTTTCTCCATAAGGGCGGCCTCGGCAGCGTACCCGGGGCCCACCGTGAAGTCAATGACACATTGCACATTGTGCGAATGAATGAACTCTGCCCACACTTGCCATGGCTGCGAATGGAAAGACAGGGGCTCCAGGGTGTCCCTCACCAAGGACTCAGACCCCGCAGGCGCGGCCCCGCCAACCTTGCAGCTTCCTTTGCACTTGTCAGACCACACCCTTCTTGACCTTCCATGGGATCATGTGAGATTGCTCTTTTGTCAGTGGCGGGCTTACCACCGGCCCCAACGTATTGCTTCGGTTGGTGCCAGGAAAATGCTTCCGGTTGCGGACGGGCATGTCAAGGGAATCCTTGGTGACGCAATAGAATTGCTCCATCAACTTTCTCGTACCGCTGGAAGTAGCTGCTCTCTTCCATCTGAACGTGCAGAACCCGCACCTGCTTGTTGAGCGCGCCCCCGGTGGCGTCCATGAAGCCACCCAGCAATGCTTTTGGCGTCAGACCTGCGGCAGACAAATGTTGAAACCCGATCACGCTGCATGCCTGCAGTTTAATCCATGAATGTGAAATGCTGTTGGGCTCTCTGTTTGAATGTGGCAATACCACGTCAAGAATGAACTGTGGGCGGCAGGGCTGTTTTCACGCACGGTTTCCGAGTCAGGTGGATGCATTGCTGGCCGCGCAGGCGGGAATATGTATGAATTAAAATGCAACAAGCATGTGCACAGCCAACATTCCGCCGGCCTGGGCACTAAATTGCAACCATCGATGAACCACTAAGAAGTCGTCCATCGGCCGCCACTGCGAGCCCTGTGCGGGCAACAAAGGAGGCAAGGAGCCGCCGAAACACTTCCAGCTAGGCTAACCAACGCACAAGCTACTGCGCGACGCAGTTTTGCAGCTGCCTAGCAACACCGTCGTCAAGAATGTCCAGGTCCGGCCTCGGACTCGCTGGCGGCCCGTTGGCATTCAATCACGACCTCGCCGCTCTGCGGCACAGGGTCCGCCGAATCAGGCTGGGGCAAGCCACCAGAGCCTACTTTGCCTCCTGCAAGTGGATTCCCAGTGGCCTCTGGCTGAGGTAAGCCGCCAACACCGTCGCTGCTGCGGCTGCCTTGCTCGTCAGTCTGACCCTTGCCCGCCGCGCTGCCGCCTTTGAGGCCCTTCCCGCCAATGGGCACAACCACGCCCATGAAGAAACCTACGATGACGCCAGCAACGAGCGCAATCGACATGGCTGCAGCTTTCACGCCAGTGATGGGGCAAGCCACCGAAACACGGCCGCGCCTGCTAACTTGTCTAAGAGCCGCCAAGCGAACACAGCGCGTCTTGACTTGCCAAGCACGGATGGTTTTGCAAGCGGGCCGCAGTGACCAAACCTTGGAAGCAATAGAAAACAACTGCCTTCTGAGCTGTCGCCATTGAGTCTGTGTAACCGCACAATCAGGAAAACTTTAAGGTCACTAGTCCAGATTTGGCGTGGGGCCAGGCCCCACTAAAAGTCTGGTAGTAACAATGCGCGCGCCCGCAGCTTGCAGGCAGACTTCCCACGAAAGTCTTGTTTTTCGAGCCGCCCTTACACACGAAAGCCTTTCTGAGAACGCTTCCGGAAAAGGGCGGTTTCAGAAGCGCCCCTTCTGAATCCTTACTGCTGGATGGGGCATGCCACCGAAACCAGCGTAAGTCATTGTGGGCGCCGGGCGGGGCAAGCCACCGAACCCGCAAGCGCACACCGCAACAAGCATATCTGCTCTGCAAAAACACATCTATCCGCTTGAAAAAAATGATCCGGGCGGGGCAAGCCACCGAACCCGCAAGCGCACACCGCAACAAGCATATCTGCTCTGCAAAAACACATCTATCCGCTTGAAAAAAATGATCCGCAAGAAACATACGACTTGGGCGGCTCTTGCGTCGCATCACGCATGTCCGTTCGTCAGCTCACAGCTTTCCTGTGAGACTCTTTTGCCCTGAGACGCCTTCCCTCTTGCTTGCAGAAGGCGTAGGGGCCGGGCGGGGCAAGCCACCGAACCCGCAAGCACAAGCACATGCAACAACTTCAATCGTTGGCGGGCTTCACTTTGGAGGAAGGGGGAGCTGGGCACCCTATTGCTGGATGGGGCATGCCGCCAAAACCAGCGAAAGGATTTGTTTAAGGGGGCCGGGCGGGGCAAGCCACCGAACCCGCGCAAGCAAACGCAACAACGTCAATCATTGATGGGCTTGGGAGGAGGGGGGGTGGGGCGGGGCAAGCCACCGAGCCCTCAAACAACAAACGAGATGAAAAAAGATAATTCCGTTCCGACTCTCCGAAGGCGAGCAGCCAGCGAAAAACGATGCTGCAGGAATCAAGCCTTTCGCAACAATGGGCACACAGGCGCATTATTATTGTCCCGTCCTGCCCCCCCCCTTCCCACCGAAAAACAACTTGAAACCCAAACAATTAACTTCTCTAAAGTCAACCTCAGCGACATAAATCGAGCAACAAATGCCCGCGAAAAACTGGAAAAATGCGAAATGCAAAAAAAAACTTTAAAAACATGAACAATTGCCAGTTCAGTCTTTGTAGCGGTCCCAAATGAGGGCATTGCCTGCTTTCGGTCAAGGGATTCCATATTTTACCCTATTCTCAGTCACAATCATCCCAAAGTGGAAACCCCATTGTTTAAAGTCAGGAACTTCCAGGATGCTTCGATGAGGGGTTCAAGGGAAGTTCTCACAATGCTCCCCAAATTGAAGCCCTATTTTCTGATGTTGAAGTCGGGCATGCTTTCTCGCCCTATTCGCCCGCCTTCCGAAGTAAGAGGTAACTGCTTTCCCTGTTAACCATGACCTTTGATTTACGTAGCTCGACTTCCACTGTCCTCAGGGCATGCCTTGTCAAGCGCATCACGAAGATGCAGCAATGCAAGGACAAGTTCGAAAGCGCTGTCAAGCTCACCGACATCCAGACCAGGCCCTGACTCAATGGCTTGCTTTACCCGCCCCGTATGTTGCCAGGTTTCGCCCACCCACCCACTCACCAACCAACCAACTAACCAACCCACCGACCCGACCAACCGACCGACCGACCAAACGGCTTAATCCACCAAACACCAGCCAGCAACCAACAACCCACACCACCACCACCACCGCCACCGCCACCGCCACCACCACCACCACCACGCCCAAGAACAAGAGCAAGAACAAGAACTGCACAGCAGCAGCAGCAACGACAACTAAAAGCAACGACCGACAAAACAAGGTTCAGACCTGTGGTTGACCCGCCGCCCCCCGGCTGTCCAATGGCAGGCTTCTCGAGAAGATCAACTCCTACATCAAGGACTTGGAGGCTATCCATGAAGAAATCGATGAGATTTACTCCAACGGATTGATCGAAGGGCTCTCCAAGGGGCGCCGACCTCATTTCAGTTCATGTTGGACTTGTATTGCGATGGAAGCCTCGCAAATTTCTAGTCCAACCGAATTCTGTCCACCATCTTACTCTTCGCTTGGTTTCACACTTGGCACTCTCTTTTTGGATTTACAGTCGGCTGTCTGCCTTTTTTGGACCTCACACCTTCCCTTCCATGTTCCGGCCATACTCTTCACATTCGGCTGCGGAAGCACGTGTGCCAAGGGCTCTGGAAGCGCTTGGTAAGGCAGGCAGTGGGAAGCGCAGCCTTGCTGCCACAAATCCATGCTGGGCAGGCCGTTCTTGCCCAAGACCCCCAAGTCCGAGAAGAAGTCGCCCAAGAAAAAGAGGCAGTCAGCCCGGGCTGCCAAAAAGAAGGCAAAGCCTGGCAAGCCTGCTGCAAAGGCAAAAGCCAAACAGGAGCCAGACTCAAGCTCGCCCAAGCGCAGAAAGCGCTGAGTGTCTCAACCTGAAGGTGGTGTTCTGTTTTGACAAGAGAGCTCCGCCGTGATTCTAGGCTTTCGCATGTGATTTGGCTGGCCACAAAAACTGGCCATTAACTCCACACAGGCAAGCTGCTCCGCTTGCATCGTGCGTTGGGGGAAAAGGCTTTTGTTCACAGTGCCTTGTTGCACCTTGACCTGAGCAACACAGTACACATGCTTCTTCTCGCGCGTGAGCTCACTTTGCCAGGTGGTGAGGGTCCTGCTCAGCCTGGGCCGGTCCTGGAAACAAGGGCTTGCTGATGGGGCCTGCAACCCACTGCCCAAATTGGCGCGCAAAGGGGTCCTTTCTTTTGACCTTGAGGCCACAGCTCGGCGACTGACATCTATGGCCTCAGCCATACGCCAGGAGGGCGCTTGTGACCTTAGCGTCGGCGAGGCTTTGAACTGCAGTGAGGCGCACGCATCTCGAACAGTCTACAGAGCTCTCGCCAGACTTGGTTTGGCGTGGAAAGTCCCCAGAGTTTGTTTATCCGTCCAACCGGCGGCCTGGGGAAAATCTCACAGTACCATATTTGAAGCCATCCGACCTGGTCAAGTGCTTTCTGACGCACTGCCCTGATCTCCTGTTTGGGGGCGCGAGCCACATGAAGGAACAGTCCGGAGCAGGTGATACCCCTGGTTTTGCATGGGGATGAAGGTCGGGGGCTGCGCAAAGGCAACTGCGCAGCCCTCACCTTAGAGAGCCCTATGGGGCTGAGCAGCCATGATGTGGACAGCTGTCTGAAAATGCTCCTGCGCTCAGCAACTTCATGCTGAGTTGTCAAGCCGCCTTGGGGTGGACCCACAGATGGGTCATGATGAGTGCGCGATTTCACAAGCTCAGCGGACCAACATGCAGCATCACTCCTTCTTGACTCGTTTTCTGGTATGGGCTGTGCACAGCCGTCAATACAAGGAAGCCAACGGCATGATTCACGCTTTGTTACAAAGTTTATGAAGGGAGATCTCAAATGGGCTTGTGCGGGAGGTGTGCATCATGAACAGGTGTTATCTCAATTTGGCGAAGGTCATCGACGCGCCGATGTGTTCTGAATGTCTTGCAGGTTCGCATGGTTTGCCGTTTGCGGATGTCTCCCTGAGCCCGGTCTGGGAGCCCACGCTGTGGGAGGAGCGCCCATTTGATCCTGAATACGTTTTGTGAGAGGCAACTGCGGAGGGACGTCTTCCATACCCTCGTCGGCAAGTTGCCTTCTGGTTTTGGTAGACGAGTGGCAGTACTTTGATGACGCTGCAGCAATAAACTCTCTTGACACAAAGCTTCAGCGGTCCCACGGCCACTTCATGCTGTACTGCGCCACTATCAGGAAAAGCCCGGCATTGCATTCATTCACCCGCGCACTACTGAACCGGAAGAATTCCCTGCAGCATCCATGGTTTAATATCAAAGGCTCTGACTGCATGATGGCGCTTGGCTGTTTTCTTGGTGTTACTGAGGGCGTGCGTCAATTGCCCATTGGACGATCACCACTTGCCAGCGCTTCACATGATGCTAGAGGGCACAAGTGCCGCACTGAAGCTATTCGAAACATTATACGACCATGGTCTGTGGATGTCGAAACCTTGTGGGGCTTACGTGCATCAGCTTGGCTATCAATTCACACAGAAATATGTGCGGATGGCGGATGTGTGCTTGAACGAGCTCCACTTTCACGCCTTCGCCTTGAAACCAAATTTGCATGCATTCTGCCATAGCTTGGTGGAGTTGAAGCAACAACTCAGAGACCCATCAACCAGGAGAGTTCCAAACATCAATATTTGGAATTGCGAGCAGAACGAAGATTTTGTTGGCAAACTGTGTCGTACTGCCTCAAAGGCACATGAGTTTAAGGGTTATCCAGTTATACCTGACCAAGAGCAAAGACCTGCACAAACGTCGCTTGGCAACCGAGAGGCCGGCCTCCTCCAGGGCCAAGCGTCGCCAAAAGCGTGGCGGAGCTCGGGCTTGATGTGGCTTGGTTTGTTTTTAAACAGAGGGCCCCTCAATGCTAGGCACACATGAGCAACATGTTTGCCACTGCTTCGCCCAACATCGACGTGAGTTTGTGTTCACCCTGTTTTCAGTCCACAAAACTTGTTTGAAATGACGCAGTGCAAGCCCGTGTTAGTTGCAACCTTCGCGTGCTCGATCAGACCGCCGTGCTGCAAGCGGTGCAAAAGAGCCGAGCCTTGATAGTCAGCATCCACCCCATGATCCAGAAACGGCAGATTTCAATCAGCACGGCGGAAACCTCTTGAGCCGGCGACAATTTGGGTTCAGACCCTTGGCGGCGGAAATTTGCACCAACGGGTGGTCCAGGTATGTGTGTCTGTGAGAAAAACCTCTAGGCATTTCTCCCTGCAACGGCATAGCATTCTCGAAATGCTTCGGAAGACCTTCCGAATTCCTGGAATGCCTCGAAATACGTCAGGAATTCAAACAGATCCACAGACGAAATTGCTAGGAAAGGTTGCCAAGGCAAGATTCCCAAGCACTTCCTGAAACTCCAGGAACAATCCCCGAATTGATCCACAAAATCCAGGCCTGCAAGGAACAAACCCCTGAATTAGACATGACGTGGACGGTGCGCGAAAAGGAACGGAAAGCTTAAGGATTGGAGAGAGCATCGGATGGGAAGGAAGTGGACAGAGAAACATAGAGAAGACGAAGCCAGTGGCAAGCAGTCTCTCAACAACAAACTATATACTCCCAACAAATGTCCTCGGTCACTGAGACGCACATGACATAGGACCTTCCAGCGCCAACCTCCACTATTGCAAGATGAGAATAGAAAATTGGGCGTTACCCTTTTCCATCATTGAAGAAGATGTAGCAACATGAGTTGGGAATTCAGCGCGGAGCACCCATTGTTATCGGTGCCATTCCCTCAGATCAATGCACGCCTGGGGCTCTGTTCGGGCGCCACGAAGGCCACGATGGTCAGCTTCGTGCGAGGAAACCAGAGAGATGAGTAAGGAAGGAGACCGCAGGTCGAACCATAGGAAAACACAAGCATATATTTGTTTACATATGCGTATATGTGTCTCCAAAATAGTCATCTATAGATAAAAAAATGTGATATTGTGTCTTCGTCCCTAAGGAAAAACCACCTAGGATTAAGCAGTTTTCTTTCTCTCGAAAACGAATCTGCCTTGCGATGCAAATTCAGATGTGCGAGCCCAAGTGGCCTTGACTTGCCAATTCTGTGAGTGCTCGTTTTTCGGTTTTGCGTCCAACACAGAAAATCAGACACTGCGCTGAAGACCCCCATGAGTCAGGACTTCTTGCCTTTTGTCGGTCACATTTATTTTGTCTTTTTTTCTGGTGGCTTGACGGATACGTGACCTGGGATCCGGCCATCTTTGACGGTCAATATACAACTCCAATGTCACTTCCAGGGAGTACAATTCTCTTTCACTTGTGCGTTCTCCTTCTCTTTTCTCACACTTTTCCTTCTCTATCTCTCTAGCTATTTCTCTGTGTATCTATATCTCTCTCGTCCATCCATCCATCCATCCATCCATCCATCCATCCATCCATCCATCCATCCATCCATCCATCCATCCATCCATCCATCCATCCATCCATCCGTCCGTCCGTCCGTCCAGTCCATCCATCCATCCATCCATCCATCCATCCATCCATCCATCCGTCCGCACCCATCCCCACCCAGCCGTGCGTATCTGTCTAGATATGTATATATATATATATATATATATTTGTCTATGCGCCTAGTTATCTATCTGTCTGTTTATCGGCTTGATCTGTCTATCAGTCTCTTTCTTCTTACCTATCTATCTAAATCTCTACTTAGTCTGTCTATCGCTTCATTTAGCTGTTTATCTATCTCTCCTAATGCGTCTATCTCTATCTATCTACTTTCTATCTCTCTCTGCGTTAATCTATCTTTCCATCTGCCTCTCGCTCTCTTTCTCCCCTAATGCGTAGCATGGGGTTCTCGTTTCATCTTGGGGGTCTGGGGTTGAAGCCTTGTTCGCCGGATGTTGCGCAACCGTGCGCAACCGTCCGCAACCGTTCGTATGATTGCGCTATGGCTCTCCCAGCGGGGAAGCACAGAACGCGTGAGTTTGATGACTTGTGACGCGCTGTGTTCGTTGGCCCTGCGCGCGAATCGTATCTTCTCAAGATCGACGTGTCGTTTCGCTGCGCAGGCGCAGTGTTTCGTGAGGCTTCACGTTTGCGTTGCAAATGCAATGGGATTCGCGTTTCAGGGGTCGTTGTTTTGAGGCGTTTTCGTTGGCCCTGTCGTGCAATCGGCTCGCTTTCACGACTGCAGTTTGCAAGAAATTGGTCGAAATCATTCTGGCGCTACAGCCCCGCGCTAGTTTTCCGCGCACACGGTGCGGGAGTGTCAAATTCTGATTTCGTGGCAGGCGCAGCACTTTAGAGCTTTTCGCACAGATTTCGTGGCACGCGCAGATTTCGTGGCAGGCGCAGTACTTTCGAGCTTGCGCGCCGATGTCGTGGCAGGCGCAGCACTTTGGGTGGGTCGAGTCGCTCTCGCTGTGGCGCGGTGCACTTTTTGACAATGCAAAGCGAACCCTCTGCGCACTTTGGGTGGGTCAAATCGCTCTGGCGCGGCGCACATTTTGAAAATGCAAAGTGAACCGTCTCCGCACTTTGGGTGGGTCGAATCGCTCTTGCTGTGGCGCGGTGCACATTTTGAAACAAGAAACGTGGCGAGAGACCTTTCTCAGAAGTGTCGCTCAGAAGTGTCGACGAGAAGCGTCGATGAGAAGTGTTGCGGGCCAAACTTTTCTCTCAAGACTTGTCTTTCAAGACTTTTCTCTCCAAACTTGTCTCTCCAAACTTGTCTCTCAAGATTTGTCTCCCCAAACTTCTCTCTCCAAACTTGTCTCTCAAGACTTGTCTTTCAAGACTTTTCTCTCCAAAATTGTCTCTCAAGATTTATCTCCCTAAACTTGTCTCTCCAATTTTGTCTCTCCAAACTTGTCTCTTCAAACTTGTCTCTCAAGACTTGTGACTTGTCGACTTCTCTCTCCAGACTTGTCTCTTCAGACATTTCGCTCAAGACTTGTCACTTGTAGACTTGTCTCTCTCCAAACTTGTTTCTCAAGATTGGTCTTTTTATACTTCTCTCCCAAGACGCGTCTCTCAACATTTCTCTCTTAAGACTTGTCCTTGCAGGAATGTTCGGGTTCGTGACTTGCATATCCTCCCACACATGCGAATGCGCCCACCCTACCCCCCCCCCCAAGAACAAAACTAAAACACCCGGGACCATTCAAAAACCAATATCCCCCAATCTGCCAAGGGCCAAACCGATTCCGTAGGGGACCTACAAAAACGATTCCTGCGTAAGGAACAATAGAAATATATATATATATATATATATATATATATGTATATGTAATAAATATCAGGTATCATAACGTGTATATATATATGTACATGTACTTATGTATACATATATATATATATATACATATCAAATCTACAGTACAGTACGCACACATAAATGCTAAAATACGCGTTGCGGGTAGACAGGTTATGGACTAACACATATGTGTCACGCATTCTACAAATTGCCAGACGTCAGAAACATCATTGCTATCAGCATCCTTCTGATTCGTGGTCAATAGAAACAATGCGGCGACTATACCTTGAGCAGATTTGCCGTCTGCGAATTGTCGCCATTGGTGGCTTCGGTCCACCACGCGCTTGCTTCGCTTGTCAACAAGCTTCAGAACCAAGGCGCTAATCATCATCATTGCTGTGCGCAAAGTCACGCAGCGGGCAGTGATCGAGATGCTGTAGCTCGTTGAATGTGCCCGTGACAAGGAGCCTACAACAAAATCGTGCCCCAAGCGCATCAAGCCAACTGAACCGAATCAGTGGACAGGAGGCCTGATTCATGCCAGCAACACGTGCGACTTGTCTGGCTGTTGGTCATTCACTTCTGGCTCGCGGCTAAAGGCAAACCAATTTTCAAGGCCCTTGCAAAATGACTAGGCACAACTGCCAAAACATCAACCAAACTTCAAGAACCGAACACGAAGCAAACTAAGCGCCTGGGCCAGTCCTTCCGTAGCATTTGTTACTGGCGCTGTCGACCCAAACTCGGGCACAGCCATCCCCAGCGCCGCTAGTGCTCTTGCACCAGCAGCCCGTCATGACCTTGTCACTGGAGCACTGGGCGGTAGGCCCCGAGTCTTGATTGGACGCATAGCTGCCGCTCTTCGTGACTGTGCCCCAACTTCGCGCTGCTGGCTCCGGGATCTCAGCACAAATTGCCTGGGCATAACCACCCTTGGCGTAGCACTTCTCCCCACTGAGCCAAACCTCCTTGCAGTGGTGCGTGATTGTCCAGGTGTGGTCCTTCTCTGTGAAACTGTCGGGATAACACGTGCAGGACCTTACACATGTCTGGGCTTATTGTAGCCAACCAAATCAACCCAACAACCGGATGTCCATCCCGCAACATGCAACACCAAAAATAGCTGCAGTAATTGGAAACACATCAGGTAATGCAAAGTGGAAGCCTGCGAGCTTGCACATGCCCCCAACTTTGCCAAGATTTCTTCGAGGAGCAGCACACGATGACCTGAGGGGCAGGAGGCGGACACTGAGCTGGGCAGAGTGCGTCTGCGCCTGGAGCGTCTGCGGCGGGAGCGTCTGCGACGGGTGCGGCGACGACGGGTGCGTCTTCTGCGGCGTCTGCGGCGCCTGCGTGAAAATACTTCCCCGCTGTCCGAGGAGTCTTCCTCCTGAGCAATCTTAATCAAGATTGGCTGCCAAAGCGCCGGAACTCTGCGATAGCCTCCAGTACCCCCAGTTAAATGCAGCCGAGAGTCCAAAAGCGCAAGCTGGCCATCCGAATGGTTTCGGAGCTCCTGATCTACCTCGTCTTCTTCGGCCATGTCTGCATCAGAGCTCTCGGCTTCGCTGTGCTCGTCAAGCTCGCCCAGGTGCTCATCATCCAGGCCCTCGTGGTCTTCGTCCGCCACGTCCACTTCGTCTTCGATGTCGTCATGTTCATCCTCCTCCCGGGCCGTGCCCACAGCATCCAAACTCACCTCCCTGTCATCCTCATCTGCCACATCTGCCTCTGCGACTGTTCCGTTCACTCCACTCTCCAGGAAACTGAAGCTGGGACCACCGCTAGTGATCACCTGGTAGGACTTCATGAAGGTCATGGACATGCACTGTGACTGGGACCGCACCGAGGCTGACTTGCCTGTGGTGCCGTGGACATCCGTGGTGCCGTACGCATAGCACGTGGAGCCAGACACCTTGGAGCCCGTGCAGACCCCACTATCGGCGATGCACGAGCAATGCGTGATCGTGTACCTCCTTCGGCAGCTTGACGAGGCGACGCCATCTCTTCTTCTTGATGCGCCGCTTTTCTCTACGAAAGAGTTCAGCGGGTAGTCGATGGCCTCAAACTCCATAATAATCTCACCACGCGGCGTCGACGCCACAGTGCCCTCCTGGCTCCAGGAGGAAGGACTAAGGTAACGCCGCCGCCGCCTGCGACGCCGGTCACTCTGGGTCAAGGTCATCTGACTGCCGTGGTTCACTGTAAGCTTGTTGTTCACTTCATTGGTGTTGGGGGTCTGCTTGATAGACCACTTGTACTGCTTATTGGGGTTCAAGCCCTGCACCACGGCGGAGGAGATGCCTGCAACATCCCGCATGATGCCCATGTCCTTCTCCATCCGGGACCATCCCAGCAGCTTGATGGTGGACAAGTCTCCAAAAGGCTCGATGTAGGTCGTTTCCCGAGTCAAGCCCTTGGTAGAGTTCCCTGTCCAGGACCTGACAGGTTTGCTTTGGTCGCAAATGCCTCGATCTTGGAACACTCACTGTTCATTTAGGCAGAGTAGGCCTGCCGCAAGCAGCCCTGCCTGGTTCCGCCAGGATTCACAACAGCAGCCGCACGCGTGAAGGAGGGCGAGGTGCCTTGTGTCTGCGTCAGAAATTGCCTTCGAAGACTGGTCTTCCAGCATGCCTCGGGGTTGGCCACCTCACAGGGCAAACGAGTTGAGGTTCCAAGATTGCACGTGTGCCAGGGGCAAACCCAGTTGGCACAAAGGGTGCTTGGAGCTATGCGAGGCTCGGAACATCACGCCTGGCAGCTGGCGTTATGTGGCAAGGCCAGCAAATCACCTTCCATGCCGAACTCCCGCACTAAGCTGTCACAGCCAGTGTAGAGGCGGCACGTCTGGGCCCCGTGGGATGTACCGCTCCAATAGAACTGGCATCCAGCGTAGTCCTTGCATCGCTCCTGGGCACGCCCCCAGCAAATGCTCTGGGAAAAACTCGCAGGTTTTATCAGAGCCTGCCACAAAAAGAGAGTGACAATGCGCTTTAAACGTGGTCAGGAGCAGGCGCGAAAACGGGGCAGTCCGGCCAGTACAGGGCAGCACGGGGCAGCACGGGGCAGTCCGATATCTGGTCCGAATAATGTGAATATATAATTCAAATTTAGATGTATTCGCAGTAATACTGTGTGACGCGTATTAGCTTGGACAACAATATGGGATGTATTTGAGCAACATGTAATTATCGTTGGTGTCCAATTACCAACCGTGGCTGCTCTTTTGGCATTTGGTTTGAAAAACAAAACCTTTCGATTGTCCCTTGCCGTGGCCAGGAAGCTGATAAACATTTGTTGTGCATTAGCATGCCTAATCATACGACGCAATGCTTCATTTGGTGCTAAGTACGAGTCTATTGTCTGGGGTGTCCCTGGTCGGATATATAACATCGTTCAAGTAACTAACACGCCAGGCACGATTAAACATGAGGTCATGAGAAAACGGAGATTCCCAACACAATTCCAACAATATAGACAATAGACTCCTAAACCCTTTTTAACAAGTTAACTCAATTTTCATAATATAATTGTCCGGATTTACTGAACGGTTGCTGGTGGTTTCCTTTCTTTTCTCTATGCTTGTCATTCTCATTGTTACGAATCTGCTCGTCCCTTCTATGCGACCTCTCGCTGGAAGCCGTCCTGGCAGTCTGAGGGCTCCATGCTCTCGGCCTCCGACTCGAAGTGGATGCCGGCCGGGCCCTTCATCAGCTGCCGGGAGGGGCATGCAAACTGCCCAGAGACGATCAAGAAGGGTGGTGGAATAAAGCTGCCATTGCCTGCGCAGGCCGGCATGCCCCCGAACGCTCGGATCAACTTTAGTTCTTACTGCAGTGCTATTTTTGAAATCTGGGTTACAATGTCTGCCCGTCTTATCCCAAACTGGCAGAGCAGCTTTCTGACGCAGAGAGTGCCGAGTTGCTGGTGGGCGGGATGTTCTCCAAGGCCATCGCATCTGCAGGCCAACCGCTGCCCCATTCCAAAGGAAGACAGTCACAAGGGTGAAGCCAGAAATCCTTCGGATGCTCAACAACGCGCAGATAGAGAGAGGAGTAAACTACAACATGTTGGGTTGCCGGGGGGGGGGGTTGCCCGGACCGAATGACGGTCTCTCTTGGACGTGGGTTGGGAACTGCGCAAATCCTACGCGAATAGCAGTGGGATCTGCAACTGTCCAACTCGCGTACTCGAATCTCAGATTCGACACGCGGTGCTGGCAGGCGCAGCATTCTCAATTTCTCGCAGCAGGCTCCAGGGCTGTGGCTTGATTCTCTTAGTGAGAGACCTTCAGAATGCCACCAACACTTTCATGCAGCTGTCCAGGCCGGGCTGCCTTGTGTATGCGAAGCAGACAAGTCATGAGTCATGAGCTGAGAGCGCAGCGGAGACAAAGAGAAGCATTCGGGAACGTAGCTCCTTCAAAAGCAAGAAGACCCCAAGCCCTCTTCGACACCAGTAAAAGTCTGGGCAGACCCCCCGTCAACCCAACATGTTGGGTCGACAGTGGCGGCTGTGACAACTTATTGCTTGGCCGTATAGTTTTGACATTGTTGGTTTTGTGCGTGGAAGGGGTGGCTTAATACTCCTAAATTGCTCGCGCTCACACGGAACATTCCACAATACCCGGTACGAAAGTAGCACGCGAAGTGCAGCTCCATAGCTTCGGCCCAAGCAAACGTCAGCGCCTAACCTGTAGCGCTCGCCAAACAAATCAGAGCACAGGCGACTCTTGGATACAGTTTCTAGATACGCTCATGAGATTCGCAGTTCTTCAAGGCGCAGCGTGAGAGTGCGGGAGTGCAGCGCGAGAGAGTGAGGGTGAGGGTGAGAGTGAGAGCGTTAAAGTCAGTAAGAGATTGAGTGAGTGAGTGAGTGAGTGAGTGAGTGACTGAGTGAGTGAGTGAGTCAGGCAGTCAGTCAGAGTGAGTGAGTGAATGAGTGAGTGAATGAGTGAGGCAGTGAGTCAGTATGAGTCATTGAGTGCTTGAGTGATTGGGGGAGTGAGTGCGCGCGCTAAGTCAGTGAGTGAGTGAGTGACTGAATGAGTGCTTGAGTAACTGAGTGAGTGCTTGAGTGACTGAGTGAGTGAGAGGCAGTCGGGCCAGCATCAACATTTTCTTTGTCGGCTGTGTCCCAAACCCTCTAAGATTGGAAAAAACCATCCTTGCGCTTGGTTTTCTGCATTTTTCATGGTGCGCTTGAAATCTTGGTTTAAGGCTAATTTTCCATGATTTTGAGATTGAATTTTGATGATTTCAATCTCGGGCTTCATAGCATATTCAAAGCCCGCGCTTGAAAAATGACAAAATTGAAATTGATGAGTATTCACAGGGCCAAAATGGCCATGTTCAGGATCTGTAGTGAATGAGTTTGAGAGGCTGTGATATGCATCCCTGCAAAGCGTTCCAGCCCATGTGCTCAGAAAGAACATCATTGCTTTTGGCATGTGTTGGATGGCATGGGAGAATCATTTGTTTCAGGATCAAGAAGCACCATGTGAAAAAGCATACGGTGAAGAGGTTGCCCACACCAACTTGCAGCAACGCCTCGCTGGTGAACAGCCTCATAGACTAAAGCTTTCAGCTTTGGCTGCTACAAGGGTGCTGTTGAACAATGCTGTCAAAGGCGCTGGCTTGCTGGCATTGGAGGCATTGATCATGTCTTTGCTGGCTGTCAGCAAGAGTGGCCTGTTCAGTTGCACAGATGAAAGAATGCAGCAAGACTGGGGCATGTCCTTGGACAGATGGGCAGGGTGGGTGGCAAGCAGGATCCTGGTTGTGATGGCCCATTGTAGAAGGGTCGAGAACAGCAAGGTTACATGAGGCAAGCCCAGAGCAGCCTATATATAGAAAGAAAAGGACCAGAAACATGGTCCAAGACTTACCCTACAAAGCGACAAGCGCCAGCACTCTTGGCACAGAGAGCATGGCTGAGTCTGATGTGAACCTTGACTTTGAAGCACTGGCTTGCAGCCCAAGAAGGCAGCAAAAAAGAAGAAGAAAGCAAAGGCTAGGGCCAAGGCTCTTGCCATTGAGGAAGTATGCTCAGAAGGCAGTTCAAGCCATTCTTCCAAGGCTGCCAAAGCCAAAGACAGGACACACCTGCAAGTTTTGGAGGGTTGCAAAAAGAAGCACTTGCAAAGAGAGGCAGAGCGAGTCCCACTTCAAGATCACCATGGAGGAGATGGGCAAGCTTGACCAGGGGACAGCAGTGTCGCTGGGAGCTGCAGTGACAAGCAATCAAGGGGAAACGCAAGGGAAACGCAGGGGGACCGAAGGGAATAAAATGAAGCGACAAGACATAAATATATATATATGAAGGGAAATGAAACACAAGGAAGTGGAAACGAAGGGAGATGTCGACGTGGATGAGTTGAAGCCGAAATATGCCTAGACAAGGAGGAAAGGCTTGGAGGAAAGGAAATGAAGGGGCCATGCCGAGGATGATGGAACATGACAGGACATGAAAATGAAATGAAGAGAAAACCAAGGGGGCTTGGCTGGGATTTCAATTGGTGGTAGAGCGACAATAAAGGGGTCACGGGAATCAAGGCAGGGTGGGTGGGGGGAATGACACCAACGCAACACTGCCTCGGCGTATCGCGGGGAACTTAGAAGGACACGCAGGCGCAGTGTCAGCGGACTAGCGTTTGTGGGCCAGGAGCGGACCAAACCGCAAAACAAACAGCCCTTCCGCGGCCTCTTCGCAAGCCTTGGCAGCGCAAACGCAAATGACCGGCTGAACCCTTTTGACGGCTTCCTCAGTCTGCGTGGTGGTCGGGTCGTCGAAGACAAGCGGCTGCAGCGTCTCCTGGCCAGTCGCAAACGACGAATACCAGTAATAGTTGCGACCCGCATCTCGCTGCGTATCATCTGATCACCCTTGGCGGGCGCAAACAACAGAAATGGTTTAGCGACTAATGCCTAACTCTTCCCGCATGTGTGGATGCTAGTTGGAGCCTACGAGTTTCAAACTCCGATGGCAACTGTTTGCCAACACCTGCGTCTCCATGTCGCTGTCAAGTGTCAAAACTAGTTGTCGACAAACGCAAACATGTCGAAACCAACACTTCCTCTGAACTGCACATGACGGCGCGTCCCGTTTGAGCGCAACCGCAAGCAAGGACGCAGCTGCGTTGTTCGAGGCCGGGCTTCATCTAACTCGCTGGCTCGATGTCTCAATAATGATTGCCCAGGTGCTGACATGCTTCGTAGAACTCGCAAACACGTGCTTTGAGGGGGGAGGGCTGCCGCCCGCGGTCCTCCTCCGCTTCAGGGAAGAGAGGCTTGCCACAGGCAAGCGTGGCCAAGTTCAAGCTCATACCCGTGCCGCTGCTCGGCAAGCCGGCTTCCAGGCAAGCACGCTCGTTGCCTGGCTCTGACAACGCTGTCTGACGGTGTGTATATGTGTGTGTTTGTGCTTCTGCCTGTGCGTTTGCATGTTCGCGCACGAGTGTTTTTGCGGTCGTCAGTGGTCCTTGCCTGGGCATAGTCTGCAACTGTGTTGGCATCTATGTCTGGCATTTGTCTGTGTGTGTCTATCTCAGTGTCTCTGTGTCTCCCTGTCTCTGTGTGTCCGTGCGTTTGTGAATGTGTGGTTGTTCTGCTGCATTGCTTTGTTGCTCGAGTCGCCGTTCTCCGTCTTTCGGTGCGTGTGCGTGCTTCCTAGCACTGCCAACGCTGCCGTGTTGGCCTGCGTTTGTGCGCAATGCAGTTGCATGTGCGTGTCTCTCTCTCTCTCTCTCGCTCTCTCTCTCTCTCTCTCTCTCTCCTTGTCTGTCTGTCTCTCTGTCTGTTGGTCTGTCTCTCTGTGCATTCGTTTGTTCGTGTGTGCGTGGCGTCTGTGTGGACGTGTGCATGTGTGCGCGCCTGCGCGTTCGGGTGCGAGTGAGTGTTTGTGTGTGTGTGCTGCGCGCGTGCGCGTTTGTCTCTGTGTGTGTGTGTGTGTCTGCGTGTCTGTGTCCGTGTGTGGGTGTGTGTGCGCGTGCGCGTGCTGCTCTGTGTCTCTGTGCCTCTTTGCCTGCGCGTCTGCATGTCTGTGAGAGAGAGAGGGTGTGTGTGTCTTCGTGTCTGTGTCTGTGTGTGTCGGGTCTGTGCCTGTGTCTGCGCGCTTCTGTGTTTGTGCGTGTGTGTGTGTGTGTGTGTGTTTGTCTGTGATACTGTGTCGCTGCGTCGCCGTGCCCCTTCTCTGTGTTTCTGCCTGTCCACCGTGTGGTTCCATGTGTGTGCGTGTGTCTGCGCCTGTGTTTCTTTGAGCGTGTGTTTGTGTGGGTGTGCGTAGAGTGGCTCTGTGGGTGCGGGCGGGTGGGTGTCGCTCTCTCTCTCTCTCTCTCTCTCTCTCTCTCTCTCTCTCTCTCTCTCCCTCCTTCCCTTCTTCCCTCCTCCCTTCCCTCCGTCCCTCCCGCCCCTCCCTCTCGCCGTCTCTGACACAAGCTACAACGCGCCTATGCGCTTTCGCATGGGCTTTGACATTTTCGAGTCATGTCCACAAACGTAAGGCGCACCAACATGTGCTGCAATGTTGCTAAGTTGTTTGTTCATAGCCACCCTATGCGTTTGTAAGCAACAATCTTCCAAAACAAGTTGAAAACCAATGTGCTCAACAAGTCCTTCCTCCGTGGCACAGCGCGTTTTACAAGCGCGAGCCCTACGCAAGCCGCAAGCTGATTGTTGTTGCTTTATTCTTTCTTTTCTTCTCTTGATCGTGCTGGTTTCTTTTTCCCTTACTCTTTCTCTTCTTTCTCGCTTGCATTGTCTCTTCCTCCCTTTCTCCGAAATCTTGCGAAAAAGGTGTTCCAGGCAGCCAACTTGACGAGGTCTAAACGAGGTCTTAACGAGGCATGAACGAGGTCCACAGACTGGCCCTGACCAGCACGGCTTGTTAGGACACAATCCTTCATTGGGGGAGCGCGTGTGGTGGATGTGTGCGGGGAAGGGGGGGGGCTTGCAGGCTTGCGCGCATGTGTGCACGTGTGCGCGCGTGGGTAGGGCCCTGGCGCGCGCGCGCGCCTGTGTGTGCGCGCGCGACCGTTAGTTGGCTCAATTTTCTCAATATCTCGGCCAGAAGCACTGAGCCGGGATGGGCCTCAACATTCACAAGCTGCCCTTCGCCAAACACGCCAAAAAGCATCCGGCCCATGACCCTTGGCTTGCGCTATCAGCAAGCCATTATGTCCATGAAACGAGCGTGCCCATGCGGTTTCTTTGAGAGTGACTTCGTGCCACACATCTAAAAATGACAGCGTGATCATGACTCTAAACAGCTTTCCCCACCGGCACACTGCTTGCGGCACGAGATCATGGCTTGCGGGACTTGTAACCACACGGGTTGTATGTGCTCGTGTGTGTGTGTGTGTGCCTCTGCCTAGTTCTCTGTCTTTCTGTGTCTGTGTGTGTGTGAGCACCTCTTTGTGTTTGCGCGCGCGCAATTTGGAATTGTTTGAGTGTGCCGGCACAGGTGTGTGTCTGTGCGTCTGCGTCTTTATATCTGACGCCGATAGACTTGTGATCACCGCTGTGCAAGAAAGGCACCCTTAAGCTCGAAGTAGCCCTTGTCTGAGTCGATGAAGTCATCCCCGCTGGCACTCTGCACGAGCCACTTGCCCACTGCGCAAGATGAAGTTGAGCCCGGAAGCACGGTGCTCAGGAACCTGGGTTGAACTCTTGGCGTTGCATCAGCTCGCCTGGTAAACTGGTGCGTGGGAAACGCATGCCGTCTATGATGCTGACTCAAGTAGTGTTTGCATCCTGCCGCCCTGCCCAACTAGAAAAGCCATCAGCTTATTACCTCAATTCAAAAGCAGGCAAAAAAAAAGTGGGTGGGGCCAGGAAGCATGACTTCTTGCTTGACGGCGCTGTCCTTGCGGTACACGGGGCCTCCTCGTTGAAAGTCATAGGTGACGGGGCAATAGTCGCCCGCCACAACCCACTCAGGATGTTTCAGGCGCAAGCATGTGTTCAAATCGCTGCAGTCTGTGACTTTTGCGAAAGCAGTCACCGGCGATCCTCCCTCATTCTGAATGCGCCAGTGCTTGCATTTGTCGTGAGCAAAGGTGAAATGGGAGCAGCGCTTTGACATACGGCAGTTGTTGCGGCAGGTGGCTTCGTCAAGGATGGTGACCTCATGAACCACTTGGCCCTGGATTGTCTCTGAGATCCAGCACATGCTATCCTTGATGCGGATCACCAGGGGTGTTTTGACTGGTTGGAAATCTGTGCCGGGGAAGGAACCCCACACACCGCAGCTCATCTGAACAGACTTCCGCTGTTGGCTGTTTGCCAGGATCTCGTCGAAGAGCTTAGCCATTGTGGCGGCTGGCGCGAGTGAGATAGTGCCGTCCGCCTGGATCTCCAAGATGGAGTGCTCCCCCAATAAGCCGACACCCCACACAGTGTCAAAGGACCAGGTGGGCGAAGGGCGTGGGCTGTTCCAATTGCCATCCACAACGCAAGACATGTGGAAAGAGCTCGGCTTGAGGCCGCCCATGCCCTCCTGAGGCTGCCGAACTGCAATGCGGCGCAATGCGGCTCTGTGCGACTGGACACGACTTGATGTGACTCGATGCTCGAAGCAACGCCCGCCTCAAAGCCGCTTGGCACCTGGAGCTTCATCGGGGGAAGCTCCTCACCCACCACCACCTCCACGTAGCTGGCCTCGTACGTGATGGCCGGCCAAGGCCGCGGCCTGATGGCCGCGAAGGTGGTGCTGCGCTTCACAAACCTAAGTTTGGCCGCGCGGCAACACGGTTTTCAGCCAAACTCTACAAAGTTCGTCCTGCGTGGAAGCAATATACAAACAAGCAACTCCTCATCCGTACTCTTATCGTTCGACTTCTGCAAGGCCGACACAACGCAAACAGCTCCATCCATACCCTTATACTCATTCTCACCCTCTTCTGTGTCTGTGACGGCACCAGCGATGCTCGTCGCAGACAAGGACACTTCACCAGCCGCGGAAATGGAGAGCCACGGGGCATCCGGAGCACAAATCATACTGAAGTCCTTGCGAGAGCAATCACGCGCACAAGTGCTTGGATCTGGATATTCTTGGCGCCCGCTACTGAACACAGGCCTAATTGCAGTCGACGAGTCGCGCCTTTACATGTCCCAGCTGAGCCTATTCTAGCCTGCAGCCCGGTCCTTCCACTCAGAGGTTTCAGTGGCCACTGAGTACTTGGTGACCGTGTCGAAGATTAAGGCCCCCGAGCCGTAGGTCATACTGTCCACGATGACCGAGACCTTGACGGTTTCCTCCAAGCCCACGTCCTGGTGCGCAGTAACCTCGCACTGCACTGAGAAGGCTTTTGCAGGCTTCAACTTGTTGGCAGCGTAGGAAATGGCCCCAGTCTCGCCATCCAAGGTGAGGTTGTGCGCTGCCAAGGCGCAGTCCGAGTTCACGGAATACCTCGCGGCAGTGCGGGGCAGTGGTTTCAGCACTACATCCGCACCCACGACGAAGCGTGCGTCCGGGTACTGAAAGGGTGTGGGGCTCTTCACTCCACCGCCGCAAAGGCAGCAGGCTTGCTTGTTGCTCTGCCCGTTCACCGGCCGGTCGTTACAGTCGGCTACCGTGAGGGCGTCGCAGGTTTGGTTCAGCTCGTTGGTCCAGCCGACCGTGCTGAGGCAGGAGACGCAGCGATTGGCCACAGTTACGAAGCCCCCGCGGCACTTCTCACACTTGCCAGAGTACTTGGCACAGCCAGCGCACTCCCAGGACTCCGTGGGGCAGCATGTGGTCTCCGAGGTGTTCACATGGTACGCCACCAAAGGAATGCCATTGCACGAGCTTGCGAGATTCCTCGCGGCACTGTACGGGACGGTGGCCCCAGAAATCAAATTGCCATGGTTGAGAATACATTGCTGCTCAAAAAACTATAGGGTCTCCGAGCGGCGGACACTGGCTATCAAATGGACGGCCAGAAACAAAGGAAACGGCATGAAAAGACGTGAGCAAGCGTTGAGCGAAGGTGAAACATCGTTGCCCAACTTGTGAGGCCCTAAGGTCTCGCAGCCCCGCTCGCAACTCAGAGTCCTGGCCACCAGCATCTCGTTCCGGATGTGTTGGATCTTCTCCGCGGCGGCCAGCGGCGTGGGAGGCTGCTTTCGGCGCTGGCATCGAGGCGCCAGAGTCTTGGACTGGTTCTGCAGCCATGCGAAGCTTGGCGCAGAATCGTATGACCCAGTCAACCTTGCAGCTTCAGAGCATTGAAAGTGCACACGTCGCCCTGCGCACCCCTGCGCTAAGATCAGCCAAGCAGCCCATCGGAGAACTGGATCCGCCCTGACCCTGCAAAGCGCCTGGACTGGAGCAATGCTGGGCTGCTGGCTTCGGCTGGCTCATCACACTTTGGCTCCGCGTGGCTGCCTGACGACAACCAAAAAAGAGCCGCGGTTGAAAGGAGATGCCCCCAAAGGGGCATGAGCGGTAATGGCGCAATGGGTCGATGCCCTCTGTCAGGCAGAGATCATGAACCGTAACTTGAGCCAATGGCTTTTCAGCCATGAATGAGAGTAGTCCAAGGCTGCGAATGATCAGAACACCGACATGCCACCATGGATCGTGAATTTATAGTGGCTCCCGAAACCCCAATGAGCAGCCTGCACAACTTAAGCAGGCACCGCCCAAGAACAGCAAGTCTACGACGGCGGCTCCTCCGAAGCACTGGCTCTCCTGGCGAAGATCAGCGCTCAACAGCGAATACCATAAGGCTGCTGCGAGTGACATCTGAAACCCAGCGGGCCCACAGTGCTTAATCTTTGCGCAGTCTTCACTGGCTTGTTGCGAACGCGGCTGCGAACGCGGCTGCGAATGATCAGAACACATGAAAGAGCAGCATCTCTGCCGTCAATGAAAACAACTGCGGCGCTCTGCCCATCACACCTGCGCCGTGCACTGTTGGGAAGCCAAGTCCCATGGCCAATCGTTGGGACTTTGCACATGCGGCTGCTTCAGAGACCAAGGGCTGGCATATGGTGAGCAATTGAGGCAAAACCACTTGGGCCACAACCTCGTGCAAAACCCTGCGCTGACTTTGTCGAGCTAGCTTCCTCCGTTTTGGTCCGCAAGGATTGGTGAGCTCTACATCCAGCAACAATGCATCTTGGCGCCATCTCTGTGAGCCACGACCTGTGTGTCGGTCTTGTGTTTAGTTCTGTCAGGAAGGTCCTCTCTCCGTAAGACTTATTGACAAAATTGTTGCTTGTTTCCATGATGAAGCTCTCCACGTGTATATTTATCAACTCCGGTTTTGTGCGAAAAGGCTTCCCATGGCTGGCGTCCAGAAAACAACTCGCGCCCATGCACTGCAACGCTCGTACACTCATGCGCTTTTCGCGCGCTCCCTGAAGAACACAGCAGCTTTCCATGGTCGTGTCCTGCCAAGCTTGTCTGTTCCAAAGACGTGTTGGGTAGGTCTCAACGCAATCAAAACAGATAGTGTCTGTGATTAAATGTGCAAAGTGCACTTGCCAGGGACCATATTCAACAACTGTTTCGTCAAATGCCTATAGAAAAAGAAAGAAAGAAAGAAAGAAAGAAAGAAAGAAAGGAGCTCCCCGTGCCTGACTGCTGAAGTTGGAAAACGCGAAACAAACCACACAATTCCACAAGTCTGATTCAGCTGCTTTTGTCAGTGTCCCACATTTGAAACACTGCGCTGCATGGACCGGACTGGGCACACACCAGCGTGCAAGCCAGGCTTCTGGACATTTGAAAAAGCTTGGTCGAATTAATACGCAGCGATCGCAGCGATTGAAAAGTGTTGAGCCACGCTGAGCTGTGTGAAATGCTCACACACACACACATGCTCACTGAGGACACTGGCCTGTATTGAGTGGTGACTTTTGCTCACTTCTTGCTGAGCTAATATAAATGCTTCCGCTGTCAGGCGGTGTCCAAACTTTCTGCTCAAAATCCGAAACGAGCGAACAAACTGCTCAAAGCCCCGAAAAGTGACCAAACGGGCTTGGCGTTGGCTTCATCGTAGGAGCGCCGGACCTGTGCCGAGAAGTCCTTCAAGACTGAGATGTCAGGAGGCGGCATGCTGGCAGCCTGGCAGAAAGGGACACATGCCAAGGTCGCAGTCCACATCCTTCATTCAACAATGTCTCACGTGTCGACTGTTTGGAAAGCCGGTCCTGGAAGCGGTGCAGCAAGAAAATGGCGCCCTGCACCGCAAAGCGCGCCTGATGTAGCGTCTGCTTGGCCAGCGGGGACTTGCTGCCCTCTGCAGCGGCGAAGGTGTGGAACACGCCACCGTCACGGATCACAGCGGCCAACTCGCCCAGGAGGTTGGCCACCTCACGCCACGTGGACTTCAGCAGTCGGTGGCTCTTGTGCATCTTGGCCACACTGGCGCCGTAGCTGTGTAGCAGGTCCTCGAAGCCCGCCTTGCAGTCCTGATAGCTGCCCAGGGACTGGAAGGATGCCTGGAAGTGCTGCACCTCCGACTCCGCCACGTCCAGGTAGGCGTCCAGTCGGTTGCGCAGGCGCCACCAAATGTGATCCAAAGCCAGCAACGCCTCGCTGGTGCCGCGCTTCCAACCCTTGGCCGTTTGGTGCACCTCCGTGCTGTGCCTGCGGTACACGCCCAAGGACCGCTCCTGCCGAGTGAAGCGCTGCTGCAGCTGCCGCACCTCGTGGTTGATTTGCCGCCCCACCACCTGCCACGCGAAATGACAAACTGATTACATCATCTTCAATCGCTTGGCGCAGCATGATGGCTGTGTCAGGCGGGTTGGCGGGGGGGGGGGAGGGTAGCCGAGTCCCGATGAGCCTGGGCGTGCGACAAGCCGCCACCCGTCATCTGCAAAGCGCCGTGCAGAGACTGCACTTGATTCTGGAAGTCCTGCACCTGTCATGGGCATGGGATGTCAAGCAACTATGTTCAGAACCTGACTGGTCAGGGGGCTCCCAACTTTTGAATTTGACGCATTGTTCGAAACTCGCGCTGTCTCCTTCACACACTTCGCTGCGATTATGCATGGTTGCAACATCAACCCTGCCCCAAGTGAAATTTCCACAGCAGCCCTGAAGATAGTGAAAACAAGGAGGATACTGAGGACCCCAATTTCGGCCGGGAATAGCATTTCCTTTATTCAGTGGGCTGCAATTCTTGTTTCAGCTTCCCTCGAGGCAGCCGGTCCCATACCAACTGCCAACGCCAGTGTTTGCTGGACAAGGTTGGATGACCCCCCCCCGAGACACCCCACCTGGCTCAGTGAGGCATTCGCATTCAGCATCTGCGCGGTCTTCAGGAAGTTGCTCAGCGCACTGCGCGCAGCATGTCGACCAGCCGCGTTGAAGGAGGCGGCCTCAGCATAGCCGCGCATCTCCTTCAGCATGGCCTGAGGGGTGGCTGGCTGTGCAGAATACACGGAATTAGGTTGGCATTGAGTCGGACCATACGACATTATATGGCATGACTGGATGTGAGCATGCCAAATGTTGTGGACTTAAAACACAAGATATCCGACATGCAAAGGTCGGGGATTTTAGGGCTTTGGCTCCAAGATCATCCTAAGCTGCGCCTTGCCTGAGTGGCGGTTGCGGCATTCTTCAGCACCAACTGCTCAGCCGGCTGAGTATTCTGGGCAATGTGCTCCAAATAGATCGTGTTCACCTTTCAATATCGGTCAAACGCGGCATTCAAAAAGAGAGTGCAAACAACACAACGCCACAACCTCTCTGAATGCTTTCCCACCTTCAAGGAGTGGTCGATCTTTTTGTCCAGGTACTCGGTCTCAACTCGGTTGGCCTCTGTGGACCACTCCACCATCTTCTTCATGTTGTCGTTTGAGATCTTCGTGGCCTCCTCAAGATTGCGGATGATGGTGCGGTCGCCCCGGATCACGGCGTCTCGCACGCAGTGGATGTCGCAAAACACTCGCGAGAAGCCGACCTGCAGCGGGTTGCAAGCATTGAAGCCTTCCTCCTCCAGCGCGTAGGCAGTTCCTGCGAAGCCGAAGCCAACAGGCAAGTCCACCATGGTTCGGACAAAATCCGTGACCTGATCGCAAATGCTGTCGGGCTCGACCTCTGCTCCAGCACCCAGTGGGGCGATCTCAACATCAGGAGGCATTGCGCACACCAGCTTGATCCCCTCCTGAATTGCATTCCCCACCAAGTCATATGCTGTTTCCGCAAATCCAAGCTGTGCTGACAGCAGGTCTCTATTGATGTCACCCTGCATGCAGTCGTTCCAATCCGAGTACAACATGTTCTCTGGAGCCATCTTATTGCTCTGCCCAGCCATCCTGCCAAAAATGCCGCCTGCGCCCGCAGCCACCGCGCAAGGGTGGTAGTCCAAGAGCTCTTCGCCTTCCGTGCCAGGATCAGCCTCCAGCTTAGCCTCCTCCGTCACAGGTTCCTTTGCCTCGTTTATGTGCGTCTCCACAACCTTCTTCCACAAGTCCTGCACACGCACAAGTAACACATTACGCCTAACACAATTTGTAAGTGTAGTGAAGACCGTCAACGACCTACTTCGGTGCAGATGTCTCCCAAGGATGCACGAAAAAAACGTGCTAGGGCACAAGAATACAAGACTTCAAATTCACAGCCGGAAGTGGTGAGGCTGCAAATCGAGCAAAGCTGAGTCACCGCGATTCAAACAACTTCTGAGCGATCCCAGGTCTCCTGGTAGTCCAAACATTCCGCAGAGTACTCGGGCTGCTTGGCCTTGAAGTCCTGCAGCTTGGGCTTTGGCGGCTGCGCTGGCCGCTTCGGCGGCTTCAGCTTCTTGAGCTGCTTGGCCAAGTTGCCAGCGCCCTCGCCTTCCATCCTGAGACGCCGCATCGCTGCGACGAACGACGATCATCGACGCCGATCAACGGAACATCAACAGAGACGTACGGAAGCCGTTGACACCCAAGGGCAATGAACAGGAGTCAGTGGCCAAACAACGGCAAAAACGGCGATTGCTGGTCCCGCGTGCGGCTCAACACAATTGCCAATGCCGAGCGTCTTGGGGATTCCCTTGGCTTCGAATTCCCCGGCAAAGTCTGTGACGTTCAGCACCTGTTGCAAGGAGCTGCAAGCTTGGCCCTTCTGTGCCATGGCAAAACGGCTCACTGTCCCCACATTTCGGGCTCCTCGATACCCTGCGACCGCTGGGGGGGACGTGGGGAGATGTGCGTTGGAAATCCACAAAAGCTGCCCTGCCTCGAAGCCGGGCATGGAAACGCCGATGGGATCAGCTCCGCCCAGGGGCACGGAGCACGCAGAACCTACGCACCAAGCGCCACTGCTCTGGAAGACCAGGGTGTCGCCCGTAATAGAGTTCTCGTACTCGAAGCGACCGGTTCTTTGGTCAAGTAAGACAGGGCAGAAGACACCTTCGGGTGCCTGAAGAAGGCACGGGCTGAACTCAAAGCCCGTGAATGGCAACTTGCTGCAAGCTGACTTGTTCAAAGCAAATGTCTCGAACATGCAGCAAGGTAGTTGAAACTCGCAACTCAAGGCATGGCTCGGAAACCATCTCTTTCATGTGTCTTCTGCCGAGAGGCTTGCGTCAATTGCTCGATCTTGGTGGACGGCTCCATGACGACTGGAGCCCCGCCCGCCTTGGAGCAGGTGTACCTGGAGCGTGCCCAGCGGCCGCCTTCGGAGAACTCGAAGTGGAAACCGCTCAGAAGACCGTTGGCGCCACAGTCCACGGTGATCATCTTCCTCACGTCACTTGAGCATTGCTTTTGTAGAGGTTCAGACTTATACATGCTGGGGAGGCTAGCTTCGTGAGGCTTCGCGGCACGACTGTCGCGGAGTGGCTTCGCGGACGTTTGTTCCACAAACATCTCTGACGTCTGCGCTCTCATTTGGCTAGCTCAAGTTGGGTCTATGCGGCAAGCGAGACATTGCGCCTCATAGGGGACATGGCCGCGGCCCAAAGGGGCGGATGGAAGTTGGACCGCGGTGGCTTCGCGGAGGGCTTCGCAGAGGCTTCGCGAAAACGGTCTATCGTTTCTACAAAGGGTCTGAAAAGCGCCGTGCTATTCGGCTGTCTTCCTTTCATCCCATAACTTCCACTTGCCTGTCTGCAATCTTCCTGTAATCTCGTCATAGTCTTCCGGCAGCCATCTAAAAGCAACTCGCGACTCCAAACATCAACCTTTGGCATGCTGCTGCCACTAAAGCACACAACTCACTAGAAACACGAAGTGGCTCCGCAAAGTGGCTTTGTCTACGTCAATGTTAACGGGCTACGCGAATTGGCTCGGGGCTTCGCGGCACACAATGTCAAGTTCCTTCGCGGACCTTTTGGGAGTTCCCCCCGCAGCTACAATCCCATCATCTGAGAAAAACAACACTACTCAGTTGAACATGATCTGATGACAGCTGCAATGAACCTGGCTCTGTAGACTGCTGAGTTTTGCTTTTTGCCTGTTTCCCAGCAACCCTGAAAACTCGAAATCCAACAACGTGCGCATCAAGCATATTGCATGCATCTTGCCTGAGAGGTTGCCTGTTCAAAGCCAAGTCTCAATGACTCGAGGAAGTTTGAACGCTTTGCGTCCCAAACCTTGACCTCCACCTGCGCACTGAAATACTCGTACGTCGCACCCAGCCCGCCAATGCGGCTACATTCATAACTGAACTTGTTGCCGGCCGGCTGGTGCTTGAAACCTGCATGGGCTGTGCGCACTGACCAAGGTCATGCCTTGAATCACCGCAATGTTGCAACATCAACTCGGCACATGTCTCGTGGCGTTGATATTGTTTCGCTGGGTTTCTTTGGCTTTTGTGCCCAACAGCTGAAAGCTATTGGAAAATCCAGCAATCCAGCAATCCAGAACAGCAATCCAGCACGAGGATCCGCCTTGCCTTTTGCAAATTTGCGGCAGCTGTGAAACTAAATGAGACATGGCTCGTGCCACCTTTGGCCTCTCCCGTGAGATCAACCTCTCATCATTTTGGAAACCTTGCCTTGGGGGAACACTGCCCAAGTAGCTTCATAATGTTACACCCGCTTGAAAGTCGCCGCTATTGTAGATTTTGTTTTGTAGCTCAGGATCCTGTGACTGTTTTAGGGGTCCGCTATTGTGGAAAGTTTTTCCCCTCCCCAAAAAAATCCAAAAAAGTACAGGCTTGTTTGTTTTCAACTCTCTGGTCTGGGCAGGCTCAGGTCGGGCTCAGGCAGGCTAGCACAACCAACCCTGATCCTCTATAGTGTGATTGTTTCGGGGTCCTCTTTAGTGTTCAACTGGTTTTGGGGGGTTCCTGAAACTCCCAAACCAAAGCCTGAGCCTTTTACTTTTAAGGGTGGCTCATCCGAAGCTCTCCCCAGCTCAAAAGGTTAAGGGCCTGAGGTCTAGGAAATCTTGTGCCCAAACCATCATATTTATGATAACTTCTTTACACAAAAGCAAGGTGAGTCAATCACACAAAGGGGTTGCTGATCCTCTTTAGTGTGATTGTTTCGGGGGTCCTCTTTAGTATTCAACTGGTTTTGGGAGCAAATCTCAAAAGGAAGCTCTACCAATTCTAAATCAATTTGAAACTCAGTTCCAAATCTCAAAAGGAAGCTCCAGCGATACTAAATCAAATGGAAACTCAGTTCCAAATCTCAAAAGGAAGCTCCAGCGATACTACATCAATTTGAAACTCAGTTCCAAATCTCAAAAGGAAGCTCCAGCAATACTACATCAAATTGAAACTCAGTTCCAAATGTCAAAAGGAAGCTCCAGCAATACTATACATCAATTTGAAACTCAGTTCCAAATCTCAAAAGGAAGCTCCAGCAATACTAAATCAAATGGAAACTCAGTTCCAAATCTCAAAAGGAAGCTCCAGCAATACTAAATCAAATGGAAACCCAGTTCCAAATCTCAAAAGGAAGCTCCAGCAATACTAAATCAAATGGAAACTCAAGTCTACCAATACTAAATCAATTTGAAAGTCCCACCCAAACCCCCAGATTTCCGTAAAGAGGGTCCCGCTGACTGTCACATTAAAGCAGGTCCAACATGACACTGCTGGCCAGCTTTTCAAACCACCCCCCCCGCCCCCCCGCGATGTTGTTTGGAGTGGCAACGCTTGAAAGAGCTCAACTTGCCCGTGTCCATCAACATCTGCCTGTCAAAGCCTCTCCGTCTGCACAAAGAATGGGCGAGTCTGCCAAGATCGTGTTCCAGTCTGGCCAATCACTGCTGGTCTTGTCATAGGTGATGGTGCTGTCAACGAAAGCCCCGAACCTCAGTTTTTTGGCGCACAACGAAACTGCCTCCGTGAGCAAACGTTGGATCTGCTGGCAGAGAGACAACTAAGAGACACACACACACACACAAAAACAAACGGACGAACCAACAAGCAAGCAAGAAAGCAAACAAACATCGCACAACAAAACAACACTACAGCCCAACAGCGATTTAATGGGCACAGCCGAGAAACTTGATGACCGGTGCGAAATGACACTTCGACTTGATGCCACTAACGTCGCCACCAAAGATTTGCCCATAAGATAAGCTGACCAGCGCACCGTGAGCACCACAGTAGGATGAGAAGGCCTTGTGCAAATCTTCCCCGGTATTGCGATCAGCACTTTCATGCCTAGGCCCGTCAAATGTTCACGCGCCTGTGTTTGTGCACATACTCGCAAGCGCGAAAAACAAGGCAAACTGCAGTGAAACAGCAAACAACAGCGTGGACCAACACATGCTTGAATCAGGCACCACATTTGAGCAGCAGCAAACAGCCGCGTCACAGGTTACCAATTGCAATCACCAAGAATCCCAACCCCATTTCAGTCATTTCAGGGGTGAGCGGAGCCGAGGCGCATGCTCCACATGATGCCGGGTATGGCCATTGGGGAGATAACCTGGCGTTCCTCATCCACATTGCAAGTGCTGTGCTTGACGGAGGGGGACGTGCCATCATCACTGGGCACAGCTTGCAAGCATTGCCTGGGCTGGAGCGATGCGGCTGAAGCAGCGACCACGGCCTTCCTAGACGCTAAAAACGGGCAACAAAGTCACGCAAAAGGTTCTCTTCCGCTGCTAGTGCGTGGGCGGAAAGCGCAATGCTCGTCAACGTGCGAAGAAGGAGAAACGGCGCTGCCAACGCAAGGCAAACAAAGTGTTTCGTCAACTCCATGAATGTGCTAGGATTGATCCCATCCAGCTGAGGGCGATTCGGTCTCAGTCCCCTTCTCAGCCCTCAGCCTGCTTTGTTTAGCCCATCTCGCCGTACGTAAGCCAAAAATCCGCCGACGCCAGTCGAGCGTGTAGATGGCAGTCCAGCAACTTGGTCTTCCTTCGCATCTCTTGTCAAAGCCAAAGGCTTTTGGGGCTGCCATTTTTTAGGCATGGTGCGCTGGGTGTCCAAAACCGTGTAATTTTCCAGTGTTTTTGACGCGCAGGATCTGCGTCCCGAGCACTCTTTTTTTTGCAGATACTAATGGTGTTTTGCTGTTTCAAGCGATGTTGGAATCAATCCTGATTTTTTTGACTTTTTTGTGGCCAGCCGGCTGCATTCCCAGCATTCCCGACATCTCTGGTATTTTCTGTGTTACGTCCATTTTGCGCGTCTGAAAGTCTTGAAATGTTGGATGCGAAGATTGGGTCTGTTCCTGTACGTGTGGTTGCATCCCTTGCATTTCCAGCATCCCCAGCATCTGGGAGATGTTTCCTGACTGAAAAATAGGAAAGTGCCAAGATGGCCTTGTTGTGGCACTTTCAGACTTCCACAAAAAATAAAAATGGTCTTAAAATCCCTTGCAGCCCACCGGCGTCGTCGGATCGCGTAGCGATTTCAGTACACTCTGCCCGAGAAGGCTCTTCTGCAACACTCTTCTTCTCTCAGTGACCCTTGGCCAAGCACAGTCGCTCACCCGCGTCAACTCCGTGCTCATCAGGTCTTCTCGTTGGCCCGGCTGTCTGCGAGCATCGCTTCGCCATGTGGCAACAAGCTGCTCGTCGCTGAGTCATCAGCCTCGACTGTCCATCACCAGGCGGCAGTTTTGCCGGCCAAGCTTTCGTGACTCAGGATACCGCTCAGAGGCCAGGCACGCGCCTGGCCCCCAAAGGGTCAAGTCAGTGGCTGCATGACACTGAGGTTTCCGCGCCGTTGTTCCGACAGCTCCTCTGAGCTGCGACATTTTCGCCGAGGTTGCCTTGGGGCCGCTTTTTGATCTCTTCTACAAAACTCATCCGCGCACCCATTCTTACCTCGGCAAACTTTTGAGGTGAACAGTGGCGAAAGTCTTGGCGCTGCAGCAGGAAGATGTATCGAACCGCGGTGGGTCGGAGTTGCCTCCTGCGCTTTTGGACCTGCCTGACCCCCTGGCCACCGGCACAAGCTGTTGCAGGACATGCGCCTCGCGTACGAACACAGCAATGAACGCCGTGATAAGACACCGGCGTCCTGTGCACTTGCGTTGCGACCATTGGGCTGCCATACTTGTAGGTTTGCTAGTCTACGCTCATATTCGGTCGCTCGTCATATTCGGTCGCGCCGTTGCTTCGCGCGGTCTTCTTTCAACAGCGGCAAACGTCTCCTGACACTCTCTGTGTCTGAGAAGGCTGCCTGCTGCAGAGCCTCTCACGGGCTCACACTTCTGGACAGCATTCAAGGCAGGGCCTTCTGTGTGCTCTAGTCAAGCTTGATTTTACACAGAATCGGATGATTCGGTCTCACGCACACTCGGTTCATGGGTCCTTTAGGTGAATTGAGTCGATTTCCACCCCTTGATCCGGCGCCTTTCCCTGCACAGGTGGACCACCCGACAGAACATAAATGCTTGGCGAAGCTGCCCATTGTCTGGCACGCCTTGGTCCAAAAGCATCATCATACGCTCCTGGATCTCCGAAGATCCAGCGGCTTGGATGGCCAAAATCTCGGGGCACTCCTGAGGGCAGGTTCAAGGGGCTTTAATTAAGGAATCGAGGGCTGCTATCATGAATGCACGGTAGACACACAGCAACTCGCCTGGCTGTTCTCCAACATCATCTCATGCGAAGAACCAGGTTTCTTCTTCAGGCAGAACTTGTGGGCTGCCGCAGCCGTCTCCACAACGGAACCCAGCTCGGTGTAGACACGCATGGCCAACCGGCTGAAGAAGTAAAGCTCCTCTGCTTGCGCGGTGTTGCCTGCCTTGTCCAGAGTGTGTCACCGTTGAACCAAAAACATACATAGCATACCTGACGCTTTGTGATGTTTCTGTTGGATGAGCCACGCTGCCCATGATGGTATTGCTCCACACCACTCAGACAGTATACTCAGCAAAAGAAGTTGAGGATTATTGCGATATGCACGTCAATGTATTGCATTGTGCGAGGCTTCCAGCAACACAGGTTCAGGATGCAGGCGTAGAGTCACAGTCAGTAAAAGAAACAAGTTCTTGCCGTGGCCGGCACTGACGTGACAGAAACAGTCAGCGTGCAGTTTGACTATAATGTTTCAAGCGAACGTCTATCATTTGGAAAACGACAAATGGCGGAAAGCCTCGAACATGTGGCCCGCACCATGCGGCAACGTAGTTCCGGGGAGGCTATGCACAAATTGGCTGGCCGGTTGCTGTTTCTTTTGGCACAGACTTGTTAGGGGTCTGGGTGGGGCCAAGTGCAGTGATACGTTGAGAAACTGTTTGAATTTGCAAAAATCAGTGTGTTTTGCAATTCCCCACCGAAACATCCCCTGCATTTATCTGCTTTTGATGGTTGATTTTGGGAAATATCAACAAACACACACGCAGGGTTGACTCGCACCAGCACTCCCCAAAGCCGAAAAAGGGTCCAGCAGTTCAACCGTCCTGGCCTGCACGAACATGGTGGCAGTAGTCAGTATTGTTTTTCTTCATGCTCCCAAACAACATTTTGCCCTTGTTGTCCAAACACTACAAAGAATGCAAGACTGCTGTTCCACCTGCCATTGGGAAATCAACACGGACGACAAATCGTTATGCGTTCCAACTGCCATGGGCACATCAACACAGTCACCAAGTCGAATCAAGAGAACTATGAGCGTGACAAATACATTTGATATGGCATAAGTTTCCCGCCATTGCTTGCAAAACCTCCGAACAACACACAGCAACGGTAAGTTCCGGCCGGCGCTTGAGAGCGAACGTCACAAGGGGTCAAATGGGGTCAGTAAAGCAGCCGGAAAACATGCCTGGCAAACCCAGAAAAGAGCTGTCCTGTTCGTTGCGCTTGGCATACTGGGAGTAGCCAGTCCCCGCAACATTGACGCAAGGTGCACATGAGAAGCTTGTCAGCTCGGGCCCCTGCAAGGTGTTGTACCAATCACCGTTCACGCAGTGCAGAGTCTCATGAGACTCTTTCAGGGCGGCGCGGAAAGACTGGAAGCGCTCCGTCCAGCAGCTTGCAGTCAACTGGCTGCCATGAACGAAACTCGCAGGAAGTGGGCGCTTGCCTAAGCTGCACTCACACCGACACAGGACGCCAATGGAAACCTTGCGCTCCAGCCGAGCCGCCCTCCCAGGCGTGGGACGCTGGGATCCGGTAGCTTGGTCGCGCGCAATGTTGCACGCCAAGGCCGCCCATAAGCCTGGGAGACACCAGCAGCTCAGCAGTCACTCGGCAGTCAACTGCAGCGACTGGGCTTTGCGGATAAACCACAATCTCATGCCAACTTGTTGAAGAGTGGAACACTGCTGGACAACATCGACTACAAGGTTGACTAAGCAAGTGCTGCCAGGAAGCAAAAGCGAATCACATTGCTGGTGCAAGTGCGCGTAGTGGAAGGACAAAGGCGCAAGGCGGCCCACTTGACGAGCTTCTAGTACGGGTGTATCAGTCTGCAGCAACCCCGCCTGCTGCAACTCAATCTTAAACTTGCCTTAGTCCCAGAACACCCAGCAAAAGCCGTCTTCTGCAATGCTCGTTGCCCCCCACACAAGTCACGCGCAACCTTGAATTGCTGTTTGATAGTTCTACACGTACAAATGTAAATATGCTATACATGCATGTATGAGTGTATGTGTGCATGCATGTGTATATGTATGACTATAGTATGCATATGTATGTGTGTATGCACATGCTCGTGTGTGTGTGTGTGCGCGCGCGCGTGTGCGTTTGCCTGTGCCTGTGCCTGTGCGTGTGCGTGTGCGCGTGCGTGGGCGTGCGCGTGCGTGCCTGCGCGTGCGCGCGTGCGCGCGTGCGTGCGCGCGTGCGTGCGTGCGTGCGTGCGCTGCGTGCGTGCGCGCGTGCGCGCGTGCGCGGGTGCGCGTGTGCGGGTGTGCGGGTATATGTGTGTGTGTGTCTCTGTGTGTCTGTGTGTGTCTGTGTGTGTCTGTGTGTCTGTGTGTCTGTGTGTCTGTGTGTCTGTGTGTCTGTGTGTCTGTGTGTCTGTGTGTCTGTGTGTCTGTGTGTCTGTGTGTCTGTGTGTCTGTGCTGTGTGCTGTGTGTCTGTGTGTCTGTGTGTCTGTGTGCTGTGTGTCTGTGTGTCTGTGTGTCTGTGTGTCTGTGTGTCTGTGTGTGTGCCTGTGTGCCTGTGTGTCTGTGTGTCTGTGTGTCTGTGTGTCTGTGTGTCTGTGTGTCTGTGTGTCTGTGTGTCTGTGTGTCTGTGTGTCTGTGTGTCTGTGTGTCTGTGTGTCTGTGTGTCTGTGTGTCTGTGTGTGTGTCTGTGTGTCTGTGTGTCTGTGTGTCTGTGTGTCTGTGTGTCTGTGTGTCCGTGTGTCCGTGTGTCCGTGTGTCCGTGTGTCCGTGTGTCCGTGTGTCCGTGTGTCTGTGTGTCTGTGTGTCTGTGTGTCTGTGTGTCTGTGTGTCTGTGTGTCTGTGTGTCTGTGTGTCTGTGTGTCTGTGTGTCTGTGTGTCTGTGTATCTGTGCGCATGTACATGTGCATGTGTATGTGTATGTGCTTGTGCATGTGTATTGCATGTATGTGTATGCATGTGTGTGTGTGTGTCTGCATGTGTGTATATGTGCATGTTTATGTACGTATGTACCAATAAGTATGTCTGTGAGAAAGACCTCTAGGTATCTTTCCCTGCAACTCCTGGAATGCCTCAGGAATTCAAACAGCTCCAAAGACGAAATTGCTAGGAAAGGCTGCCAAGGCAAGATTCCCAGCACTTCCTGAAATTCCAGGAGCAATCCCCGAATTGATCCACAAAATCCAGGCCTGCTAGGGGTTTAGACATGACATGGACGGTGTGCGAAAGGAAACGGAAAGCTTAACCGCTATCTGCGGGTTGGGACTAACACATATATGTGTCACGCATTCTACAAATTGCCAGACGTCAGAAACATCATTGCTATCAGCATCCTTCTGATTCGTGGTCAATAGAAACAATGCGGCGACTATACCTTGTGCAGATTTGCCGTCTGCGAATTGTCGCCATTGGTGGCTTCGGTCCACCATGCGCTTGCTTCGCTTGTCAACAAGCTTCAGAACCAAGGCGCTAATCATCATCATTGCTGTGCGCAAAGTCACGCAGCGGGCAGTGATCGAGATGCTGTAGCTCGTTGAATGTGCCCGTGACAGGGAGCCTACAACAAAATCGTGCCCCAAGCGCAGCAAGCCAACTGAACCGAATCAGTGGACAGGAGGCCTGATTCATGCCAGCAACACGTGCGACTTGTCTGGCTGTTGGTCATTCACTTCTGGCTCGCGGCTAAAGGCAAACCAATTTTCAAGGCCCTTGCAAAATGACTAGGCACAACAGCCAAAACATCAACCAAACTTCAAGAACCGAACACGAAGCAAACTAAGCGCCTGGGCCAGTCCTTCCGTAGCATTTGTTACTGGCGCTGTCGACCCAAACTCGGGCACAGCCATCCCCAGCGCCGCTAGTGCTCTTGCACCAGCAGCCCGTCATGACCTTGTCACTGGAGCACTGGGCGGTAGGCCCCGAGTCTTGATTGGACGCATAGCTGCCGCTCTTCGTGACTGTGCCCCAACTTCGCGCTGCTGGCTCCGGGATCTCAGCACAAATTGCCTGGGCATAACCACCCTTGGCGTAGCACTTCTCCCCACTGAGCCAAACCTCCTTGCAGTGGTGCGTGATTGTCCAGGTGTGGTCCTTCTCTGTGAAACTGTCGGGATAACACGTGCAGGACCTTACACATGTCTGGGCTTATTGTAGCCAACCAAATCAACCCAACAACCGGATGTCCATCCCGCAACATGCAACACCAAAAATAGCTGCAGTTATTGGAAACACATCAGGTAATGCAAAGTGGAAGCCTGCGAGCTTGCACATGCCCCCAACTTTGCCAAGATTTCTTCGAGGAGCAGCACACGATGACCTGAGGGGCAGGAGGCGGACACTGAGCTGGGCAGAGTGCGTCTGCGCCTGGAGCGTCTGCGGCGGGAGCGTCTGCGACGGGTGCGGCGACGACGGGTGCGTCTTCTGCGGCGTCTGCGGCGCCTGCGTGAAAATACTTCCCCGCTGTCCGAGGAGTCTTCCTCCTGAGCAATCTTAATCAAGATTGGCTGCCAAAGCGCCGGAACTCTGCGATAGCCTCCAGTACCCCCAGTTAAATGCAGCCGAGAGTCCAAAAGCGCAAGCTCGCCATCCGAATGGTTTCGGAGCTCCTGATCTACCTCGTCTTCTTCGGCCATGTCTGCATCAGAGCTCTCGGCTTCGCTGTGCTCGTCAAGCTCGCCCAGGTGCTCATCATCCAGGCCCTCGTGGTCTTCGTCCGCCACGTCCACTTCGTCTTCGATGTCGTCATGTTCATCCTCCTCCCGGGCCGTGCCCACAGCATCCAAACTCACCTCCCTGTCATCCTCATCTGCCACATCTGCCTCTGCGACTGTTCCGTTCACTCCACTCTCCAGGAAACTGAAGCTGGGACCACCGCTAGTGATCACCTGGTAGGACTTCATGAAGGTCATGGACATGCACTGTGACTGGGACCGCACCGAGGCTGACTTGCCTGTGGTGCCGTGGACATCCGTGGTGCCGTACGCATAGCACGTGGAGCCAGACACCTTGGAGCCCGTGCAGACCCCACTATCGGCGATGCACGAGCAATGCGTGATCGTGTACCTCCTTCGGCAGCTTGACGAGGCGACGCCATCTCTTCTTCTTGATGCGCCGCTTTTCTCTACGAAAGAGTTCAGCGGGTAGTCGATGGCCTCAAACTCCATAATAATCTCACCACGCGGCGTCGACGCCACAGTGCCCTCCTGGCTCCAGGAGGAAGGACTAAGGTAACGCCGCCGCCGCCTGCGACGCCGGTCACTCTGGGTCAAGGTCATCTGACTGCCGTGGTTCACTGTAAGCTTGTTGTTCACTTCATTGGTGTTGGGGGTCTGCTTGATAGACCACTTGTACTGCTTATTGGGGTTCAAGCCCTGCACCACGGCGGAGGAGATGCCTGCAACATCCCGCATGATGCCCATGTCCTTCTCCATCCGGGACCATCCCAGCAGCTTGATGGTGGACAAGTCTCCAAAAGGCTCGATGTAGGTCGTTTCCCGAGTCAAGCCCTTGGTAGAGTTCCCTGTCCAGGACCTGACAGGTTTGCTTTGGTCGCAAATGCCTCGATCTTGGAACACTCACTGTTCATTTAGGCAGAGTAGGCCTGCCGCAAGCAGCCCTGCCTGGTTCCGCCAGGATTCACAACAGCAGCCGCACGCGTGAAGGAGGGCGAGGTGCCTTGTGTCTGCGTCAGAAATTGCCTTCGAAGACTGGTCTTCCAGCATGCCTCGGGGTTGGCCACCTCACAGGGCAAACGAGTTGAGGTTCCAAGATTGCACGTGTGCCAAGGGCAAACCCAGTTGGCACAAAGGGTGCTTGGAGCTATGCGAGGCTCGGAACATCACGCCTGGCAGCTGGCGTTATGTGGCAAGGCCAGCAAATCACCTTCCATGCCGAACTCCCGCACTAAGCTGTCACAGCCAGTGTAGAGGCGGCACGTCTGGGCCCCGTGGGATGTACCGCTCCAATAGAACTGGCATCCAGCGTAGTCCTTGCATCGCTCCTGGACACGCCATTCCCGAGAATCCCCCGGCAAATGCTCTGGGCAAAACTCGAAGGTTCTATCAAGGCCTGCCCCAAAAAGAGAGTGACAATGTGCTTTCAACGTGGTCAGGAGCAGGCACGAAAACAGGGCAGCACGGGGCAGTCGACATCTGGTCCGAATAATGTGAATATATAATTCAAATTTAGATTTATTCGCAGTAATACTGTGTGACGCGTATGTGCTTGGATAACAATGTGGGATGTATTTTAGCAACATGTAATTATCGTCGGTGTCCAATTACCAACCACGGTTGCTCTTTTAGTTTTGGTTTGAGAAACAAACCTTTCGATTGTCCTTTTCCCAGGAAACTGATAAACTTTTGTTGTGCATTTGCATGCCTAATCATATTATGCAATGCTTCATTTGGTGCTAAATACGAGTCTACTGTCTGGGATGTCCCATGTCGGATACATAACATCGTTAACACGCCAGGCACGATTAAACCTGAGATCATCAGTGATCAAAAAACCATGCAACGCAACGCCTATGTTGTTGACGTTAGACACACAATTCCAACAATATAGACAACAGACTCCTAAGCCTTTTTGTTTAACTAGTTAACAAAATAACATTGCAATCAATTTTCATAATATAAATCTTCGTATTTAGTGAACGATTGCTTGTTGTTTCCTTTCTTTTCTCTATGCTTGTCATTCTCATTGGTATGAATCTGCTCGTTCCTTCTATGCGACCTCTCGCTTGAAACCGTCCTGGCAGTCTGAGGGCTCCATGCTCTCGGCCTCCGACTCGAAGTGGATGCCGGCCGCGCCCTTCATCAGCTGCCGGGAGGGGCATGCAAACTGCCCAGAGACGATCAAGAAGGGTGGAGGAATGAAGCTGCCGTTGCCTGCGCAGGCCGGCATGCCCCCGAACGGTCGGATCAACTTTAGGATCAGCTTTGGGCCTCAGTCTGCGCCTGCAGGAATGGAGTATTTTAATTGACGGGTTGATTTTGCGAGAGGAATCTGGGCTCCCGTTTTTCTCCCAAACTGGCAGAGCAGCTTTCTGATGCAGAGTGCACCGAGTTGCTGGTGGGCGGTATGTTCTCCAAGGCCATTGCATCTGCAGGCCAACCGCTGCCCCATTCCAAAGGAAGACAGTCACAAGGGTGAAGCCAGAAATCCTTCGCACGCTCGACAACGCGCTGAAAGGAGGAGTAGACTACAACATGTCGGGTTGCCGGGGGGCCTGGGGGTTTGCCCGGACCGAATGACGGTGACGTGGGTTGGGAATTGTGCAAATCCTATGCGAATAGCAGTGAACCGTGGCTTTGGTGGGATCTGCAACTGTTCAACTTCGCATATTCGAATCTCAGATTCGAAAACGCGGCGCTGGCAGGCGCAGCATTCTCATTTTCTCGCAGCAGGCTCCAGGACTGTGGCTTGATTGTCTTCGTGAAAAAACCTTCAGAATGCCACCAACACTTTCATGCACCTGTCCAGGCCGGGCTGCCTTGTATATGAAGCAAACAAGTCATGAGCTGCGCTCATAACTTGCTCGTTCCTGCTCGGTACTGAGAGAGCAGCGGAGACAAAGACCAGCATTCGAGAACGTAGCTCCTTCGAACGCAAGAAGACCCCAAGCCCTCTTAGACACCAGGTGTCTAAAACCACCTGCGGAAAAGTGGCAGCGTGTCAGATAACGCCAATGAAACTGCGCAGTCGTGTAGAGCGCGCAGATATAGCGGAGAAGTCACATGGCGTGTGGGGCTGGGGGGTTGGGATCGACTAGTTTGAAAAGAAGGTTGGCCTCGACATGTGTTCTTTCCATCCCCCCCGTTCCTCGCCCCCCGCTCAACAGCCACGCTGAGGATCAGCATGCGCGGGGCAGCATAAAAGTTCACAATTCCGAAGTGCAGCTTTGGTCCAAGCAAAACGTCAGCTGGCCCCAGCCTGTGGCGCTCACCCAAAAAAGTCAGAGCACAGCCCAAAGATGAGTCTTGGACACAGTTTTTAGACGCAGCGTGAGAGTGAGAATGAGAGTGAGCGCGGAAGTGCTGTGTGAGAGAGTGAGGGTAAGGGTGAGTGAGTGAGTGACTGAATGAGTGCTTGAGTAACTGAGTGAGCGCGTGAGTGACTGAGTGAGTGAGAATTTGATTGTCGGCTGTGTTCATTCTACTGTTGAATTTTAGCGAGCCCTACCGCTCGCCGCGTTTCGTGCGTGCGTGCAGCCCCCAGTACCCCTCTGCAGAGATGGCTTCCCTGGACGCGCTCTCACTGCGGCGCCGCGCGACATCGTAAGGCGCCCGACAAACTGTCTGCGAGGATTGCGTGTGTCCAAGCGAGCCTTTGCAACATGCCCAAGTGCAGTTCTTCAAAAAACCCGGCCCCGAAGCTAATTTGGCCTTGGGGCTAAATTCGCCCGTTTCAAGGCTAGATGGGGCGTCGTTCTGGGTGTGCGTCGTGTCACATCAAATTACACGCTACTAGAGCCAATCGCCCAATAGTCTTCTCTGCCTTGCAGTAGTGAAGGGTCGCTCGTTTGGCTCCCCAGCGTTCGTGAAAGGTCGCGGCCTTGCGAATGCGCCCAAGAAATGGTTTAAGCGGTTTTGCTTGCTGGCTGCAACTTCTGGGTCGCAAGTCGCAATTTTCAGCCCAAGTGCGGCGCACAAGTTACACGTTGGCAGCTCCAGCTCGAAAGTCGCAGCTTGCGCCGGCGCCTACGGGCGCCTGTTTGCACGTGCGTGCGGGTGGGGATTGCGCGCTTTTGTGAGGCTGATTGTTCGACTGTTCGCTTGCTTGTTTGTTTGTCCTTGCCAGACACTACAGGACAAATGCATGATGCTTATGTCTTTTGATAGCCCCTATGCGTGGGAGTGGGCTCTGAGTGGGTGTGTGTAAGGGGATGGGTGAGGGAGCGGGTGAGTGAGCGAGCGAGCGAGCGAGCGAGTGAGTGAGTGAGTTAGTGAGTGAGTAACGGGTCAATGGGTGAGTGGGTGAGTGGGGCGGGTGAGCGCGTGAGTGAATGAGTGAGTGGATGACTGATTTAGTGAGTGAGTGAGTGAGTGAGTGAGTGAGTGAGTGAGTGAGTGAGTGAGTGAGTGAGTGAGTGAGTGAGTGAGTGAGTGAGTGAGTGAGTGAGTGAGTGAGTGAGTGAGTGAGTGAGTGAGAGTGAGTGAGTGAGTGAGTGAGTGAGTGAGTGAGTGAGTGAGTGAGTGAGTGAGTGAGTGAGTGAGTGAGTGAGTGAGTGAGTGAGTGAGTGAGTGAGTGAGTGAGTGAGTGAGTGAGTGAGTGAGTGAGTGAGTGAGTGAGTGAGTGAGTGAGTGAGTGAGTGAGTGAGTGAGTGAGTGAGTGAGTGAGTGAGTGAGTGAGTGAGTGAGTGAGTGAGTGAGTGAGTGAGTGAGTGAGTGAGTGAGTGAGTGAGTGAGTGAGTGAGTGAGTGAGTGAGTGAGTGAGTGAGTGAGTGAGTGAGTGAGTGAGTGAGTGAGTGAGTGAGTGAGTGAGTGAGTGAGTGAGTGAGTGAGTGAGTGAGTGAGTGAGTGAGTGAGTGAGTGAGTGAGTGAGTGAGTGAGTTGAGTGAGTGAGTGAGTGAGTGAGTTGAGTGAGTGAGTGAGTGAGTGAGTGAGTGAGTGAGTGAGTGAGTGAGTGAGTGAGTGAGTGAGTGAGTGAGTGAGTGAGTGAGTGAGTGAGTGAGTGGTGTGAGTGAGTGAGTGAGTGAGTGAGTGAGTGAGTGAGTCAGTCAGTGAGTGAAGCAACTGTGTGAGAGTGGAAGGGAGTGAGTGAGTGAGTGAGTGAGTGAGTGAGTGAGTGGGTGAGTGAGTGAGTGAGTGAGTGCAAGACTGTGCGGGCGTGAGTGTGGAGTGAGAGCGAGCGCGGGTGTGTGCGAGCGTGAGTGTGAGCACGAGTGCGCATGACTCGGGGGTATGGTTGACGCAGGACCCGCTTCCCACGCGGAGGAAAGAAAATGAATTCATTTAACAAGACAGGCCTGAAGCTCAGAGCTCGGTCAAAGATAGCTGCGAAACAAAGCAACGGAGGACCCAACGGCGAGCTTGGAGACTTCGTCTAGCAAGAGGATCAAGCCCTACAGCTTGTGGACCGTGTTTCAAACGACAGGTCGTCTTTGCGAGCAGATCGACCAGTGTCTAGAATATTAAGACTCGCTCGAAAACTGCCACTATCAAGTGGGGGCATGATCTACGTGCAAAACCTGGACCCCGAACACACACGTTTGTCAACTGAAATTATTCGCCCTGCCGCGCGTCAGGTACCCCCTGACCTCCCCTCTTCCGCGCGTCAGTTCCCACCCTACCCCCATCCGCGCGTCAGCTACTATTTTCCTTCCGCGCATCAGGTAACCCCCATCCTCATCCGCGCGTCAGCTACTATACCCCTTCCGCGCGTCAGGTACCCCCCACCCCCATCCGCGCGTCAGCTACTATCCTCCCTTCCGCAGGTATCCGCGCGTCAGGCGCGCCCTAGCGTGAGCGTGGCACCGCCCACTCCCGATCCGCGCGTCAGCCCTTTCGCGCGGCGATCCGCACGTCAGCTACTCTCCCCGCTTCCGCGCGTCAGGTGCCCCGATCCGCGCGTCAGCTATCCCCGTTCCCGAGACAGGGACCCTAGTGCGTCAGCATCTAGTGTCAGCTGTTTTCCCTCTTACGTGTGTGAGACCCTATCCCGATCCGCGCGTCAGCTACTGCCCCGATCTGCGCGTCAGCTAGACAATCCTCTTTCCGATCCGTGCGTCAGCTACTTTCCCCCTCCCGCCGTCCCTTGCATCCCGATCACACTATCCCCGCTTCCGCGCGTCAGGTGCCCCTATGCCCCTTTCTCGCGCGTCAAACCTTTTTCACCCCTTTTTTTCATACGTCGCAGCCCTTGCACGCGTCCTCAGCTACTGTTCGCCCTGCCGCGCGTCAGGCACCCCCTGACCCGATCCGCGCGTCAGCTACCATCCCCCCTGTTCACACGAGACTCAAGCGGAAATCTGCCGAAACTGCCCCGCGGCCAGAAAAGCGCGCGCCGCGCAGACCTGCGACACGTGTTTTGAGACACGCTTAATGACTTAGGTTTCTGTGAGGCTTCAAGTTGCGGAGCGCTCGCTCGTGCACTTGCGTTGGCCTCGAGTGCGTCTTGCCAAAGAAAGCGCCTTGGGGCGAATCGCCACTGTTTCCCCAGAGCGGAAATCTGCCGACATTGTTTGGCGTGTCGGGCACCTTGAGAGGACAACGCCCCGGCGTGACTGACACAGGGCGCAGGGTGTTCTAGGGGGGAAACGGAGGGTTTCCACGCGATCATCCGCCGCCCCCTTGTCTGCAAGGGCGAGCACAGGAAGGGCGGCGGTCACAATCATAACCATTCCTGCTAACTTCTTCATAACTGCCATTTTTATCATCAACATATATAATTTGAAATTCTGCAAGATGTGTGAAAGACATATCTGGCACGGCTCGCAACGCATCATGAGTGTTATTCGTCATCATCATCATCATCACCACCACCACCACCATCATTGGAGTTGTCATCATCGTTTGCGTGCGCCGCTCGCAATGCAAGGGGTGCTAGGATGATAGTCACCATCATCATCATCACCATTATCGTCATTAACCCAGTCAAGACCCGACTTGGAACGCAGGGGAACAGCTGTCGCCGTCATCATTATCGTCTTTGTGGTTCTGACGGTCGCCCGCTGCCGAAGAATTGGAGAAGTCATTCGCTATCATCATTAACCCAGTCAAGACCCGACTTGTAACGCAAGGGAAAGGTTGTCGCCATCATCAGTATCATCGCATTATCATCGTTGTGGTTACAACGATCGTCCCCTGCCGAACAATTCGAGAAGTGATTCGCGCCAAGCTTATTTTCACTTCCACATGGTTGCACCAACAGACAGTGGCGTTTCGAACCCTGCATTACTTGTGCTTATTCTAAACATGCCAAGTGTGGCGTTATAGGCACCATTGCAGGTGGATGCTACGATGATAGTGAATCATCATCGTGATAATGGGAGCGAGGAGAGGCCTGACAAGATGACAAGGGCCAGGAACGACTCAGTTGCTCTCGCGCAGCATTTTCGTTCTGTTTAGCAGTAGCCACTGTGGTCTGAAAAATCGCACGGCTCGCTGTCTCAGACACGTGCCGCAAAAGCAGCTGGGAAAAAGCTGGATTGGTAATGCTGAGG